ATAATAATAATAATAATAATAATGACTATAATAATAATTCTAGGATAATATGATTTCTATGGCTCATGATGCACTTTTCTACTTGGAGAAAAGAAAATCATTTTGGGAGCAGACAGCAATATCTAATATGTTTTAAATCTATAATTTTGGGAGCAGACTGCAAAATCTAATATGCTTTAAATCTATAATTTTTGGAGCAGACAGCAATATCTAATATGTTTAAAATTTAAAGTTTGAGCCGACAGCAATATCTAATATGTTTTAAATCTATAATTTGAGCAGACAGCAATATCTAATATGTTTTAAATCTATAATTTTGGGAGCATTTAATATGTTTATTATGTAAAGAAAGCTATATTTCATGTGTTTTAAAAATAAAAACAGCAATTTATCCTAAACATAAGCTTTTATATGGTCTTACATATAAACAGCTGTTTAACATGGTCTAGTTAGCTATTTCTAGTATGGTCTTACATATAAACAGTTATGGTAATATGGTCTAGGCAGCTATTTCTAGTATAGTCTTACATATAAACAGCTGTTTACCATGGTCTAGTTAGATATTTCCAGTATAGTCTTACATATAAACAGCTGTTTAACATGGTCTAGTTAGCTATTTCTAGTATGGTCTTACATATAAACAGCTGTTTAACTTGGTCTAGATAATTATTTCTAGTATGGTCTTACATATAAACAGCTGTTTAACATGGTCTGGTTAGCTATTTCTAGTATGTACTTACATATAAACAGCTATTTTAATATGGTCCAGGCAGCTATTTCTAGTATAGTCTTACATATAAACAGCTGTTTAACATGGTCTAGTTAGCTATTTCTAGCATGTACTTACATATAAACAGCTATGGTAATATGGTCTGGGCAGCTTTTTATTGTATGGTCTTACATATAAACAGCTGTTTTAATATGGTCTAGGCAGCCATTTCTAGTATGTACTCACATATAAACAGCTGTTTTAATATGGTCTAGGCAGCTATTTATAGTATGTGCTTACATTTAAACAGCTGTTTAATATGGTCTAGTCAGCTATTTCTAACATGTACTTACATATAAACAGCCATTTTAATATGGTCTAGGCATCTATTTCTAGTATGGTCTTACATATAAACAGCTATTTAATATGGTCTAGTCAGCTATTTCTAATATGTACTTACATATAAACAGCTATTTTAATATGGTATAGGCAGCTATTTCTAGTCTGTACTCACATATAAACAGCTTTTTAATATGGTCTAGTCAGCTATTTCTAGTATGTACTTACATATAAACAGCCATTTTAATATGGTCTAGGCAGCTATTTATAGTATGTACTTGCATATAAACAGCTGTTTAATATGGTCAAGTCAGCTATTTCTAATATGTACTTACATATAAACAGCTATAATGACTAGCTAAAGTGCCTGCGTTGTCCGTGTAGTTAAAAAAATTGACAATAAACTACAAACATTTGTTTCGATGATGTTTCTGCAGCTTTATATATCTTTATTAATTTCAAGATAACATTTATCAATGAGAATAGTTAGAGAGTAGTTTTGGTTCATTTGTTCTTTAAAAACTACACGAATTTATCGTAGAATTTCCCAGAATTTTATGTGTTAAATACTTTAAATATATTTAAATTTTCAGTTGAAAAAATGTTAAAAATCAAAAATGCTTGAAAAGATACAAAATTAAAGGAACTCGGATAATGATATGTAGAAATAATTTAGGAACTGAGTTTTTGTCACAAACTCAAATTTACTTAACCCTTATCCCTTACTTAATGGTGTAGTAAACCGTTGATATTTCAAACTCTGATTAACTGATCTAACAGAATTGATAGCTTTAAATATATAAGGTCTACGTGCATTGGATTGTAGATTTGGGGATATAAACGTCAGAGTTTGTGGCGCAGACTCAATGTCCCAGAATTACATTTTTATGATTTATCTGCAGTTTTAAAAATAAATAAAAAATAAAAATGATCATTTGCATTTATGTATTTACTATTTTGCTTTTTAATAAATGTTTAAACACAATTATTATTCCTTGAAATTATATATTTCTGGTTTATCGGTCCCCCCCCCTTTTAATATTCTATCTGAGTCGCGCGTTCGTACACGATTTTTACAAAGTGTACCACTTTTTACGAACCAAACACTTTGTACGTGCGAATTCGGACTACAGAAACCAACAAATTATTGCAACATTTTATCTGAATCATTCTTTGAAGTTTTTAAGTATAGCAATGCATAAACATGGTGTTCGCTTTTAACGGATTACCGGTAGAAAACCTTAACATTATTTTTATGAATCTATTGTGTACTTTATCATTCAAACTCAATTCATGGTGAATTTTAGTATTGAAATGGTATAAAGTAATCATTGTGCTATATTGTAAAATTAGCTGTATTTTATAACACTATGCTATAAAGTTTCGAATGGTTCCCGGATTTAATGCAAAAATATTTTCATACTTGTAGATTTTTTTCTCTAATTAAACGAAAATTAAATTAAAATCAATTTTATATTTTTATTTCTACTTTGTTAAAAAATTCATTATATCTAGAAATAGCTATTGCATTAAGACAAGTACACAAAATTTCATAAAATTACCTATCACACTATTATTTTGGAACGAACGACGTGTTAACGTTTGGACAGAAAATCTTCCTTAAGTATCTCGAAGGTTCTTGCTATCTCGAAAAAGAGAAAGTTTTTGTCCAAAAACTAGACAACACTGTGAACCAAAATAATGGTGTTATACATAGTTACAATATACACAGTATACAATTAAAATGAAATATTTATTTCTAGATTACTAAAATCAAGGGCATTTCGTTTTTCTTAAAATCATCAAAATTTTTGTTGTAAAGAAATTGAGTCTCAACTTTTTAAATTACTATATCTTTTCCTGATGGAGTAACCGTGTAAAGTAAACGATTAGATTATTGGATCTAATAAAAAGTATGGTTTGAAATATCTAAGGTGTACGACATTGGGTTTAAAAGATAGAGGTATTTTCTTAAAATTTTAAACTCAGGAAATTAATTTTTTAAAAATTAAAAATCAGATATGTGCATGCACAGCACACTGTTCATACACAATGTACATATCAGTTCTTGTCCATCTCATTTTTGTTCTAAATTGCATTAAAACCCCATTGAGAATCTTGCTCTGTCATTTATATTCTCGAGATTTTAGTGGTTTGAGGGAACCATCAGTCATCAGTCGGAATCAAACCCTTCACCAGACAACATGTTTAATCTCATGCACAGTGGTACAACATCAATGTTTAATCTCATGCACAGTGGTTAAGCAGGATACAGATACACTTTTATAGCAGTGTCTGATGCTAATTTTTAACAGTTTTATTATATTTGGTCCAAGAACTTACGTACATTTTCAAAACTATTTTAAAATTTAACTTATTGATAATTTACCTTAAAAGTCTAAATTTTTTTATAATAAAAATTAAGTGTTTCAGGAGAAAATATTTAAAACCTCCAAAAATAGAGTTTGCGGGAGAGTTTCACCCAAATTCTAAAAAAAGTAAAGGGATTTACATTATATTTATTAATTTAGCTAGTTTTTAGTATTTTTCGACGATGAACTAACAACTTTTAGAAATAAAAATTATATATTTATTTGTGACGCTGAAAAAATAAAAAGGCTTAATGGGTTGTGGAAAAGATATAGTTTCTACACAAAACGCGCATTTTTAGGCATTTTTTTTGATTTGCGCCGTTTTTGGCATCCTTTGAGTTTGATTATATCTTTTACTCTTTTTAATCTTTATAGTCTTTTCTTTGTAAAATTGTCTTTGCTTTCTTCGATTCTTTTGCAAACATAGCATGTATTAGAATTAAAACATTGGTTCTGCTCATAAAAATCTTCAATTAAATTTTGTTTTGTATCCCAGTTAACTCACCAGCAGCAGAAATTAAGCTAAAATTTGATAATTTTCTATTGCCAGTCATAAAAAAGATTTAATCAATGTTCATATTATAACTTTAACAAATTACATAATCTTGTTTGTATTAAATGATGAAAATCAACTTTATCTTTTAGGATTAACAGCTTTGAATCTCCGATAATGGCGCACCACAAGGATAGTTTGTGTTACCCAATTTATTTTTATTTTCAGCACAACATGAGTTACACAGCATCTACAACTCTGTACATACTTTACATAGTTTACAGCACTACACTTTGTGTACAAGGATTTCATTTTGGTTTACATTCACCATACACTAGGCATAATCAAGGTAAGTTTTTTTTTACTTCTTGCAAACTTATACAGTTAAACAAATTTTAGTTCCAAAACTATATGATTCAATATCGTTGCAACTTAATTTCGTAGACCTTAGACATTTCAAACTAAACTAAATTATAATACAAAAGTTTGAAAAATCAATGGTGCACATTATTAGGTTGCAAAGATGTAGGGATTAAAAAATCTGATTTTGTGGCAAAGACACAATTCCTGACTTCAGATTATCTTAAATTAAAAATTCATTTAGAAGAGTCTTATATTGGTGCTGATCCATTTATCGGAAACACGATAGATCAACAGATCTACTACTTAGATCAGGGGAACTACAACTCTGATCAAGGGAACTACAACTTAGATCAAGGGAACTACAACTTTGATCAAGGGAACTACAGGATAGATAAACAGAACTACAGACTAGATCATGGTAACTACAGGACATTTGGAAATTTCAGACACCCACAAGAGGCAATTAGAAGTGACAGCATAACTTCCATCCAAAGTGAACCAAGTGCTCAAGTATCGAATAGAAAACCTTTGAAAATTGAACCATTTCTGCCATTAACGCAATTAGACACTTTGATTGATGATTCCTTCAAGTTTAAGCCTAGATCTCTGACTAAACCTCCAGGGCTTGTTGTTACTCCTTCTCCTTCAGACCTAGCTGTACATGAAGCAGTACCTGGAAGACCCGTTGTGTCCTTTCTACAACCCAGAGTGCATTCTCGAGGTGAATCTACAGTCACTAGCGAATTTAAGCCAACAAGCGAACCAATAGTTCCGTCTTCAAGCTTATCGCTAGAAACAATACCAAAACCTGTAAATATATCATCATCTCTTCCCATCATGAAGCCTGTTGTGGCGATCCCACCCGTAATGGATTTGATTGAGTCTAGTTCGCGGATAGAAAGCAAGATTGCTTCAGCAGATTTAGAGAATATATATCCAACCTATAGATATGATCCTCAGCTGTATTCTAAGACCCCCAAATATAGATATGATCCAACATTGCCTAATCTAACCTATAATCACATGGAGATATCTAATGAGCCTAGAGATGAGTTGGATCAAGAATTTTCTTCAGAGCAATTTCAAGATACAGCTCAACCAGACTATAATCCTGTAGATCCTCTACTTCAACAGAACCATGATCAGCCAGACTATAATCCTGTACATCCTCTACTTCAACAGAACCATGATCAACCAGACTATAATCCTGTAAATCCTCTACTTCATCAGAACCATGATCAACCAGACTATAATCCTATACATCCTGTACTTCAACTACAGAAACAAGATCAACCAGACTATGAACTTGTACATCCAGTACATCAACCAAACCATGATCAATCAGACGACAAACCTGTAAATCCTGTATTACAACAGAACCATGATCAACCAGACTATGAACTTGCACGTCCTATACTTCAACCAAACTATGATCAACGAGACTACAAATCTGTACATCCAGTACTTCAACCAAACCAAGATCAACCTGACTATGAACTTGTACATCCAGTGCTTCAACCAAACCATGATCAACCAGACTACGAACTTGCACATGCTCTACATTATCCCTGTCAACAAGTACAGGTAATTTCCTAACTTTTTGAAAACATGAATGATCACGATTTTTTTCTTTCTTTCTTTAAATAAATCCATCTGCCATTGCAAAGCAAAGCATTTAACACATGATAATATTTCTGGTATTGCTAAATAAGCATGTTGCACAACATTTGCGAAAGCGACAAACAGAATAACTGATGTAGATGTCAACATTTTTTTTGCAGGAGAATTGTCACATCGTGGAGAAAACTATTTGCCATGAACCCGGCCCACCTCAATGCAAAATCAAACTCGTGGATAAAGAAGAGGTACTTATCCTATTTTCCCTTCCTGTTTATACAGGTAATATTATCCAATTTTCCTCCCTGTTTATACAAGTAATATTATCCTATTTTCCTCCCTGTTTATACAAGTAATATTATCCAATTTTCCCTTCCTGTTTTTACAAGTAATTATCCAATTTTCCCTTCCTGTTTATACAAGTAATATTATTCTATTTTCCCTTCCTGTTTGTACCAGTAATATTATCCTATTTTCCCTTTCTGTTTATACAAGTAATATTATCCTATTTTCCCTTCCTGTTTATACAGGTAATATTATCCAATTTTCCCTTCCTGTTTTAACAAGTAATTATCCAATTTTCCCTTCCTGTTTGTACCAGTAATATTATCCTATTTTCCCTTCCTTTTTATATAAGGGTAATATTATCCAATTTTCCCTTCCTGTTTATACAAGTAATATTATCCTATTTTCCCTTCCTGTTTGTACCAGTAATATTATCCTATTTTCCCTTTCTGTTTATACAAGTAACATTATCCTATTTTCCCTTCCTGTTTATACAAGTAATATTATCCTATTTTCCCTTTCTGTTTACACTAGTAATATTATCCAATTTTCCCTTCCTGTTTATACAAGTAATATTATCCTATTTTCCCTTTCTGTTTACACAAGTAATATTATCCAATTTTTCCTTCCTGTTTATACAAGTAATATTATCCTATTTTCCCTTCCTGTTTATACAAGTAATTATCCAATTTTCCCTTCCTGTTTATACAAGTAATTATCCTATTTTCCCTTCCTGTTTATACAAGTAATATTATCCTATTTTCCCTTCCTGTTTTTACAGGTATTATTATCCTATTTTCCCTTCCTGTTTTTACAAGTAATCTTGAGGTCCGAACTAATAGATAGCAAAGAAGGAGTATCCTGAGTTGTTACTAAGCACAATGCCGCAAATAAATCTCTATTGATATAAAACTCATACCTTCATGACCTCTAATTTTTTTTTTTAATTCAATATTTTTTTCATATACATATGTTATTGTACAATGACCGGCCTAATTGTGAATATTTTCGTAAAATTTACACAATTTTTGACCTTTTCCTTAAAAAAAGTCTGACTCTCTTAGGTAAATTAGAAATTTCCCTCCGATTCACAATGTTACCCTTAACAAATTTTTCTTATCAAGAATGCAAGAGATGACTTCATTATTTTTCAAATGTGGTTCTTCCCTAATGTGCAACCAGTGCAGTGGATTCATACTTCAGAAACAATGGAGGAAATTGTCGGAATAAAAAAGTTATCCAGATTGAAAAACGAAATAACTTCCATTAGATGAAGGTTTAAAGGATTTCAAGGGTATCGTTGTTAATTGAACTTGCATCGACAGTTCTTTTAAAGCACCAATCTCTCTTAATAAAACCGTATTAAATGCTTCTTGGACCGAATCTAAGGAATTGGAGAAGTCACTGAACTACCGGCCTACCGACTGTTCAAATCCTGAATAACTGATTCAAATCCTAATCAATCTTTAACTTCAAATCTGTGTTTTATGATTTAAGCTGGCGGTAGGTGGTTCAACATCTTACATTAATAAAATTAGGTCTTATAATTTTATTGAAATATATTTTTATTTTTTTCTGAATAAAAGATTTTTTATCAGACAATCCAAAGAATATCTCTGTGATAACTTGTTATCAATGTTTCGTTACTTAATTCTTTAAAAAGAACCTTTTTATGTCCGACCCCGGCCCCACCACATGTCTAATGTATATCAAACCCCTTCCTTCCCCTTCCTTCCCTTTCCTTCCCCTTTCATTCNTTACCCTTCCTTCCCCCTTCATTCTTCTTCCTTACCCTTCCTTCCCCCTTCATTCTTCTTCCTTACCCTTCCTTCCCCCTTCATTCTTCTTCCTTACCCTTCCTTCCCCCTTCATTCTTCTTCCTTACCCTTCCTTCCCCTTCATTCTTCTTCCTTACCCTTCCTTCTCCTTCCTTCCCCCTTCATTCTTCTTCCTTACCCTTCCTTCCCCCTTCATTCTTCTTCCTTACCCCCTCCTTTCCTGTTCCTTGTTATTATCATAAACGTATCCAATCACCTCTATATCTTATTTTATTTCCCCTCCTCCCTTTCATATTTTCAGTTTTCCACCAACATACCATTTTTTCATTTTTTCCCTATTTTAACAAAGCCTATACCCTTAAATCCCCATTCCCACGACCCTTTTAAGCCCCTCCTTCGTGCCCCTTCCACCCCCCCCCCCCGGCCATCCTCCGGTACTATCGCATCTCCCTTTATTTTAAGTTATTCACCTTTAGAATTTCTAACTGCTAATTGATTAACCTGGTGTTAAGAAAGTCGGGTTGAATTGAGGTTAAAAACCTTTAAAATAATCTTGTCTCATCATTCTAGCGGAGTTTTATTTCAAGCATCAAATATATAGTTTGGGTCTTTGTTCTGTACAAATCTTAAATCTATATACAATTGGTTAATTCCTAATACACATAATTTTCTTTGACCCTCCGTTTAAAGATTGGATCGTCCGATTCTCACTCTTTCCTGACTGTTTTTTTGCTGCATAAAGTCACTTTTACAGAAAATCCACATTTAAAACAATCTGTTTTAAGCTAGAATAATTAGTGTAGAAAAGACCTACTCCATAAAAAGTTCTCGAAACGTATCTATCCAGGTCCAACCCGTCCGCTAAGAAAGTCAACCAGGACACTAATAACCCCGGACACGATCCACACGGTTACAATCCCGCTAACTATCAACCCCACTATCACTGGGCTTAATCTCTGTAGCTATTAATCCAGGCTCTAAATGCCACAAAGGGACACAACAGATTTCTAGGTCATCATTAAAGTCTCATCCTTTGAGGGTAGCCATGTATACGATAATACATTAATTAGGTGGAGTGTAGAACTGAGTATAAGAAGGAATGTAAGACGGTTACTGAAGAATCTGAATGTTTGGACCAGCTGAATATACATTGTAATCAGGTCATTATATACTTTAAAAAAAAATTTAATAGGGTTTCCATTTTTTCAGGATAAATTCATGGTCCCGTTGAGAACTTTTCTGAATTTATTAGAATAATAAACCATAAAAAACTTTTGTCCATAAAGAATGAACATATTTTTAATCTTCCCTCTAGATGTTACACACAGCTTGACACGACACGCTCAGAAGGTTTCCTGGGGGATTATTCCATATGGAACTTTCTGGAATAATCATCCTGTAAACTTTTTTCAACATGTTATGTCTGCGAAGCATCAAGGTTTTTGATTTATTTTTTTTTTCGGTCAAGTAAGGTCCCGCCGATAATGTCCAAAAGTTTTTAGCTGGTTATCTTTTTGAATGAAGCTTCAGTAAAGGTTCTGAAAAGCCTAAGCGATTTCAAATTGAAGAAATTGGAAACCCTAGTTTTTGTTTAAAATAGAATTTTAGTGCTCCAAACTGAATAAAATGTGTCTTAATTTGCTCTTGTTTACAGCATTTAAAAAGTGTTGCAAAAATATCAATTTGTTCTTGTAAAAATACAAACACATTGGACAGAAACCATAGCACCTGGTGGGGCGAATGGTCTCGTCTGTAATATGGGAGCGCTAGGTCACTGATATAGAGGTGTTCACCTAGGTATAGCTATTAAATAGTCTTTGGTCTTTTTAATGGGTTCAAAACAATGATATTTAAACCGCTGAACAATAATAAAAATAAAAAACGCCCATCCTGATTTTTGGATTTAAAAAAAAGGAATTCAATAAGTTTATTTTACCCGGAAAGGAAACATTTGAGCAAGGTTGGGGTTTAAACGGAGGCTTATCTTTAGAAACTGATAAACTATGCTTTTTTATATTTCTATAATTTTTATAGATGTGTTCAAATTCTGATTGTGTTTCTCATTGCTTGTCAGTCTCACGGGAACCTCAATGCCCGCAGGAACAAATCAAATTCATTAAAATAAATAAAAATATTCTTTTTCCATGTTTAACTTAATTAGTTTTTTTGTCGCACTGCAAACTAGACAGATGTTGAAGATAAAAATTTAAACAGTTATTATTGAAAACATATAATTGGATTAAATTTAAACAGGTGTTATTATTGAAAACATATAATTGGATTAAATTTAAACAGGTGTTATTATTGAAAACATATAATTGGATTAAATTTAAACAGGTGTTATTATTGAAAACATATAATTGGATTAAATTTAACGTCCAATTTCACTTTAGTTTTGTCGTAAACAGCGTACTTTGGATGAAAGATAATTAAATATTATTTTTTTTTAATTAACTCTTAATACTTAGTCAAGTAGACACAAACGCAGTTTAATTAGTAATATAAAATTGTCATTTTTTTATCAATTTAATGCGCAATTTTGCAAGAAACATTTCTGATATATACAGGGTTACCCGCAAAGAATGAGATTTTAATCTTGCTTAACTCTTTTAATACAGAAAAATTACAGCTGCAATTGAATTTTACTTGTCCTGCATTGATTAAATTTTACTTATCCTGCATTGATTGAATTTTATTTGTCCTGCATTGATTAAATTTTACTTGTCCTACATTGATTAAATTTTTTGATTGAATTTTACTTGTCCTGCATTGATTGAATTTTACTTGTCCTGCATTGATTGAATTTTACTTGTCCTGCATTGATTGAATTTTACTTGTCCTGCATTGATTGAATTTTGCTTGTCCTACATTGATTGAATTTAACTTGTCCTACAATGATTAAATTTTATTTGTCCTACAATGATTGAATGTTACTTGTCCTACATTGATTGAATTTAACTTGTCCTACAATGATTGAATTTTATTTGTCCTACAATGATTGAATTTTACTTGTCCAACAATGATTGAATTTTATTTGTCCTACAATGATTGAATTTTACTTGTCCTACAATGATTGAATTTTACTTGCCCTACATTGATTAAATTTTACTTGTCCTACAATGATTGAATTTTACTTCTCCTACATTGATTGAATTTAACTTGTCCTACAATGATTGAATTTTACTTGTCCTACATTGATTGAATTTAACTTGTCCTACAATGATTGAATTTTACTTGTCCTACATTGATTGAATTTAACTTGTCCTACAATGATTGAATTTTACTTGTCCTACATTGATTGAATTTGATTTGTCCTGCATTGATTGAATTTGATTAAACTTCAGTCCCTTGTTAATACCAACCATGCTCACTGTACACGAGTTCCTGTCCAGTCATGTACAACGTACACTCACAAGGTATGTACACTATGATAAATTGGGCACACTTTATGAACAGTGTACACTGTACACTCTACAGGGTGTTCTAATAAACATTTGATTAGGTCCACGTCAGTTTTTTTTGTAAAACCACAATTTAACTATTCCAGATTAAACAAAGAACAACGAAAATTGTTAGTCTTGGGATTTGAAAAATGTGGTCAATCATGTGAAACCTTAAAATTGGCGGAGATATCATTGAATTTTTATATTTCTCTAAATAAAACCAATTCTGAAATACTATACTGTAGTCCTATTTTCTAAATGTGTAAATTTCAAAGCTGCAAATGCTTGTTTCTATAAAGTAATAGATTTAAATCCTGAGGATTTTATTTCCGAAAGAACAGATTTTAGTTCTTTTTTGAATGAAAAGTAGATAATCAAATGTTTACTATTGCATATTCATAGGTTCCGATAGAAGTGTGTTCCAATGACGATCAGGAACGATGTGTCCATGTTCCAGAGAAGATATGTAAAAATGTTCCAAACTATGATTGCTCTAATCTAGGATCCAGAAAGCTCTTTTAACTTTTTAAAAAATGTGTTTAATCATCTCCAGTTAAATGATCAGAGGCCAAATTTAAAGAATTTGAGCCGCGGCTTAATTTGATAATGGTTGGTTCCGCTTAAAATTGTATTCAATGTTTCAAGATTTAAGCCGGCGCTCAAAAAAACGGTTTTTGCTCGATTGAGACGTGGATAAAATTCATTAAATTCGGGCTCGGATAAAATTAAAGGGATTGTTAAACAATTTCAAAATAATCATTATTTCATGCTTTTTCCGGAGATCCAGAAAAAAAAACTTTTACCAAGAGTTTCCATCGCGAATAATACAGAAAAGAACTTGTTTAATTTATTTTAACCAATTTAAATAAGCTTAACCTAATATAGCTCAGTTTGAGCATATTTTTTTCTTTCTTTTTTAGACAAAATTGCTATTTTAAAATAATCAATTTCTTTTTGGCCAAAAGAAGGTCAAATTCATTTAAACATTAATGTTAGGGCTTTGTGACCTCGTAGATCCTCAGAATTAATATTAAAAACATTTTGTTCTTCTCAGTAGCTCTTCAATAAATGGAGCTATATGATTGAAAACAAAAAAGATTTAACTCCTAAAGTGCAATCTACTTTAGTTTGGCGTGTATTGTAAATTGATTAATATGTTATTGTTATCGCTATCCCTCAAAAATAACGAAGAAAAATAAAGAAAAAAATATATTTCTATTAAAGTTTAGAGGAGTTCAAAGTAGCTGAATATTCCAATATACCAGTATACACAGCACAGAACCAAAGCTATCAGAGGAACTCCCCAATGAACAAACCACATACATATCTTGAACTTGGTAGCCTTAACAAACAATTAATAAGAGAAAAGAAAATTAAAAACAAATCCGTTTAGATGCGGATCCGGATTGAAAAATCGGGAAGGATTTTTTACGGATCCGTATCCAGGGAACGAAATGTTGCAGAACCTAACTTCCTTTGCGCTGCTTAAAAATAAAGCTATTTGTCCCTACTCTAAAGTACGAAATAATTAAAAAAAGGCTTATTTTGCAGCAAAAGTTTTAATCAGTTGCAACAAATTGAGCAGTTATCGAACTGATAAATTTTCCTTTAAAAAATGATTAAACACAAAAATGTTTTATGTTAATGTTTGTATACAAAAATGTACTAGCTCCTAAAAATATATGTTGGAGGGGGGCCGGCTCTGGGGGATATACGTATTCACTTNATATGATATCAACGGAAATGTTGAGTAAAACATTTTCTAAATGAAACATCTTTAAATAACATATGCTCACAAAATTGGAAGTTAGAACATATCAGTAAAAGTGTTACTATATAGTAAATTTTTGCAAAAGCGTGCAAAATTTCAAAACTTCAATGGACAACGACAAAATGGAAAATATCCAATCTCACTTTTAAAAGAGTGAGATATGCAACAAAAAAAGTATAAAAATCATGCCACCATTTTTTTGACGTTTTTCCAAAAAGCTATAAAAAGTTGAAATCCAATTATCGAAAGCTTGGTTTGGCATATAAAATACTAGCCTTCATATTAGTACTCATTTTACTAAGCATATTGTAGTATTTCATCAACGCTTTATCCTGGGATCTTTCATCTGTTGACACTAATCCACTAAAAAAAACTTTTTTAAATTTTGATAATTACGAAAAGGGTTTCTTTGGAGGAAGGGATTCAGGTTTTAAAGATAAATCTTCAAAAATACCCCTAAAATCTCTTCTCAGTATTAAAAATTCTGGGTCTAAAGACCACAGCAGTTTCTAAAAAATTGATACAAGAATCAAATCAAAATAATTCATAATTCTGTAAGCAATAAGCATATCATTTATCAATCTTTATTAACGAAATTTCAAAAACAGTACGAATTCTAATTAATTTTTGACAACATTTTTTAAATTCTGAGTTGCCATAAACTAACATTTATATATGTTAGATTGTAGTCGTTCAAAACATTTTGGTTAACTTGTTTCCACGTTTTTATGACAAAAACGTAATAATTACAAAGAAAAAATTTATATCCTAAGTCACCGTGTTTCGTTCTAGCACTCATTGCAGTAGGGCTCAATTCTTCTGTTTTTGATTTTGAAGTTGACGGGGCTTGAACCGTGGATCCTTGGATTAAGGATCAAATGAGCTAACAACTGCTCTATTATACCTTGATGAATTGGTAATGAAATAAGGATCAGAGAGCTCAACCAACTCATTATAAGGTGAGGACCTTGCATAATGCTAATTAGTACACCTACTCATTACCACATGAGTGCTCAAGTTTAGCGGACAAAACCAGCATGTACATATACAGGGTTTTATTTTAATCTTGTCAATTTTGATTCTTCACAACAGGGAAATAAAGAAGAAATTATGCTTAGGATTAAATTTGTTAAGTACATATTATGGGAGGTTTTGTTTACAAAAATAATTAGATGATTATTTCAAAAGATGTTCAATGTGTCCGCACTCCGCCCTCAATCTACAAACAAGCTGCTCTTTTCCTGAAGTTTTCAGCGGCCGGACGTCGGCTCAACTTCCGACTGAGAGGCAGACTGGAAGTAATGCTCCGATCTTTTAGATCTAGACCTAGTCATAGAGAGGGTTCCCTCAAAATTACAGTAAGATCAGTGCAAAAAATGAGAGTGGAGTGCTAAAACCCCTGTCGCCTCCCCGTCGCGCCGATTTATACCCATGGTGACCGAGATAGAACTGCGTTTTGGCCAGGTTTTATGGACGCTGTGTCCTCATTTTTATAGCTTTTGAGCTGAAATTAACAGCTTACCCGTTTCATGGGCAGATCTAGGCTTTGGTGAAAAAATTTAAAAATTTTCAAAATTTACTCAGGTTTCCCATAATAAGCTTTCCATATTCTTAAACTTAAAAAATGGAAATATCACAAAAAATGAAAAAGTAATTAAAGTTTAAAAATTGACAAGATTAAAAAAACACCTGTATATACACATGTAGTTAAAATTGTAAAATTATATGTAAAACAAAAATTCAACAACAAAAATATTACCCGTTAAAATCTGCCACAAAATCTTGGGGAGACATCCAGCCATTCTTGGCGCTTCCCACCCTGGGTTTTGTTATTTTGGACACATTTACAGTTTTATCTTTTTGTTCTTCATTATTCTTCTCTCCTTTTACTTCCTCCATTCTACCATGATGATTGACCAGCCTGTCAGCATCCGACCTATACCAATCCTTCGCATTAATGGTTTCCGATTGGAATTGCGTTGTGCGGAATTGTATACATTTGTTCTGGTATTGCGCGGAATATTGCGGAATTTTGAGAAAATTACATTTGCAATTGTGCAAATTTAAAATCCACTTTCGTTGAAACCCTATTCACAATGTCACTAATGGGCCATCGTTCTGAGGCCCGTTTTTAAATATTCAATGTTTGTGGACTTTAGCTAGGCTCTCCAAGAATCTGATATAAAAATCCTACTTCAAATACCCTGCCGGACTAGTTTGCTTTTATCACATTATGCTAAATTGTTAAGCTATTAACCAAAACTATATTTCAACACGATAATTTAATTTAAAAAAACAGACAGCCAAACAGAGATTACAACTTTATGTTTATGAATAAAGATAACCTGAGATAGTCTATATAGGTGTGCATTATAACCAGAACGAAGGGAATGCATAAATTGAAGATCAACCATAAATCCACCATTTTAATATACGAGGTGGCAGGTAGACTCTATAATTATTAGGCGTGATCAATATTGGAATTGAGCCGACCACCCACCGGAGGTCGCTGCGTTTTCACTTAAAAAATATTGCAATAAAAAAATTTCAAAATCGTCCATAGAGTTGCGATTTGACGTTTTAATATCGGAGAATTCACCGAAAAGCCACAAAAAAAAATTATTTTTTAATTTCATGTTATACGTCATTTTCTGAAAAGCGTTTTAAAAAAATTGAAAATGGATTGAGAGAGCTAAAGTACTCATCAAAAACATCAACAATTAAAACCCAATACTGAGGACTTTTAACACCCCACATGGACCTAAAACAAATTTTATGAAAAAATGTCCAAAAAATGCGGGAAAATGAGAGGAAAAGTTTTTTCCCCCATTTTTTATTTTTTTTATTTTAAAACTAGATCACAAGTCAGACTTGCATGCAAAATTCAGACCCTTTGTATGGAAATGTGGACATTTCTCTATAGTTTTTATGTAACTATAAGAATAAGACTGAATAGGACTTTTGTTGGGCAATGGCCATCCAAACTTTATCCTTTTTTTAAACGTTATAGATTTTTGGTTTTCATGTGCGCTTCTAAATTGCGTATGTTTGACATTTTTGGAATTTGTATTTCCAAAAAGTTATTTTTCATAACACTACTATCTGAATTACCCGGCTTTGATCAGGTTATTCGTAGTTACTCCCGCCGTAAATCTATATATAAATTTGGCTTGTCTGTTTATTTGTTTGTTTGTTTGTTTGTTTGTGCCCATTAAACGTCAAAAGGGCTGAACCGATCGGGCCCAAATTTTTTGTGGGACATCACGTGACCAAAGGGAAGGTTTATGAATGATAAAAAAATTGTGATTTAAAGGTTTTTAATTTTGTAAAAAAAAATTATATTCTTGAAAATCCGCGAATTTTTTTTTAAAATCCGCAAAATTTTTTTCTTCTTTGTTTTTAAATGTAAACAAAAAGAACATGTACTCACAATTTAAATAGAAGATGGGCGCGAAGCGCCCTAAAAGCCTAGAAAGAAGGGCGCGAAGCGCCTTGAATTTCTAGTTTCTATATAATTTCTTAAGTCTATGAAGCCAATTTGGTTTAGCCGTTTGGCCAGCTTTAGCGAACATATAAATGAGCGATAGAGCTTTATTATAAAGATGAAAATGGTTGCGTCTGACAGAAATCCAATGAAAAATCCCTTTTGGAACATATTTTATCTCTAAGCTAAAATTTAGCAAGGTGTGATAAAAAATGTTGGATAAAAAAATTCCGAATTTTGAATGAAAAGACCTACCCCAGATATTTGTAAAAACATGGTTGCGAGTACAAGCATAACAGTGAGGTTAACAGTTACTATTGCCTAGAAATTATATAGTTAAAGAGACTCTTAACATTATTTCAATTAACCCTCCATTTAAAAAAACAAATGCCCAATTCTTAAAATGTAATAAGCAAATTTTATTTCGTTCGTTTTCTCTACACTTTTTTAGATTCCTTCTTTAACCCTAGCTTTCTTTCCTCATTCTAAGCTTGCATTCTTTGCCGTTTTCACCCCCCCCCCCCCCCCTCGCCCGAAAACTGGAACCCATAATAATAATAAAAAAAACTGGAACCCATAATAATTAAAACACAAGAGTACCATTCATTAAAAGCTTTGTCTGATAAAGTATTATTTAGATCTCTGCAAAAATGACTTGCACATTTTCATGCTACCGGAAAACATGCAGGAATTATCAGAATTAAACATTTTTAGACCTAGAAAAATGTCAATATCTTCCACATTTTTTATCAGATAAAGGTTTCAAGAGTACTCTTGTGAATCGGACTTTGCCATATTTTCATTGAGAGTCACTAAGAAACACGTTTGAATTACCTCAAAAAAGAATGGTTTAAAGTAGTTTGTCGACTGGGATATCAGCATCATTAGCAAGGTTGGAATATAAACAGTCAGAATAGTTCCTAATTTGTCAATCAATTAACATGAAATAGGTGGAGAAAGGGATGTATAGTGCTCTTCAAAAGATAAATTGTGACCTTATGAGACTCTTTTTTTTAAAAGGCACAATTATACCGTAATTTCCATTTTGCTGTTCTAACTACAATCTGTTTTCTGTTAATATCACATCATAAACGAGAAAACAAATTTGATTAAATCATTAAAAACCTAAAAGTCGTCTTCCTAGGGTTATTTGTACAACTACTGCCTCATCCTCAGGTCTGAAAATATCAAATAAATATGTAATTTAAAAAACTTAAAAAATACTTTTCATTTCCATGCACAAAAAAAGGCAGACAATATTTTCCAAATCTCAACTCTAAGAGGTTTTAATGTTGATTGTTAAATGTAGCGGAAATGTTTTTACGATATACTTGAAAAAATGCCACATTGAAGAAAGTCAATTTCAGTGTCTTCATTGACTCCCCAGGCGACGGTTCAATATTACAGAGGGTTACCAACGTGTATGAGACTGTAAAGACGACCTGAAACTATTAAAATATAACAATTTCAATGTTAGATTAAGTTTTTCTACCTTAATAGTCTTTTTATGGCCTTTTTAATGATTTGCAAAAGAAAAAAGAAACTTTTGCAGGTAATCATAAAGCAGACAATATAAATTTCTTACAGTCGTCTTTCACGTCTAATCCTTTGTGGTTAACCCGGTAGGTTAGATATAAGGAATGCACCAAATACGGAACAATGTGCCAATGCGTGTAAAAAATACATTGTAAATACAAAAGTTCCATCTAAAAAGTAGGAAAAAATAAATACAGATATTTGAAAACACAAAAATACAGATATTTGAAAACACAAAAATACAGATATTTGAAAACACAAAAATAATTTGTCGAACATTTCTCTTGTCTCGGCTATCAAGTATCTATTCTGTTTAATTTGTATCAAATATTTGTAAAAAAAATAAAAAAAAATAAAAAAAAAATCAAGCAGAAAACAATTTGGAAAATTTCAAATATCTATATAGAAAAACATAAGGAAAAATGTTAAAAAAAAAAACAATATAAAACACAGGGTGAGTAAAAAACTTAATTAAGGAAAATACCTCTAAATTCCCATAAACTCTAAATATTCAATCCTTTTATATTTGCAACCCAATGCCGTAGACCTTTTATATTTTAAATTATGAATTATGTTAGATCAAATAAGTTAAGTTTGAAATAGCAAAGGTTTAGACCATCAGGTTACAAAGGTGGCAAAAACTCAGTTCCTAACTGTATTGGACAGAATGCAAAAATATTTATTTTAGAACATCCATTATTTTTTTGTAGAGAAAATATACAATTTATTAAATCTTAAAGAGATAATAAACGTAATTTCTAGGGACCTTCAATTAAAATGGTGGCATGTTTCCATCCATTTGTATATATATATACAAATATATATATATATGAGCGAAGAGCTTTATTATAAAGATTAGGGATCCTCGATTTTAGAACCTACAATTTTTTTGGTTAGATTTGATTTAGTTTTTTAAACTTTAAATGGATTTAGATTTTTCTTGGCATATAGTAAAACAAAAGTGCTTAACATAAAATGAATGGCGACACAAAATGAAAACGCCAAGATTACAATATGCAAAAAGATAAAAAAATCTACATTCTTTGATATCTTTCAGATTTTAAAAAATTCAACAACAAAACTGAAACTACAAAAAAAGAAGATTGAATATTACTAAAAATTTTTTTTTGCTTTTTGTTTAGAGATGAATTTGCTAGTTTAAGAATTGTTGTTGTTTTTGAAAATTGACCCAAGCGGTACTTGAAAATTAACATGCTGTGTAGAAAACATTTATAAAAACTGATTTAAAAAATAGAAAAAAGATGAATGTTGTAAACCTTATTGTAATATTTGTCCGCCGTATAAAATATTGAGTCAAATCCTAAAAAGAATCGGATGAAATTTATTTTCGGCACCAGTACAAACGTTGGACCAACAAACGTCGGACGGTACAAACCTAAAACTTACAAACGTCGGACAGTACAAAAGTTAGACCAGGACAAACGTCGAACTAGTACAAACGTCGGACTGGGACAAACGTAGGACAGTACAAACTTCGGACCAGTACAAACGTCGGACTAAAGGAAAAAATGATTTGAACTTTAAGATTTTTTTATCAAAATGTTATTTCCTTTTTTCGACTGGTCTAATACAAATCTACCCAAAGGAACTAAGTTCTACCAAAAAGTTTTTGTCACTAACTCAAATATTCTCATCCCCATATCTTTGCAACCTTTGATACTTTCAAACTTAAATTGTTTGATCTTATAGATTTCATAGGTTGAAATATTAAAGGTTATACGACATCGGGTTACAGATATAGGCATTGAAACATCAAAGTTTGTGACAATTGAACTCAACTACTTTATGGTCTGTTGTTTTATAAAGTGCTACCTTCAAAGGATGAGACTTTATTCAGTTGTCTTTGATTTTCAACACAATAAGTGAGTGACTTTTAATTTATTTCTAATAGCAATTGTATTTTTTTTCATACTCAACCAAAGTCCGACGTTTTTTCTTATAAATGTATCCGTCCGACGTTTGTACTGGTCCGACGTTTGTAAGTCTTAGGTTTGTATTGTCCGACCTTTGTAGCGTCCAAAGTTTGTGGGTCCGACGTTTATACCAGTCCGACGTTTGTCCTGGTCCGAAGTTTGTACTGTCCGACGTTTGTAAGTCTTAGGTTTGTACTGTCCGACCTTTGTAGCGTCCGAAGTATGTACTGGTACAATATTTTCTTTCCTTTTTTAAAAAGTTCGATTAAAAATTTGAAAATAACAAAATATGACGAAAATGTTTCATTGTATGTTTTAAAAATATTGATTAAATAATTCTGATCACTATGCAGAATTAGTCTCAATATTCTCTCTTTTTAATCAAATAAATAGATATTTCATAATTAAAAGGTTTTTTACTGTCAAGTTGTTGTTTATACTAAAACGGTCTTCTTTTCCTATTTGTTTTTATTAGTTTCGAATAAAATATTACTTGAGGGCCCAAATATCTCAGATAGTCCATCACAACTTCAACATTTATTCTTGTATTTCCTTCTGCCCTGCAAACATTCATTTAACTGTAAACATTATATAGTACAACTGTATGACCTCGTAGCGCCTCTAGTTCTGATTTTAAGCACAAGTAGGAGAATAAATTTTTATAACACTGATAATTTGGTAATTCTTATAAAGTTTTTGGATAGAAATTTTCTCTTAGAAGGTTCAAGCCTTTTTAGATTCAATTTTGTCCCGAGCTTTAGCGAGGAACAAAATATAATCTAATTTAAGTCCAAAATTTTTTTTGCACGTTGTGCCAAAATAACAGTTTTATAGGTAAATTTATGAAACGTTTGTGTACTTGTCTTATTTCAATGGCTAGTTCCATTGATCAAATAAGCTTTAAAACAAACTTGAAGTCTAAATATAAAGATGATTTCATTTTTATTTTTATTTCAATTGAAAAAAAAATATTTTGGTAATAACTACATTTTTTGGAGAAAATCCAAAAACCAATCAAACTTGTGGAATTCTTTGCTCTAAGAGCTCAGCATTTGAAGTATATCCCAAAAAAAATTTCTCGAAATTTTCGCTTTTTATTTCGCGAAAATTTCTCATTTTTTCCCTTAACTGATAAAAGCGAAATGTCGCGAAAATTTTCGGCGAATTACCCTTTCCGCTGGTAACGAACGAAATTTTTTAGAACGAACAAAATATTTCGTACAAAATTTATGTCGTTCATAAAAAAACAAACGATGGAGGAACAAAATGGATTGTTCAGAGAAATAAAAAATTCTCGGTTTTTAAAAACGATCGGGTTTTTCCGAAAAAAACGATTTAGAAAACAAAACAAACGTTTTTTACTGAACGAACGATTTTTCTGAATGAATGATATTAATTAACGAACGATTTTACTTAATGGAAAAAAAACAACGAAATATGTTGTTCAGAAACGATGAACAAACGAAATGAAAAAAAGTCACGCGTGTCAATCTCTAATTATTCTTCCAGACCTGAACTCCATACTGCAGATCTGAGTATCAAAAGGATACATTTGCATTTGATAATTACAAATCCAATTAATATTATATCCGCTGGATAAAACGAGATAATTCCCTTGACCAGTAAACAGATCAACATTCTCCAGGCTAGACAAAGCGCTAAACATAAAAAAATTATTCAGATTTTGATCATAAGCTGTGTTTCTCTGCCTTTGGGCTTTTTAATCTTCTTAATATCGTTATATTGTGTTTACAAGTGAATCTAGTAGGTACAATTTCCATAAATTGCATAATATTCGAAAATGTGCTTGGTCCCTATCAGTATTTTTAGTTTGAAATATCTAAGCTTTACGACACATGGGTTGCACAGGCATTGGAAAATAAAAGTTTGTGACAAAGATTAAATTCCTTTAAACTATAATTTTACTTTTACGTTGTTTACAACAGAAAAAAATAAAGTACGCATTTTTAATAATAGAATTTGGGATTTGAAAAAATAAATGACGGAAAAAAAATATTTTTTTGTTGAACTTTTTAATACATTTTGAAGATTTAAACGACATTTTAGAGTAAAATGTTTCCACGACGACAACCATTTTATGTTAGCACCACTTTTTAGTACAATAAAACGACGCTTTGGGGATTAAAAACCAATTGTAATATCTTAAGAAAATATTTTATCAACGACCCCTCTATTTATGGAGATTGTACCTGCTAGAAGCAATTTTTAACACAATGTTTAACAAATTTTATTATTTGCAGTGAGAACCAGAAAACTGTTGAATAGGAAGACGACATTAAAACAGTACTGAAGTGTATTTGATGTTGTTACAAAGCAAATTGCTTTAATAGTAAGTTATTAAATCACTTAATCAGAAAAATGGGTCTGTTTAAACTGAACAATGCTATGTCTCATGTTTATTGGACTATTTAAAGCTTCATATCTTGACTCTAAAAGTTGACTTCCTATTTCAGGGTTCTCTGGTTATCACTGTATCTTTATCAATTTTGAATTTGGTTTTGCAACTTTTTTATTGGCAAATATGTATATAGATTTCGAATCGTTTTTTTACCACGTTAATAGCTAAAAAAAGACTTTTGCTATTCTATTTAATAAAAAATTATAATGCACCATATTTTAGATTATTATGCCTTTTTTAGAAAGAAAGAAGAAAACATTTTTAACACTTTTATCATTTATTTGATGCCCCGTGCCCCCCCCCTCTGCAATAAATACCTGTAAACGGGTTCCTCGTTTCGTTGAACGGTGATAAACGAACTTTCATCGATATTACTCAACATTCGAGCTTTAGTGTTTAGAAAAATTACCCTGAAGCAAACTCGAATTGTTATAGAAATACATGAACATATTGATATATATATATAAATACAGGGTGTCTCGGAAAAAGTGCGTTTAGACATTTTAGCCTACTATTTTCTTTAAACATGTTACTAGTGGATTCAATGCTCATAAATCTGTTGGTCGTCGATGAAACATTTTGCTCTAAAATGCCATTTTAACCTTCAAAATGTACTCGAAATGTGTAATAGGTCCCTTTTCCTAAGTTTTCAAAAAAAATCAAACATCTTTTATGTCATTTATTTTGAAAAATCCTCAATTTTATCATAGAAAATGCACAATTTATTTTGTTCTGTTGTATAAAACGTATAAAAATAAATAAAATTACTATCAAAATTTTTTTTTTAAATCCAGCAAATGTTCTAAGGTTAAACGGAATTTTAGAGAAAAGAAACGACCCCACCCATTGTGGAGATTGTACCTCCTGGCCGAGGACTTTTTAACGCAATACATGGATGTTTAGTAGGCTCAAAAATAAGTGCGCGTTATGGATTAAAGAATTATTAACATAAAGTCGTCTTCATTGTATTGATATAATTAGCGACCACTGTACCTAGGAAGCCAGAGTTTCTCCACCTCTGATTGAGCGAGGGTATTTAAATTAGAGTCATTCTTTAAATACTGATATGCTAAACACAACATTTATTTATTATTTCAAATTTTTGTTGTGAGCTGTAAGAAAGCAAATCGAAAACTTGAAAACTAAATAAACTTGACCGATAAATATTATTGTCTTTCCTAGACGAAAATCCTTCCAACGAAGTGTCAATTGAAACCTAAAAGTAAAGAAGTTTATCAGCTTAAAGTGATTGGTCACATGGGCAAATTATCAAAATATTCAAAGTTTCTTTGTCATGTTGTTTTTAAGATGTAAATACAAAATTAAAAAATTTTCTTTCATCACTTCACTAAAAAAATCGCTTATTTGGCAGCCCATAATGGTGGCTCAGTGTAGTTCCTTAATTCAAGGTAAAACAAGACTTAACTTTCACATACGCAATTAAATTTTAAGAAAATCATTTTCTCCGGTCATAATGTACAAGCTATAGTGACTGGCGTTGACCGTAGTTTTTTAAAATAGAAATAAAAAAATCGAGAATAGATATTCTCTTAATGTGAAGATAGTTATTGTACTACTGTACCTGGTCTCAAACGATTGTTCAACCTCATTGATGGACAGAATTGCGGATATTTCAATTCCAATGTGAACCTTCAAATGTGTATTTTTACATGATTTTTTGAATGATTTGATTTTTTACCATACTTAAATCTTAACCCTATATATATAACTATAGTTAATCTTGAATATTGCGTTAATTCTGAGTTTAAAAAAACTTTACAACATTTTAAATAAAGCATCTTCTTTGAAAAAATAGAAATTGTAGACAAAGAAAAGAAAGTTTTGATTTTTAACATTAAGATTTTTTTTATAATATTTGTGTATTATTTTTCTAATTTTTCAATCACGTTTTTAAGGGACTGAAGTTGAAATTTCAAGTAAACCTCCATTCATGTATAAAGTGGATTGATAATTATTATTTTTAACTTTAGTCTTTTTGTTGCAAATTTATGCAGCCGAGACAATGAAGAAAGTTGTCGGGATTCAACATTTTTCCAGATTAATAAAACAAGACAACGAAATATTCATCATTGAAACTCAAAGAAAAGGTTTTAAAGTTCCCATTGTGAATCGGACATGACACTTCATGAATGAAGAGTGTCTTAATATTACATACCTGAAGACGTTTATATGAATTGTCTTTATTAATCTCTATTGGAGGAAAATCTTTATTATAGTTTTCCAGCGGTAAAATCACGTCACATCCGATTTCATCCGAAAAATCTATAAAAAAAAATGTTTTAGCTGTTGAAGAAATATATTTCTATATAAAGAGGAATTTTGACTTACAAGGGTACAACTGAAGCATTTTGAAGCCGGGAGGGGGAAAGATTGAATGGGAGAGGAGCCTCCTCAAAAGAAAAACGGCGGGGAATGTGCGTACCCCCCGGACCCAGTTGCGTTTATAAAGGCATCATAATCTTTGCAACCTGATGCTCTGAAACTTAGACTTGATCTTCAGAATTTGAAATTTCAAAGGTCTTCGACGTTTAAGTCGGGTTGCAAAGATGTAGAAATAAAATGATCAGAGTTTGTTTCAAGAACTCTGTTCTTCTTCTCTGTGAGAGTATTGTTTTTAGAAAGTAAATTTATTGCTTCAGATAGAAATACATAATGAATATCGAATGTATAAAAGGTGAGAAAAATTAGTAGATCTTCTCTGGTTCCAGAATCTGCGACACTGGTTTGTGAATTTTCTAATTTTGTTGGTGGATTTCTGACTTGATAAGGAAGACGACATTTACCTTTACAGTTTGGATATTTGTCACAACGTTTCTCAATATCTACACATTTTCCATCAATAGTACATGTAAACTCATCATCAAAACAAGCTGATAGTTCAAGGGGAATCACTCTCAGCGAACAGACTTCTATAAAAAAATTTACAAAAATTTATTTGAATGATCTTCCATATATGTTAGGGACCGCTTTTTAGAAACGATGTAAAAAACGACAGATTTTCTAACATTTTTAATACTTAAAATTCAATTTAAAATACATTTTAATTTCTTAAATGTTATTAACTGGTAGGAAAAAGATAGCATTAAAAGAAACCATAAAACTGTCGAAAATATGGTTTGTTCAAAAGACAATCTTTTTTAAATTGTTTGTTTCGTTGGGTTTTATCAGTGGTGAATCAAAACGACCAACTTTGCTTTCCTAAACATCTCAAAACTACAAAACTCCAATTCAATGGTGCTATGGAAACGCCCAACACGAAAACGCACTAACACGGAAACGGACCAAAAGTGAATTTTGGTCCATAATTACTTCTTTTTTCAAGAATTATCGGAAAAGTACAGTAAAAGCTACAGGAAATGTTCCGAACGGATTTTGATCCAGAACTCCAAAAAAAGGCCAAATATTTTTTCTTAAAACCAGAAACTTACCAAAAATATGAGGAAATTGATCAAAAAAAAGAACTGAGAATGATTAACTTTTTCTGAATACCGGAAATGGAACCAAAAAATGAGGAAACGGATTGAAAGAAAAGATAAAACCGATCAACAAACTCAGAATTTAAAACTTTTTCTGAAAACTGGAAACGGAACCAAAAAATGAGGAAACGGATCAAAAATATTGAGAAATCCCTCAAAAATATTGGGAAATCTCTCAAAAATATAAGACCCGTATAAACCGGAATCCAACCTTAAAATCGGTGAAACGTATCGAAAAAAGTGGGAAATTCCTGTAAAAAAAAGATTTGAGGAATTTCCAAAAAATTTTGAGAAAACAGGAAACGCCTCAAAAATTTTGGAGAGATTTCCGCTTTTCGGGTTTCCGTGTTGGAGCGTTTCCGTGTTAAGGCGAATCCAATTCAATGCAATTCAATCCGAACACATAAAAGAAAATACTTGTTTGATTTTCTAAATCTGTTACAGGGTTAATTAATTATCTACCTTTTGCTAGGGTCCAATTTCGTCGGCCCGTAGCCATAGAGGAACCCAAGAGAACCATTTCAGTTTCACCTGAATTTTGGATTTATAATTTATCACTGACGAATCGAAACGACCAACTTTGCTTTCCTAAACATCTCAAAACTACAAAACTGCAATTCAATGGTGCTATGGAAACGCCCCAACACAAAAACGCCCTAACACGGAAACGGTCCAAAAGTGACTTTTGGTCCGTAATTCCTTTGTTTTTTTAAGAATTATCGGAAATCCGTCAAAAACTGAAAAGTGAAAGACCCGTACTAGCCGGAATCAGACCTAAAGATCGAGGAAACGGATCGAAAAAAGTAGGAAATTTCCTGAACTTTTTGAGAAAACAGGAAACGCCTCAAAAATTTTCATTTTGGAGAGGTTTCGTTTTTTTGGACCTATTTCCTTGTTGGGGCGTTTCCGTGTTGAGGCGTTTCCATAGCACCAATTCAATGCAATTCAATCCAAACACAATATATACCTTTTGCTAGGGTCCAATTTCGTCGGCCTGTAGCCATAGAGGAACCCAAGGGAACCATTTCAGTTTCACCTAAATTTTGGATTTATAAAATTTCAATTTAATGAAGTAAATGTTTAGTTCACTAACATGTACATCCCATATAGAGTGGCTGAGTCTTGGACGTAGTCCGGGACGCCCAGATGACGCGGCAAGATGCTCAATTTTCCAAGAAAATATCAAATTTCACCAAATTTTCCCCTCTCTTTCTTCAGGAACCCATCCTGCGTCAGGAGAGGTTCAGACCAGACCGCATCCAAGACCTCTTACCCCCAACCCTAGCTTGGCCTGTTTCTTCCCACGTCCCACCGAGTCCGGGACTCAGACTTAGTTTCTGACGGCGATAACCCAACAAACATTAATACACAGGTTTTGTTACGTGAGCCATATCGCGTCCCTTAGAGTCTATGGTACGCCCCTACTCAATGGGGAATTCTTGTTCGCCCCTGTGACGAGAGAGTATTCTGTAAAGATGTTTCTGGAAGGAATTGAATACGAGGAGAAACTTGTTTTATTTTATATGTTTTGATTGTACTGCGCAAGCGCAGTTTGTGTATTGGACGGATTTATAGTAAAACGTTTATGTTAGTATATAGTTGGAATCCGTAAAGTGTGCTAATATTTCGTGCTGAAAACCCTGCGAATGACTGTGGTAAATATGTTTAAATGTTATTTTCATTCTATTCAATGTTCAAGAAAAAGTTCTAAAATATTTAGTTCTTATATTCAATATGTATCCTTGAGAAATAATTTTATAAGTAATTGTATGATAAATATTGGGTTGTTCATGGTTTTTTAATGCCTGAGGGATACTTCATTTGTTTCTTGTACCCTCAATGCTTTTTCCATGAGAAATAAATGTTCTTTGTTTATTAGACTGAAGCTGCTAATCCGAAATAAAGTTCAAACCCTATCCTGTGTATTTATTCAACATGAGGAGGATTGAGCAACGGAGTGCTTACGGTTCGGTTCAAAGGAGTTCAACTCGGTACTATTTTTATACAAACTAGGGCAACACCAGTTGCGAAACAGGTTTTCAACGAGATTAGCATTATGGAGAACTGGTTGATAATTCACGTGATTAATTCACGTACCCTCCTTGTGTTATACTCGTGGTAAATCTACTTTTCACAATCTTGAAGATTCCTCCTGTGTACAGCAAGGGTAAAAAACGCAAAAATATTCTTTGAAAATTCTCGTTGTTATTTCACATGTTGTACACGTAGCAAAATAAACCAGTNAGTGAAGCCTCGGGGAAAAGGAGTTAGTTGTGAATCAACCCGTTTGATGAGAGGTTACCCTGAAGATCCACCTCAATCTGATTATTATTCATTTACATCGATCGTATAGTATTTTCTCATTTATTAGTGTTTGTATAAAATAATAATAATAAATTGTAAAACCATCTCGCTGAATATTTGATAATATGAGTTGTTGTCTCGAATTTTTAGCATATACTAGATTATGTCCCAACCCCAACTTTGCCTGTTTCTCCCCGTGTCTTACCATATCTACCTCTAAGTTGACCAGCAGCAGAGTTCTTGGCCCCTGTTTTTACAAAAAAGTCAGCATTTTGAATCATGATTTGCGGCATGAAGACGACCTCCAAACAAAAAGTCAAATATACGAAAATATATGAAAATGTTGGGCGAAAATGAAAATTGGACCTCTAACTAAAAAAATGAGCCCTTCAGAGCCTCCAACAGTTTTAGAGGTCGAAGGCTGTAACTCGTGGCGTTTTTCAGCAATTGCAAATTCAAAACATGTTTCAGATTCCTCAACTACAGCTGAATATTATTCCCAAAAAAATGTGAAAAAAGTAAAAACCGACGATTATTGAACAAAAATAGTAAAATTGCTATAGAGGACTTTAATACCTTTCTAATTATGGGAAAAAATCGTCCATCAGACGATTGGCGGCGGAGAAATCGGCCGCTGTTTTTTGTCACAATTATCAACATTTTAAATCACAATTTGCGGCATGAACTCCAATCAAGATGATGTATGAGTACAAAGTTGTAGCAAATATTTGAAAATGTTCTTTAAGCTAGTATTCCTCCTCCTCTACCTACTGATGTTCATGATCATAGGGATACATTAGACAAGTCTGATCTTGATCAATTCAACAATCATCCAACACAAATCTGCGTTCCTGAAACTATGTTAATTCCGGAATCGGATAAATCCCAAGGCAGATGAATAATTTGTTTTTCAATCCAATGTATCGTCAATCTAATGTATTTTCGTACTTTTTATTTACTTAAACAGTTCTATAATAACTCGTATATTTCAGGCATATCTGGAAATCTAACTTAGGAAACAAAGCTGCTTGAAGACATTGGTCTTTCTACCATATCCTGTGGTTTGGCCTGTTTTACAACTAGTTTCTTCATTATTACTTGTTTTACTCAGTGTTATTCTGCATCATATACAGGGTGAACTTTTATTTAGTTTTTATTGTTTATTCATTTGATACTGTGAGCCAGCCTAGCTTGAAACCTAGGAAACCACATTGTGAAATGGAAGAAAAGGTTTCCATTATAAAGGTATAATGGTAATATTTTATTTTTACCCCTTACCCACCCCCCTTTTCCCCTTTCTTTTTTTTATTATATTCATGAAAACTATACAAACCCCCTCCCTTTCCCACCACTTATTACCTTTTATTTAAATTGAATATTGTTTATTCATTCTCCCCCCCCTCCTATTTTAAGACTAACTTATTGATTTATATTTTAAATATTAAAATTTTTTATTGTTTAGTGTAGTCCGGGAAACCCTAGTTTGTTAACATCTAAACATGAAACCTGGCTAAACTTACAGGTATTCATACTTTACACTTTTATTCCTACTCTTACTTATTGTACTTTATTACTTATTACTTATTGTACTTTCTTACCCTATCTATACTTATCTCTTAACTCTTATACTTATTCTTACTCTTACTTACTGTAAACCTTACACTTCTGTACACTTCTTTTTTAGTTATCTCTTCAACCCTTACACTTTTCTTCTATTTCATATTGTATTTTTTACACTTTCGTACCCTATTTATACTTATCTTTTAACTCTTATATACTTATTCTTACCTCTATTTTATTTTAACTCTTACTCTTACTTACTGTATACCTTACACTTCTGTACACTTCTTTTTTAGTTATCTCTTTAATCCTTACACGTATTCTTACTTTTATTCTAATTTTAATTCTTACTCTTACTTATTGTAACCCCCCCCCCTTATTTTTTATTTGTTACTTATGTTCATAATATTTAGGATCAAGAAACCCGTGCTTGTACTGCAACATTCTTCTACTATCTTCTTGAACCTAATACAACATTTGCGATTTCCGTAGTGGAATCTATGGGGGGGGGGGGCATAGCTTGGATATTTAGCTCTAGCTATTAAACTTAATGCAATAATCGGTCTTAGCGTGATAATAGTTTCTAACAAACTCCAAGTACCTTCTTTGTGAGTTGATAAGCATACGTAAAACACTTGGTAAATTACGATTTTGTATAAAGTCTGAAAAATGTTTTTCTAATTCAATTTTTCTTTTAAATATGTATATTTTTCTTCTACTTTTAAATGTACTTCAATATAATCAAGTAAATTTTGTAAATTTAAAACATGAATAAGATTTACTGGAACATTTTCTAGCTTTTCTAGTACATTGTACGGAATTAAGCATTTCTTGGTTCTGTCTCCGTAGACTTGCTCTTTTGCTATGAAACTCAATTTCTAAAGTTTTTATTATTTGATTAGCTTGACATTCTTCCTGTTTTGTTAGTTTATCTATCTCCTGTTTGTTTCTACCTTCACAACTAGCAATTGAGATCTGCACTTATTACAATTCTAGAAAAAAGGTTTAAAAACAATGCCAAATTATATTGGCGCTTTAAGGTGGCCATGATGGTGACATACATATATAAATACGTACATATATTTATATACTATATCCTTACGTACATATATTTATATACTAACCAATTATGTTAGAAGTATTTTTGATGCTGACAATTTCCCATTTCTTCCGCCCTTTCTTCTCTTTCAAATTTTCATTTAATCTGATAAGGCTGTATTTGTGACCCTAAAACAGATTTTTTTTTAACAAAACGTTGCTTACTCTATTTTCGTTTATTAAAAGGTTATTTGCCTAGTTGTTTGGCTTTAATAAAAAAATGCGTATGATTAGGCCAAAAAATCAACAAAATTGTCTATGCTACGAAAATTATGTCGGTTCTTTTTTTAATATATTTTCCGCCCATTAAGCGTACCGTGTAGTATTGTACAGAGTTGATATTGTCCCAAGCTAATGTATAAAACGTACCTTGTAGTATGGTATAGAGTTGATATTGTCCCAAGCTAATGTATAAAAGTATGGTATAGAGTTGATATTGTCCCAAGCTAATGTATAAAACGTACCTTGTAGTATGGTATAGAGTTGATATTGTCCCAAGCTAATGTATAAAATGTACCTTGTAGTATGGTATAGAGTTGATATTGTCCCAAGCTAATGTATAGAATGTACCTTGTAGTATGGTATAGAGTTGATATTGGCCCAAGCTAATGTATAAAATGTACCTTGTAGTATGGTATAGAGTTAATATTGTCCCAAGCTAATGTATAGAATGTACCGTGTAGTATGGTATAGAGTTGGTATTGTCCCAAGCTAATGTATAAAATGTACCTTGTAGTACGGTATAGAGTTGATATTGTCCCAAGCTAATGTATAAAATGTACCTTGTAGTATGGTATAGAGTTGATATTGTCCCAAGCTAATGTATAAAATGTACCTTGTAGTACGGTATAGAGTTGATATTGTCCCAAGCTAATGTATAAAATGTACCTTGTAGTATGGTATAGAGTTGATATTGTCCCAAGCTAATGTATAAAATGTATCAATGGTACGCTGTTCAGCACACAAACCTCTATACAAAAGGAATCCATGTTGATACAAAGGAATTGAGCATTTTCCACGGACTAAAAAGCTTCTACTCTATATCTTTGTAACCTGATGGTGTAAACATTTGATTTTTCAAACAAAGCTTATTTGATCTAACAGAATTCATGCTAACAACGTTTTAAAGGATCACAAAATTAGAGTTTGAGGCGAGCTTTGAGAAGATTGCAAACTATAATTTTTATTTAAAAAAGGATAATTGACAAATAAAATTATACATCAACATCTCAGTCATATGTCTATAAAACGTAGGTACAGTAAGACGAAATCTGAACAGTCCGAAATGTATTTCATGTTGTTAAAGGAATATAGTTTCGCCGCCAGTATAGCTTTAAAAAATTGGATATGTGTACATTAAGGTTGTTTATTAAAGCTAGAATTAGATACTCGGATTGTGCTCACATGTTGTTTTCCTAGCAATGAACAGCGAACACTAAAAATTCTTATATAACGTAACTGCTTATTAGCGGAGGTTGTTCGTAACAATATTGTTGGTGAGAGGATGGGAGGACTTTCTCCGCATGTCTAACCTTTATAAACATCATTGTAGTATGGTATAGAGTTGATATTGTCCCAAGCTAATGTATAAAATGTATCAATGGTACGCTGTTCAGCACACAAACCTCTATACAAAAGGAACTCATGATGATACAAAGGAATCCATGATGATACAAAGGAATCCATGATGATACAAAGGAATCCATGATGATACAAAGGAATTGAGCATTTCCCACGGACTAAAAAGCTTCTACTCTATATCTTTGTAACCTGATGGTGTAAACCTTTGATTTTTCAAAAAAAGCTTATTTGATCTAACAGAATTCATGCTAACAACGTTTTAAAGGATTACAAAATTAGAGTTTGAGGCGAGCTTTTGAGAAGATTGCAAAGTATAGCTTTAAAATCAACTAATTAAAAAATTGGATATGTGTACATTAAGGTTGTTTATTAAAGCTAGAATTAGATACTCGGATTGTGCTCACATGTTGTTTTCCTAGCAATGAACAGCGAACACTAAAAATTCTTATATAACGTAACTGCTTATTAGCGGAGGTTGTTCGTAACAATATTGTTGGTGAGAGGATGGGAGGACTTTCTCCGCATGTCTAACCTTTATAAACATCCTTGCTAAAATCATAACTTGAGTCAAATTGTTGTCCCCTTGTATTATTTACATCAAAAGAAAGAAATAACCTTAGTCTAAGTGTTGGTGGAGTATTAAAATAACACATAAAACAAGAGGCTTCAGTTTCTCCTTAATAAAATCTTGAAATTGTAAAATATCGTCTTTTTCTTCAGAGAAGAAATCCACAAGCACAACCTTTACAAATCTGCAATCTTTAGTTTCTGCAGTTTTAGTGCAAAAAAAATTGCGTATATTCATGCGGATCTCTTTTTATAAAGATACTAAATAAATTAACATTATACAGGGTTACTCACAGTGAATGAGATTAAATGACGACCTAAAAATGTCTACTTCAACAGAAAGATCTTATTAATTAAAACTAGGTTTGTTCTTTATATCGAAGGTTTAAGAATAAAGAAAGTTTTCTAGTAGTTGGTTAGTTCTTGTAATTCTCCAGACACCTTCTTCTTCTAAATCATTTATACCGATCAATAACCGTTTACCACACCTGGAAATATAGATAATTTAAACATAGAGAAGTAGAACAAAGACAGGTGAAAGATAAAGTAAATACATAGAAATCAAACATAGGACTTAACGAAATATAGAGTGGTCACTGTAAAGGTCATACGTAGAGAGTCCAACCAAACATCAAGATTATACATAAAGTGTTTAAACTTAGAGATGATAGATGTTAAAAAAAGAGATTATATGTATAAGGGTTTATATACAGAGGTCAAATATAGAGAGATCAAACATAGAAGTTAACCATAGAGGTTATAAATAGAGGTCAAACTTAGAAACTTCAAACAAAGAGTGTTTACTCATAGAAGTCAAACGTAGAGTTCAATCATAGAGAGGTTAAACATAGAGAAGTCAAACATAGGGTCAAACATAGAGAGGTCAAACATAGAGAGGTCAAACATAGAGAGGTCAAACATAGAGAGGTCAAACATAGAGAGGTCAAACATAGAGATGTCAAACATAAAGAGGTCACATGTAGAGAGGCCAAACACAGAGAGGTCAAACATAGAGGTCATACACAGACAGCTTAAACATAGAGATCAAAGATAGAAGTTAACCAAAGAGGTTATAAATATAGGGGTTTTGTAGTAAAAGTCATACTCCATAAACTGATCTCCGACCCGTATCTATCCAGGTACAATTCGTTAGCTTTCAATGTCGACAAGGACAAAAGCGCTAAAACAGTTGATGCCAAACCAATGGGCTCGATCTCGTAAGCTATGGATTTCAATCTGAAGCTCATAATTATCAATTCCAAACCAATGGGCACAATCCTCAACCTGCTTATCAAAACAGGAAACGATTACTCTCTTGCAGTAACCAGTACACAGTCCACGCACCTCTGATCCTTTAGTAAAAGTAAATCAAACCTCAAGTCTGACCCAATGTCCGGGCAATACCGTACAAACTGGGACCGGAAAGGTTGACCCGGCTCGGAAATTCAAATGTACTACAGCTGCCCGAGAGTCTCTATTTAAACTAATTTATTTTAGGTAGCTATGTTTAAGTTTTAATGTACTTATTCGATTATCTCTATCACATGATTAAGCCAATCATGTTATGTATTTACAGCACAGTTATATCACATGATTAAGCTAATCATGTTATGTATTTATAGCACAGTTATATCACATGATTAGGCTAATCATGCTACATATTAATTTGAAGCACAGTTCAAATGAATAATGAGTTTACAAACGTAGATAGGTAATAATGTACAACATAGTTTTAGGTTTACAGATATCTTGTTACACAAGATTTATTACATGTTTATATACAGAGGGGAAACAAAGAGAGGTTGAACAAAGAAAGGTCAATCATAGAGATGTCAAACATAGATGTCAATTATAGATGTCAAACAAAGAGATCAAGCAAGAGGTAAAACATAAGGAAGTCAAACATCGGAAGTTCAAACATAAAGATCATACATAGAGAGTTTAAATATAGATATAAAATATAGAAGCTAAAGAAAGAGGTTATGTATAGAGATCAAGCATAGATGTCAAACATAGAAAGGTCACACATAGAGAGGTTGAACATAGAGATTTCAAATATAGAAATTAAAAACAAAGAGAGGTCAAAAAAGGTCAACCAGAAAGAACAAACTTAAAGTTCGCTGTAGAAAAGAAATTTTAATCAGAGAGACCTGTTATTAAAATATTTCAATGTTAGACATACAGGAATTCCAAAAAAATAGTAGTATTGTTTAATTTATTTAAAGTATACCTATCATTTGGTTGGTTTCCATAGGAGAACTGTTTCACCTTCTCAAACATGATCATATCACGTCCCTTGAGTAGATCTGGATCAGCATCAAAATTAACCCAACCGCCAAATCTGTGACACATCTCCTCGGCCTCTAAAGGTTGAAACAAGTTTTGTAAAATTGTCTTAAGTTCTGATTTGTTGAATAGGGAGAAGAGTTGAACTAGGAATATTTAGAACTAAATGCTTGAACAGAATGGATGGAATTTGTGTCGAAAACTAGCCTTTCCTGTACCGCAGGTTCTACTGCCTCGAACTTTAGCTGTGGCACTACACATTGGGCCTTACTAAGAAAAAGGCCATATGGTCCTAAATTATTTTTTTACTCCAGTTTTTTTTGGGCTTTTATATATTACTCTACAAAAGCGTAATACTTTGAAAAATCTCACGGATTTTCAATCCATTGAAAAAGGATGCTTGATAGCTATATATCTAACCTGAGTAGACAAGCCAGGCAGGAAATATCATGATATGAGTATCCATGTATTCAGAGGAACATATTTCATCCAGATCAACACTTAGCTCATCAACTGAAATATCATTATATGAGTATTAATGTATTGAGGGGGACTTATCAACAATTAAAAGCATTTTTGCGGATAAAATAAGAATATCTCCGTCATCCTTGATCAGCCTAAGATTAAGAGTGTAGCGTTGGGAATTATACAATGTGTCGATTCCAAATCAGAAGTTGAACAGTTTTAAACATTACCTTTGATCATTTAGAGAACTAGCATTGATCAGAATACAGAAGGGATATTCAAAAGAGAGGATTAAAGAAGAAAATTAAAAGTGTCAATAATGGATACAGAGATTTAGCAATCGAGATTAAGGTTATCCAATACAAAAGATTTAAGCTCTTTTAATATAAAAAAAAAATTCTTTTTCAACTTTGAGAAGGTCACCTGCTCCGTACACTTCCCATCTTGAAATATTTGACCAAGTGGACAGATCTCCGACAAGTCTTAAAATATTCCACATTTTTAAATTTTAATTCATTATTTTTTCATTCATAATTCAAATAATTATTTTTACTCTTTTGTGCAGGCTGTATATTCAACCATTTCGGAGAATTCAAGTCTTCGGGTAAAAACCTAAAATAATAAAGTTCACATTTTACCCGCCATTTTCAAACACCAATTTTCACGCCATTTTCTGACGCCATTTTGTTTTTCATTACCTGAACATCTGTTATTAAACCGTAGAGTTGGCCCCCAGTCACACTTAGCTTGGAAATCGAATGTCCCACCTACAAATTTATTCGTCTCTAAAAACCTATCATGACATTTAGAATTTATTTACGGTTTGAGTGGAATTTTGCAGTTATAGTGAAATCATGACTTCTTTCTTGGCCTATAAGATTTTTTAGCCATTTTCAACAGAGAGAAATAAAGTAGCAAATCAGAGTTTTTTAGGATTCACACTGACCCCCCTTTTTTCGTGAGCACTCTCTTTAAATACTTTTGTCATTTCTACATAGATCTGAAATGATGTACATATTCCTAAAAGTAGCAAAAATTGGAAAATGTCAACATCAAAACTGTAGATTTCAAGTCAAGTAGATTTGTAAAGTGGCATATTCAATTCTTACTGTCGTCCATTTTTTTTAACTTAAATAATTTATTTAAATTAAATTTTACAATACTTTTAAATTTCAATATGATATCAGATGGAAACATTTTAAGACTTCTATATTTCTTGTTTTTCATTGCTTCTTCTTGATCATCCACTCCTTGTCCATCCTTCGATCATACTTTAGCTAATTTTAAAAATAAAATAAATGAATTTTTTGGATGTTTTCTACAGATAGCCAAATTGCAGAGGCAGAATTATTTTTTGGAGCCCTGTAGCTATCTATATATAAATTTGGCTTTTCTGTCTGTTTGTCTGTTTGTTTGTTTGTATCCAATAAACGTCAAAACGGCTGAACCAATCGGGCCCAAAATTTGTGTGGGACATCACATGACCACAGGGAAGGTTTATGAACGATCAAAATTTGAAATATTTGTCTCCATCAAAATTCAATCTTCATTAAATTTTTGAAAATTTTGAAAATCCACGAAATTTTTTGTGAAAATCCGCTAATATTTTTGTTTTGTTTTACGATGTACACAAAGAGAACATGTTCACAATTAATTTAGAAGATGGGCCCCAAGCAACCTCTAAGGCTAGTATTCTATATTCTGAGAGTGGCAAGGTTTCTCGCTCCCTTGTTTGTTTTTAAATTTTGCATCAGTCATGTTGCTGTGTCAAGTCCTGCATTCCTAGCTATAACACACTTTCAATTAAATTTTCTTGATGGGGGGAAGAGGGGTGAGGGAGGCGTTTTACACATTTTCCAGTTTTTTATCTCGTGTAGGACATAGAGGGGGGGATGGGACATTCTGCCATCCTGTGTATTGGTCTTTATTTGCTATCGGTGAAAAAAATAGATAGTGTAAAGCTCAAATCCCCTTTTTATTTTTCCTGTTCATAGTTTTCTTCTTCTTTCTTGTTTATCTCTACTGTCAAGAGATTTCCCTTCCACTTTTTTCTGTTTAATTTATTTTTTCTTCTTGCTTCTTGTCTCTTGATTTTACACTTTAAGGCCTTTCCAAATAGTTCTTTTAACATCGAGTTGTGGAGCAGGTAGGAGAGAGATAAGGAGGTTTGTAGGAAGAAGGGTATAGGGGATTTCTCCCTGTGTTCCTTCATTTTATACTGTTTCCCAGTTAGGGCAATTAAGGAATTTACCAATAACTGCACCCCTTATGCAAATTGGGGAGTTGTGATCACTGAAAGCACTCTTGAGAGGTATCTCCATGGCAGCCCAGTCCTCACATCTGGTCGAGTAAAAAACAGGTATCTTTGTGCATGACTTGTATTTCCATGAGGGGTTAAACTCCTCTTTCAGTGCACCAAGCTAAAGATGAAGTTTTGTTATAATCTATGCTTTCAGCTTCCCCTGTAGGATACAAGATGCGTAACTAAACTCCTGCATATATGATGATTTCAGCTATTTATTCATAATTTCAATCATCATCTCTGGTTAACAAATTAACAATGACAATGTCATTTAATTCAGAATAAAAAATCAAAGTTTTACTTCAAGTTTAAATTTGAAAAAAGTACGAACCGAATTTTTAGAATTGTGTACAGTAAGAACCATAAAACTCTAGAAGATGAAAACAAAACTAAAACTATACTAAAGTGTATTTGATGTTGTTACACAGCCAATACCTTTACTACTAGGTTATTAAATCCCTTATTCAGTGAAATGGGTCTGTTTACACTGCACAATTGCCGTGTCTTATGTTCATTTGACTATTTAAGTCATAACTTGAGTCTCAAAGTCGTCAGAGTTATTTTTCCTATTAAAGGGACTGTGTGCGTAATTTCAAGTGACCCTCAATTCAAAGATGCCAATTTCCGATTCACAACAGTACCCTTAAAAACTCTGTGTGGTCAAGTTTAAACTAGATATCAATGTTTATCATTTTGACAACTGATTATTTCAAATTGTGGTTTCTTAACAAAAATAACAATTGCGCATTTCTCTGCAGGAACACAGACACTAATTATCAGAATTGATAAATTTTAAACCCTGAAAAACGTCAATATCTTCCACATTATTGATTAGATAAAGGTTTTAAGAGAACCGTTGTAAATCGAGTATTACTGTCTTTTTATGGAGGGTCACTTGAAATTACGCCTACAGTTCTTTTTTACTTTCCCTCCTTGATATAACTACCTTGAGCTTGTTTCCTTTCAGCCAGGCATAGTTTGGTCTAATGGATAAATCTACAGTGTGATAAACCTCCTTCCCATTAATCACAACATGGGCTTCCCCCTTCTCCTGTCCAGGAGACGTAGCAAAGGAGAAACAAATATGATACCACCTAAAGAAGAAACAAGTACGTTTATTGTATACCACCTAAAGGAGAAACATATTTTATTTGTATACCACCTAAAGGAGAAACATATAAAATACCACCTAAAGGAGAAACATATAATATACCACCTAAAGGAGAAACATATTTGATACCACCTAAAGGAGAAACATATAAAATACCACCTAAAGGAGAAACATATAATATACCACCTAAAGGAGAAACATATATGATACCACCTAAAGGAGAAACATATAAAATACCANACTTCCGATATACACTATTCAAAATTTTGAGCCTGACAGAAAATAACAGGCAAAAATAAACCAATATTAATCGTATGTGTGGTGTGGTATTACCTTGAAATTGTAACCATAATCTCCATTTTTCATTCTACCCCCTTCCTCAACCAATCTTGCCTCGATAAATCTAGAAATTCAAATTCAAATCATTAAACTTTTTTTTATTTTAAAAAGTTTTTTCTAAATAATTGTTTGTGTTTGTTACCGGTTTGTGTCCGGGTCAAAAATAGAGTCCTTTTCGTCCAGTGTGACCAGCCTGATACTAGCTGAACAAATATAATTCATCAAAGGGACTCATCACGTAGATTTAAGTGAGCAACCATTGGTAGAATGGAAAATCTGATTCACAACAACGGTTCCCTTGAAAGCTTTGTCTGATCAAGTATAACTTAATTATTTGTTATTAAGAACTCTTATTTTCGTTTGTGGTTTCTCTTAAAAGTAACTTGCGCATTTCTAGTGTTCGTGAAAGATGAAAGAGTATGTAGGCTAACGGCGAAAAATAAGCGCTTTTGATCGCTACTAATCTTATTGCTATCTGTTGCGTCTATAATATCCAAGAATATTGTTAAAAGCGACTCATGCTGCAAAACGTAGCGTCCATACAAATTTGGAAAGTTGCAACATTTAACTCGGATCGTAAAAATAACAATTTAATTCCAAAAGAATTATTTAGATATTACAAACAATAGTCATCGATTATTTTTCGACGTATTCGTATATAGTTAATATTTCATAATATTTTTATTTCGTTTTTTTTAATAATATTTTGCTGGATCTGGATTTTTGAACTTTCCTGGAAAATATGAAAATGTCGTCTTCATTAACAAAAATCCTCTGAACAGGAATAAATTTTTTCAAAAGTAACTCTCAGATCATGACAAACACAAAATATTATGAAACATCAACTATATATGAATGTGTCGAAAAATTATCGATGATTATTGCTTCTAATATCTGAATGATTTGTTTGGAATTATATTGATTTTTATACGATCCGAGTTGAATTTTGCAACTTTCTGAATTTGCATGGACGCTACTTTCTTCGGTATGTTGTTTTTAACAGTTTTCTCCTTACAGACGCAACAGACAGAAGTAAGATTAGTAGCGATCAAAAGCGCTTATTTTTCGCCGTAAGCCTATACCCCCTTTCATTTTTACATCTTCGGTTTAATAGATCAAACTATCTTCGGTTTAATAAATCGAGCTATCTTCGGTTTCGGTTTAATAGATCAAACTATCTTCGGTTTAATAGATCAAACTTTCTTCGGTTTAATAAATCGAGCTATCTTTGGTTTAATAGATCAAACTATCTTCGGTTCAATAGATCGAACTATCTTTGGTTTAATAGATCGAACTATCTTCGGTTCAATAGATCAAACTATCTTCGGTTCAATAAATCGAACTATCTTCGGTTTAATAGATCAAACTATCTTCGGTTCAATAAATCGAACTATCTTCGGTTTACTAGATCAAACTATCTTCGGTTCAATAGATCAAACTATCTTCGGTTCAATAGATCAAACTATCTTCGGTTTAATAGATCAAACCATCTTCGGTTCAATAGATCAAACTATCTTCGGTTTAATAGATCAAACTATCTTCGGTTCAATAGATCGAGCTATCTTCGGTTCAATAGATCGAACTATCTTTGGTTTAATAGATCGAACTATCTTTGGTTTAATAGATCGAACTATCTTTGGTTTAATAGATCGAACTACCTTTGGTTTAATAGATCAAACTATCTTCGGTTTAATAGATCGAACTACCTTTGGTTTAATAGATCAAACTATCTTCGGTTTAATAGATCGAACTATCAGTTAGATAGCTAGGTCGATCACAATTTCGCATGACGATAGGAATTCTGAAAACAATTTTAGAACTTTGATACTGCATGCTGGATAACTAATAAAGCGTTTTTTTTCCTTCAAACATCTACCAAAGAAATAAATTTTAAAAATCACGAATCCTCCTTCAAAAAAAACATTTGGAAATAATAAAAATCTTCTTACCTAAACTTATATCAGGCGCTGGATCAAATTTTGTTGGGAATATTCTAAAAGTAAATTGTCAGAATTTATCTTTAAAATAATTTCATGATTTTAAGATTAGATTTTTCATTAAATGAAGTGTTAAATCCTTTGATTTAATTTAGTCTTATTAATTATGATTGGATTTCAAGACATTATATAGAGAAAATATTTTTTCGATACTGTGAATTTTTGACCAAATAATTGTGTAATTTTTTTCTTGGTGAATTTGACAATCTTAACTCTANTGAAAAAACGATTTAAAAAAAATCAAATTTAAGTGCTATTTTATCCCTCTTTAACTAGATAGAAAATTCAATCAAATAAAAATTTAATTTTTTTCAAATTCAACGAGTATATTGTTGTTTTGTACTTTAGACAATATTTTTGAAAATTAATACCTAGCTTACGCTTTTTATTGGTAGAGAAGACTATGAAGGTCCGAACATTGATTATAACTTCCAAAAAAAATTTAGACGTGCATAACATTTAAAGTGGGTGCAAATTAAAAAAAAAATGCTGTTCATGAATAAAATTATTTTTTAAAACAAAAAATTGTCCTTTGAAACTTTACTGGCGACCAGAAATGCTCTAAATTAAGGATCTGAAGGAAATTTGGTGTTCTGCCCTGAATATATATGTATGGCCTTTTTAAGACAAATCTTATAGATTTGACAAAGAAGATTTACCTAAAATTAAATGCCAACATATTTTTTGCTTGGGTCCGAGAAGTGCATAAAATAAATGCTGCGAAGGCCTAAAATAAAATACTTATGTTTTTTTGTATTTAGCTTTAAAAATCTTGACTTACGATCCAAAACAGCATCTTGAGGATCAACCCAGCACCACTGCAAAAAATATATAAAAAATTTAATATTTTTAAATATGGTTCCCTTCGATTTATTTGTGTGCTTTATAGGTCTAAAAGGCAACAAATGTTTTATACATTTTGTAAAGTTTGTTATAAAATTCAGCTTTTTTAACTTTTTTAAAATCGCGATTCTACGATTTTGAAAGACAGGTTTAGAACATAAATAGGGGTTGGAACTTGCCAGTAAGGTCAAAACTTAACTTTTAATTTGGACTTAGAATCTTGATTTGTTGTGTTGTCTTTTTTACTTACAAATCAGAGGGTCAAACTTTTAATTAATTGATTTTAAACGTATTTTTGTACTTGATATTATAATGCATATAACAGGGTTATCCACACAGGAGGAGTCTTTTCTTTTACATTCATGAGTCCCTGCAGAGTGCAGATGAAAACGTGTTTTTTCTTTTGTCAAATCATTTAATATATCTTATAGAATAGAGTGCAGATGAAAACGTGTTTTTTCTTTTGTCAAATCATTTAATATATCTTAAAGAATACATATTCAAGGTAAAAATCCTAGTTTAATCTTTATATCGATGTTTTTAAGAGTTTTGGTGAGTCACAAAAGTCTCAATAAAAGTCCTAACCCTGTATTAATATGTGCCGCGTTTATATATATATATATATATCGCCTTATTAACTTTTTGGTCAAAGGAATTGAGTCTTTCTCACAAACTAAAATTTTCTAATCCCTACATCTTTGCAACCTGATCGTGTAACATGATTCAAAGTTTGAAATATCTAAAGTCTACGGCAATGGGATGTGATCATGTGAAAGATAAAGAGTGATTAGAAAATCAGAGTTAGTGACAAAGACTCAACCCTATTACTTTTATAATAATGTGTATTAGATAAAATTTGTTCAAGTAACAGTTAAAAAACCAAAATTTTCCATTTGAAAAAGCTAATATCCAATTTAGCATAGATAAATCTTAAAAACTAGACTTTTCTACTTTTACTCTTTTAACTTTAAATTGCGGCTCTATCTTGAGCATCTTTTCTTTGTTCGTCTGCGGATCTAAAAATTATTATTCAGTGGATTTTTAAAAATTTACAAAAATCTAACATTTTTGTTGACAAACTTTTGTAATTTTGCGCATCCAAAAGTCATGTGAGGTCCCACAAAAAAATTTGGCCCGATCGACAAATTATAAAATTTTAAATTATTTCAAATTTAAATTATCCTATTTGCCTTGAAGAGATAGAATAACTGCGAGCATATTAGGAATTAATTCGAGATTTTAAAATGTTGAAGCCTCGTGTCATAAACTTATAAATCAGGATTGTCAGGATATAATTTAATTTAAAACGTTCTAGTTTCTCAAGATGTAAAAATCAATTGTAATTGTATTTTTTTAACATTCTTTAAAAGTTAGCAGTTAAGAATGATATTTATAAGTATATCTAGCTTTAAATTGATTATTTAAAAATTCATAAAAAGAATACGCCCTTTGGCATCCATAATTGTTAATAAAAAAGAACTTTTAAATTTGAAAGTAGTAAGAGGAATGAAATTAATCCGTTGGAGTGAATGTGATTAGATGCTTGATCACAAAATTCAATAAACAAAAGTTCTGATCAGCCGAATTTAAAGAATTTGAGCCGCGGCTTAAATTTGAGACGCGGCTCAAATATGGTTGGTTCCACTTAAAATTGTATTCAATGTTTCAAGATTTAAGCCGGTGCTCAATTGAAACCGGTTTTTGGCGGATTCGATACGCGGCTCAAATTCATTTAATTCGGACTCTGCAGACCAACTCTGACCTATGTCCAGTTCAATTATAAAGTTAGAAACTAGCCGATGTTTCCATTCTTCCAAGAAATTAATATTCTTTGGTTCTGTAAAAAATGTTTTGTTTAGATGCTTGTGAAGCTATACTTAAGAAGAAACAATATTTATTTGTTTAAAGGATTGTGGTTAGCTCGTGGTCAATAATTAGTATACAAATGTTGGGTTACAGAGTCATTCAAGTATATCCATTTTTAGATTAGAATTTTTGACAGTCCGAAAACTACAGGGTTACCAACAAAACATTAGCATGTAAGGAAGACGAGAAACTATTTTGATAAAAAGATTCCAAGGTTGAATTAAGTCTTCTGCCTTAGAGAAAACAAAGTTTACAGTTGCAGTTATAGAGAATAATAAATGTAAGGACACAGACAGTATATATTACATAGTGTCGTCTCTGAAGTCCCAGCATTTGTGAGTAACCCTGTATATTCAATATGATTTTAAATCTTCATAATTATATTTATTGTTTGAAGGTTATGGTTTGCTTGGGGCGAAATACTACGCCTTTATTTTGTGAAAAATGCGCAAGATGAACCCATGCGTCGCGACGCCATGTTTGTGAGAAAAAAATCCCAGAGATAAATGGAGAAAAGGGAGAAGAAGTATAGAGGAGAAAAAGTGGGGGGGAAGGGGGGAGAATCCGTAGATTCTTGAAACTGATCAAATGGACATAGAAGACATTAAAAGAGACAGTGAATATATATAAACTATAAATAATGGAGAAAAAAAATGAACAAGGTATAGATAGATTGATTAATAGGTTGATAGACAGATAGATTGATTGATAGATAGACAGAAAAGTGGATAGTTAGATAGATAGACAGATATAGATAGATAGATAGATAGATAGATAGATAGATATATAGATAGATAGATAGATAGATAGATAGATAGATAGATAGATAGATAGATAGATAGATAGATAGATAGATAGATAGATAGATAGATAGATAGATAGATAGATAGATAGATAGATAGATAGATAGATAGATAGATAGATAGATAGATAGATAGATAGATAGATAGATAGATAGATAGATAGATAGATAGATAGATAGATAGATAGATAGATAGATAGANTATGAAGTACCTGGTAAGAATTCTAAGAATATATATAAAGATAAGATAGAAAGAAATGTTTATGGATAGATAGATAGATAAAGATAAGATAGAAAGAAATGTTTATGGATAGATAGATAGATAAAGATAAGATAGAAAGATATGTTTATGGATAGATAGATAGATAGATAAAGATAAGATAGAAAGATATGTTTATGGATAGATAGATAGATAAAGATAAGATAGAAAGATATGTTTATGGATAGATAGATAGACAGATAAAGATAAGATAGAAAGATATGTTTATGGATAGATATTTCAGTTTTAATTTCAGGAGTATATTTCAAAGTATTCTTTCAACACTTCTATGTAAAGATAGATAGAAAGATAGTAGATAGAGGTGTATCATCTGGAATTCTCAATTTAAACAAAAGACAGGTTTTTCTTTTAATTTGATCGTAGAGATAGAAGAGATATACTATACAGAATTAAAGGTCAAAACTTCCCATGGATTAAATTCATAAAGAATATAAAAAATATTGAACAGAAATCAAAACACACAAAAGCGGGCCTTTGGAATATGCAACGGGGGGGGGGGGGCTGCGTAATGTAAGACCCCCCTTTAGTGGAAGGGTTAGTTGCTGATTTTAAAGAAGGCGCTAGAGAAGAATTAGATTATAAAAAAAAACTTATTTTTTTTGTAATAAGCCTCTCCAAGAATAATTGTAAATTTAGAAAAGCAATTGGAACAAAACAATAAAAAATAAAGAAATATAGACAGCAGACTAAGCCCTAGACGCAAACATTCAAACAATTACGCAAATGTGGGAATACACAAAAGATTTCAAAGTACACACTGCAAAAATATACCAACAAAAATGCACACATTGTTTATTTGTAAAACTCGTTTTTCTAAGAAATATTCAATCATTGTTTTAACATTAAACTTTAGAATTAATTTTTTTCTAAATCATGATTTTTTTAAACACAAAGACGCATCTCTAACTGTATTCCTATTAACTTGTTTTAACGCGCCTAAACCAAAGTCTTATCACGCAGGTAGACAAGGTACGCACACAGTAAGATAGAAAGATAGTCGAGAGAGCTACGCGCGTGTTAGGATAGACTTGAATGCCTGGAAACTTCTACGGTGGATAGATAGATAGCGGAGAGCTCAACTCTAGGTTTAGTATAAATAGGAAAGAATATTGCAATGGCTTACTAGTCTGTAGCAACCAGTCAATTATGAAGTACCTGGTAAGAATTCTAAGAATATATCAAAAAAAATTAAATATTTTATGGAAATTAAATTTCGCGTACTTAATTACGAGTAATAAAGAATTTTAATTGTTTAGGATATACATATTTATTAAAATAAAAAATTATAACAAAGAAATTGAATTTTTGCCACAAACTCTGATTTTCTAATCTCTATATCTTTGTAACCCAATGCCGTAGACTTTAGATATTTCAAACTATTAATACTTTTACATAAAATAATCTAAGTTTGAAATATCAAAGCTTTGCACCATCAGGCTGCAAAGATATTCGGATTAGAAGATTTACGTTTGTGGCAAAAACTTAATTCCTTTAAAAAATAATCAGAACCTAATTTTCGTACCTACAAATCATTGAGTAAACAAATTATAGATGCCCTAAAGTGTTCATATTACAAGGTTACTAAAGATGATAAGGCTTCAATGGCGACCTCAATCTCGCCATTAAATTCTATTATTCATGAATATAATCTTGAAAACCTAAGTGAAAGACGGGACTAAACGTACAGCTTGTTTAATCCTCAAATTTAGAGAATAAAAGGTGTCTCTAATTAGTGGCACTATATCGGAATTAAAAGACAATCAAGCACATTTTTAAAAAAAGATTTTTTATATAGATTTAGAATTTTAACCATTTTTAAATTTTTCAGACCGGAGTTCTCGCCCTTGCTGCCTTCTGTGTGGCAGAGCCTGAAGCCGATCCAGCGTACGCCTTGTATGCTCCTTATACCCCTGCTTACTACCGCCCTTACTTTGCATCCGGCTATGCTGGTCCCCTACCCGGAAACAGTTACCAAGCTGTGAGCAGACTGCACAAGCGTGAAGCTGATGCTGAAGCTGATCCTGCATATGCCCTGTATGCCCCTTATACCCCTGCTTTTTACCGTCCTTACTATGCGTCCGGCTATGCTGGTCCCCTTCCCGGAAACAGTTACCAAGCTGTGAGCAGGCTACACAAGCGTGAAGCCGATCCTCAGCTCCTCCTCAACTCTTACCCCTATGCTCTTTCTGCTCCTGCATATCCCTCTGTTGGAGCTGTCTTCAATGCACCCGTTGTTACATCTGTCGTAGAAGCTCCTGCTGTTGTTTCTCACACCGTTCATACTGCCCCGGTTGCTTACTCCGCTCCCCTTCACTATGCTACTGCCCCTGCTGTCCATGCAGCCCCTGTTGTTCATGCCGCCCCCGTTCATTCTGCTGTTGTTGAACTTTCACCTCATGACTGTGTGACCGAAGGAGGATGTGCCCTTAAGGCTGCCCTTGCCACCGGTCTCCCTGCTGCCACTGTTGGTTCAACCACTGTCTACGGACGTAAGAAGCGTGAAGCTGAGGCTGATGCCGAGGCTGTAGCTGATGCCGCTCCTGATGCTGAAGCTGATGCTGATGCTTTCTACAACCTGTATGGATATCCCTATGGATACAACTACTCTCCCTTTGCTTACTCCCACAACTACGGATACTGGCCTCAGTACTCCAATGTCTACAACTACAACCGTTATTTTGCCGCTCCCGCTGCCTATGCTCCCCTTGTACACACCACCCCTGTAGAACATGTGGCCGCCCCTATTGTCCACAATGTTCAATATGCTGCTGCCCCTGTAGTACACACTGCCCCTGTAGTCCACGCTGCCCCAGTAGTCCACGTTGCCCCTGCTGTCGAGACTGTTGCAAAGCAGGTTGGTTGATTACTTGAATGGTTTATTGATTTAAAGATTATCTTTTTTAATTGATTAACTTATATTAACTAATAATTGTCATAATCAACATTTTTAATGTACTCATTATATTTGTTTGTTTAGATTACATACACCCACTTGGGAGCCCACCCTATCCAACCCACAACAGTTGTTGAGACCGAGTCAAGACTGGTCGGAAAGTAAGATGGAGATAAATGTCGTCCTTGTTATTCCTGCCAAGATTTAGCGCGGGAGATTTCACTGTTTATAACTTCGGTTGCAAAACCTTTTCTTGTTACAGACTAGTATTTTATATAAACAAAAATGTTGCGAGACACCAAAAAACATCATCAAAAGAATCAAAAGTTTTCATAAACGATATAAAAAAATGTAATAAAAATTAGAAAGTTACCCATAACAGAGTCAAGAAAATCCTGATGGCCTCTGCAGAGGTGTCGATAAAAAAATAAACATTTTTCCAAAATATAAAATAAAAATAAAAATTTTAAAAGACTAATTTTTTTTAAGGGAGAAAAAGTGTGAGAATATGTTTGTTTGTATGTATGTTTATATATAGTAGTCGTCGTATGTATTAATAGAATAAAGACGACTTTTGATTTCAATTTTTGATTTCTACAAAGCATAGATATACATAAACATGGAAACAACGAGAAGCTGTCAATTAACAGCTTCATCTTATTTACTTGTAAACGTGTAATTTGAAAAAAACTTGTTAGAAATCAAAACTTCGTTTTTATTGTATTTGGGGGTGGATACGTTTTCAGAATCGGTTTTTTTAAAATTGCTAAATAACGACGACGAAAAATAAAGTAAAAATCATACTTTAATCTAATTAGATGGTGGTTGGGAACATATTGCTTAAAAGAAATTTGTCAATAAATCAATGCTAGAATCAATTATTTCGTTTTGATCATTATATTGAATTTATTTATTTTTGAATTTATTTTTGAAATTTCACGGGCATTGCCGAAGTTCATCTTACCTTCGGAATCCTCTAAATCCAACTGACTTTCAAATAAATCTTCCAGAATTACGGAAAAAGTTAAGATTTATATATTTATTGAAATTAAAAATTAAAACTGAGAATGTTTCATGTTTATTTAAATGCCGTGATGATTCCGTGAAACTATTAAATTTAAATTTGCATTCAACGAGGTTATAATGTATAGAGTGATGATGTACGCTAATCCTTTACTAATTTTAAAGGCCATAAACTATACCAAGAGCGTACTGCATATTTGTTTATTATACGTTGATAGTAAGAGAGTTCAAAGTACGTATTTTTAATAATGAATGTTAGAACATGGTTGAAATCAATTATCTCTGTATATGGGAACTCTGCTGGGTGTTTACATAAACTAAAAATTCTTTTTTGTAAAAATCACAAACGATTGCATAAGACTATATGTTTGTATTTTTTGTGAACATCCTGTGAGGCCGTGAACACTGTGTGCATATTTTTTATGCGTAGGCTTAAGGTTAAAACCGATGGGCGGATTATTGGTAACTAATAATTTGGTAACTAACATTTTGGTAATTAACAATTTGGTAACAAATATTTTGGTAACTAACAATTTGGTAACATAACAAATTGGTAACTGGCCAATTTGGTAACCAACAATTTGGAAACCTGACAATTAGGTAACTTGACAATTTGTATAATAGAAACTAATTTTTCACAATCATTGTTTGCATATTTATTTGTTGAATACATAGAGAGAAAAAACAATATACAGGATTTCTTAAAAGTTTAGTATGACAAATCTGCTATAACTTTTTGTAAACTTCACAATCTCTCATCTCAAAATGGCAGGGTACGAGTTTCTGCGAACATCGAGGGGATGTTCGCAGTAATGTTGCAGGATTCTCAACGATTTCAGTATTACATGAAAAAAATACACCGGACTATAGTCTTTTCGTTTGTAAGAGATATAAAAAGAAGGACGAAGGATGTCCTCCTACAGTTCATCACTTAAAGGTTCCTTGTTCCTTTGAACAAACTGGTATTCATATTCATAATAATGTAGCGGACATCACTAAAACCGTGATCAAAGATGTTCTCAAAAATTTAAGTTTCCTTATAAGCATGTAGTTTAAATTTAATCATATGTAAAAGAAGTAAATGATATATGAAAGTTTAATAAACCTGGTGAATCATAAATCTTTAAATAGTCCTGCTTATTTCATGTTTGAATTTTATTGTAAACCAAATTGTCAGTTTACCAAATTGTCAAGTTACCAAATTGTCAAGCTACCAAATTGTCAAGTTACCAAATTGTCAGGTTACAAAATTGTCAAGCTACCAAAGTCCTGATTCCTGAACCAGAGCAGCTCAGGGTTCTAGGATTCATATATGCCAGCTTCTAGCAGCTTCCCTACAGCAGCATCCTTCAACAGTTCTGCAATTCATCTATACCAGCAGTTAAACAGCTCCCCCACAGCAGCATCCTTCAACAGTTCTGCACCAGAGCAGCTCAGGGTTCTAGGATTCATCTATACCAGCAGCTGAGCAGCTCCCCTACAGCAGCATCCTTCAACAGTTCTGCACCAAAGCAGCTCAGGGTTCTAGGATTCATCTATACCAGCAGTTGAGCAGCATCCTTCAACAGTTCTGCACCAGAGAAGCTCAGGGTTCTAGGATTCATCTATACCAGCAGCTGAGCAGCTCCCCAACTCCCCCTACAGCAATTAACTCCATACTGTAAATAATGCTCCAATATATTCAGTAATAAGTTTTAGCATTTCAAACCCAACCATGTTTCATTTAATTAGACATAAGGTCTTATAATCAATATTAGTAAACAATTGTAAGTGTACAGTACAGCTAACTGAGCAAACAGGTAGAGAACTATCATCCCCACTGGTTGTATTTCTCTTGTGGTTTTGTATTTTGCGCACAGAAGATATATTTTTTTTTACTAAAATTACAAAAAAAGTAATTTTGCATGAAATTGAGAATCAATCAAGACTTATTCATCAAATTAACAAAAAAGAAGACCTATAAAACCACATTTAAGCAGTCTTATGTGTATTTAATGTTTTAAAATACAAATAGTTTTAACAATAGCTTGAAAAGCAGCTTATCAAGTAAAATAGGTCTGTTTACACTTCACAATTGCTATTAATTGTATTCGGACTATAAAAAACTTGCGTAGCTAAAAGTTGTCTTCCTATTCCTTACTTGTATCGATCTCACTGTAACTTGTTTAAATCTATAAAATAAACCATTAATAATGGACAATGCAAACTAGACTTTCTTACCTGCTAGCTCCTCTTTACACACAGGTAAGTATAGATATAAAACAAATTTTCCGGTTACATATTACATATTACATATTACATATTACATATTACATATTACATATTACATATTACATATTACATATTACATATTACATATTACATATTACATATTACATATTACATATTACATATTACTATTAGAAACTTAAACCATTCTTGTTCTTCAAAACAGCCTATACAGGTATTTAGTAATAGTAAGAAGAGTTATGATTGAAAGCATAAAAATTTTCATTTTCGAAGCAATTTACTAGAGTATAACTTGATATAATAATAAAATTCCGAATTCAAATAATAAAATTAAAATAAGAAATTGAAAACTTACCAATTCTTTAGCAAAATAAAAAGTTTTAATATTTTTTTTATAATGAGAGCAGAAATTTCTTCAATTTTCAAAATATTTCAAGTGTATCAGTAGATTTGAAAAAAAAGATTTAAAGATTTTGATTTTTTTACTTTATTAGATAAGCAATTTTTTAAACCATAAACATTAAAAGTCGTCTTAATTTTTGGTAAATTTTCACTCTCTATGAAAAGAAAAGCTCAACTGGACTCTTGGCAGGCCCGAACGGATGATGTTTAGGGCCGGATGGTTTTTTTTCTTTTTTAAAGAGCTTTCAATATTGCATTTTTACTTAATTCATGAAAATTCATTGTCTGAAACATTTTTAAGTGTGAAGTAGTAACATTATTTTTTGCATTTTTTTTGTCAAACACTTAATTCACTATTTCTGCAATCTCAAAACCAATTTTGTTTTCTACATATTTAAAAAAAAATTGAGAGTAATAAAAATCGTAAATATTTTTTTAATTTAAGGTTTCTCTTGTTTTAAATGTGAATTAATGATTCTAAGAACAATTGTCTTGAAATGTTAGATTCAGGACGCCAGGAATAATTATTAAGAATTCAATCTGTATTCATTGTTTAGTTATTTTTTTAAATTAAAATTCATGGACTCTGCTTACAAAACCATGTTATCTATCTATCTAGGGTGTCCAACTTTATACCATTTACAGTTATTATTGTGATCAAACTTTTCCAATTTCAAAATTAACTTATAATTTTGTGATTTATAAAATGTGATATCTAAATTTGTATACCTTTAACATTTTGGAATATATAACATAATAAACGAAAATTTTCTGTACATGCATCTCCGTCAATTTTCGGAATATAAAGAAGTCCAATCAACCTCATTTTGGATAGCTGCTCTCTGGAAAATTTAAAAAGAACTAACGACTTACGGCAAAGGTAAGCGACATGAGACGCGGATACCATTCGCATTCACTTCAAAAATGTCATTGAAAAAAAACATCTATTATACTAAAATAATAAAAACATCTGTAATAATTTTATTTAATCTTGGAACACAGATTAACGAATGTGAAAAAACTTCGTTTTCCTTGTTATATTTAACGCTTGTGACGTCGTATATAATTGGTTCATTTCTCATTGCTACCTACTTGATAATCTATTTGGTTAGAACTGTATTTGTTTGTGTACAAAAAGGAACCTCTATAGGACGAGGGGAGGAAACCCAACCACAACAATTTTTCGTCCGAGCCAAATTCTCCTAATTTTCTCGTCCAAGCTGCAACTAGAAGCACTCGTCCTTCCGATATTAAGTAATTGTCCTATCCTTCAAGATAAAACTATTCTTTTAATCTGACAACTTTGGAGAAAAAATGAATTATTGAATTTTTGTAAATCGATAAAATTACTTTAATTGAATTAAACTTTTTAAGAATTATGTTCTTCGAAATGTTTTTTTTTATACGCATTTTTAATATTCCTAGTATGAATATGAGGATGGCTCGGACGAGAAATTGTTGTGGCTGGCCTTCCTTCCCTCATAAGGCTGATGAATGATAATTAAAATGCAAGTGTATTAAAATTGACAAATGTTTTGCTGAAATTGTCAGCACAGACAGTGAGGAGAACGATTTAAATTCAATTTTCTTTACCAAAACATTAAATATTGATAATTAATATTGTTTTCTATAATAATTATATATGTTTAATGATCAATTGATCAAGTGAACTATTTTTTTCGAACACTTTCTTTCCGAAAAAAAAACTAATTTTTCTCTTCTAAATACACAGAAAGGATTTTTTATTCATTTTTTATACATTTTTTAACATTTAACAATTTAATCAATGATTATGATACTTTCAGAAATTTTACAATTTTACATAATTTAAGTAGAAATGATTAAATACAAACATAGAGTCTTATTTAAACTGAGAATTAAGATGTCTAGTATACTAGAATCTCCCGAGAAGCTGCTGATTCTTTGGTACCGGTTTGCCTTATATAGTCCGCGTGCAGTACATGTACAGTTAATAGCTTGTTCTAGCTAGTCGGCTCGGTACTTAAAATTAAACAGAGTTCACAGTGAATACTTCGGCATTATAACCCTTTTTAAAAACTATAGTTTAAGGATTCAAATGAAAACCGATCTAAAAACCCGACTCTTTATATGTTTTGAAGATTTGTTTTAACATTCACAGCCCTGTATGCCAGAATGGCAATATTACCCTTTAAGCCTTTGTCTGATCAAATGTGAATTAGATATCCAATGATCCATGTATGTGCTTATGAAAGCCGATCATTTTCATTGAGTTTTCTTTTTAAAACTGTTTTTAAGCTAGGAAAACGAAGATATCTTCTTCATTATTGATCAGATTAAGGTTTCAAAGATACAGAATTGTGAATCTGGTATGTCCGTATTAAAATTAAAGGTCGATTTAAAGAACAGTCCCTTTCTTGTGTTTATTTGGACTCCCTGCAGCCTAATATTTGGACTCCCTGCAGCCTAATATTTGGACTCCCTGCAGCCTAATATTTTGACTCCCTGCAGCCTAATGTTTTGACTCCCTTCAGCCTAATATTTTGACTCCCTTCAGCCTAATATTTTGACTCCCTGCAGCCTAATATTTTGAATCCCTGCAGCCTAATATTTGGACTCCCTGCAGCCTAATATCCCTGCAGTCTAATATTTGGACTCCCTGCAGCCTAATATTTGGACTCTCTGCAGCCTAATATTTGGACTCCCTGCAGCCTAATATTTGAAGTCAAGGAGCTATATAGAACTGGTCGGAGAGAGGGAAGAGGATTTGTTTACATTTTAATGTCATTAGTAGCTCAGAACTGGTTTTATTGTAAACAAACAATATTTAGAAAACAGAAATTGCACTTCAGGTCCGGTCATTCTCCTAGTGTTTACGTAATGCTTGAACTGATAGAGGTGATGCTCATATCGAATGATCTATTCCTATCCAGCCGACGACCTCTCTTCTCTTCGTCGCAGTTCGTCGATTCACTAAAATACAGTGGTAGGCGATTATACCAATACAATGAAGACAAAAAAATTGGTTTAGATTGTGAACAAGCTTTTTTCGCATTTCAAGTAATCCAAAAAGAAGCTTTTTTAAAACACAACTTCTCTTGACTTCTATGTTTATGTGTATCCATGCTGTATAGCAGCTTGATAAAAATCTAAATTAAAATCGAAAGTCGTCTTGATTGTATTGATGTAATCGCCTACCACTGTTTAACAAATAAGTAAAAAGACTGATACTAAAAAAATTAGAAACCAGAGAACCAGAAAACTCTGGATTATGAAAGTTGAAATTTGGACTCAAGTTTTGGCTTAAAATAGTCTAAAGAACAATGAACATGAGGTACACAATAGCATGTTGGGGATGCGGAGTTACTCACAAAGAATAATACTTTAAGAGGGTATAGGCTAATAATTAATTGAATTCGATAATGATCGCTACAAATTTTACTTCTATCTGTTGCGTCTGTAATGATAAAATGGTTAAAAACGTCGTATATTCCTCAGAGCATAGCATCTACACAAATTTACAGAGTTGCATTATTCCACTCAGATCGTAAATAATTCAATTTAATTAAATTAATCCATTTACGATCTTAGGTAAAACACTTTTAAATCATTTTCTCCTTATAGACGTTACAAATAAAAATACAATTAGTAATGATCAATATAGAATTCAACCCAACATAAATTTCGCGAACACTCATTTTAATGACGACCTTGTTTGCATATTGCGGTTTAATGGTTGATTTTTTTTTTAAATTTAAACAAAGTCTTTTTGTAGTAAATTAAAAAAAAATTATTTGATAGAGAAAGAAATAATTTCCAAGCTGTAGAGAACAGTATAAGAAGGCAGTGTGAAAACATATGTATTCTACAGTCGTATATGAACTCTCATATTTTGAAGGTGACACTATATCAAAAAAAAATTTATGGACAAAATATGAAAATTCAGATGTTCTGAAATCTATTTTTGAGTGTTTTCTCTAGAATTTTTCTATTTTGTTAGACTTTTGTCTAAAAGTCGTCTTTTCTATTCCACAAATACCTTATATCATCATTTAGCTCGATACTAGTGATGGTTTCACTAGACTGATGAGAGAATATAGAGAAAAACGATCCACCCTCCTCCAATGAATTCCACTGAATAAAAAACATCATTTTTAACGGATTAAGCCGCTTAGAAAACTGACTTTTATAATGAAATATATTTTATAATATTCATATAATCATTTTTAATGGTAACATTTGAATTCTTTCTTCTTGAAAAAATTAAATCCAGAGCAATTTTGAATTGAAAGGCATTTTTGTTTTTCAAAGTTGATAAGGGGTCAAAACTTTTTATTGTGCTAAAAATACCTTTCTACTCTTTTTTCTTTTCTCCAGCTCAGTTTTAGTAATCAGCTGATGAACCGGTTTTACGGTCAGATCCTCCATCTCGGCTGATTCTAAAAATAAAGTCGCCATTTTGGAAATATGGTGCTTTTAATTTTTTTATTTAAATTGATTTTTCTTTTGTTTTCACTGAACTGAACTGAACATATTTTACACAAACTTTTAGATTTAGGGAAAGTTAAGATAAAAAATAAAGGTAAATACATTTTTTAATAAGTTCAAATTTTAACCTATGGCCTGTTCTAACTTATGCGCTCGTACGCACATCCCTTCATACGTCTTACTCCATTCCTGCAACAAAACATAATTTAAAGGGAGTGTTCGCGAAAAATGAAAGGGGTATAGGCTTAATGCGATAAAAAAGCGCTTTTGATCGCTACTAAACTTACTTTTATCTGTTGCGTCTATAAGGAGAAAATTGTTAAAAACGACTAATACCGCTGAACGTTGTGTCCATACAAATTCAAAAAGATGCAACATTCAACTCGGATCGTAAACAAATCAATTTAATTCCAAACAAATCATTCAGATATTATATTATTAGTCATCGATTATTTTTCGACGCATTCGTAAATAGTTAATATTTCATAATATTTTTGATTTAGTTTTTTTTAAATAATTTTCGCTGGCACTGGATTTTCGAACATTCCTGGAAAATATGAAAATGTCGTCTTCATTATTAAAATCCTCGAAACAGGAATTAATATTTTCAAAAGTAACTCTCAGATCATGAAAATACAAAATATTATGAAATATCAACTATTTACGAATGCGTCGAAAATAATCGATGACTATTGTTTGTAATGTCTGAATGATTTGTTTGAATTAAATTGATTTGTTTACGATCCGAGTTGAATTTTGCATCTTTCCAAATTTGTATGGACACTACGTTCTTCTGTATTAGTCGTTTTTAACAATTTTCTCCTTATAGAACCAACAGATAGAAGTAAGTTTAGTAGCGATCAAAAGCGCTTTTTTATCGCATTAAGCCTATACCCCCTTCATTTTTCGCGAACACTCCCTTTAAAAAAGATTTATTTTTTAATTTTTACTTTCGTCCGGTCTGTTTTTAATTCGAATCAATACATACCTTCATCATTTTCTTCTTTTTCGGATCTTTTTCAGAACTTTTGCGCATTTTCTTTGCAGCTTTTTGAACTGATGCTATATCAGACAAAGACCTGCTGACAAAAACATATCAAGATTTACCTCTAGCGCCTTAAATGCGGAAAACCCTAAATATATTGCATTTTTCCTGACGTAGATTGCATAATTTTTAATATATTCGACATGGATGTTTTAACATTTGTTTTAATGTTTTTGTTTAAACGAATGGATGCATTTATTACGTTGGACATGATACTGAAAAAAATGAGCTTTCTAAGTTCATCTGTAAACCGGATATTTGAATATATCCAATGACAAATCACTTGAGCTCAATCGTTGAATGACCATTGACCATTTACAGGGTTATCGGCTAGTGTTTAGTCATACCAGCCTGTCTAGTGTACAAAGTAGGCAGGCTGATTAATATGAAATTATCCTTTTTCCGTACTGTGCAGTGTGCTTAGAGCTGGGCGCGTTCGGATTTTTTCATTTAGTTCGTTAATCGTTCGTAAACGACCTGTTTCGTTAGTTTTTTTCAAAAGTAAATGAAATTGATTTATTTCGTTTTTAAAATTATCGAAAAATTTCAATCTACTTCGTTCGTTTTCTCAGTGAACAATTGTTCAGTAAAATCGTTATTTCAGTTATATTGTTTGTTAAATAAATCGTTTGTTAAGTAAACAACGATAGTTTTCTCAAAAGTTTTTTGGAAAAAATCGTTAATACAGTAAAAAATTATCGTTTAAAAAAAATTGTTCCAGAAAATAGTTCGTTTTGAAAGAAAATGATCATTTTGGTAAATTTGTTCGTTAAGTAAAAAAACTCAAGTCTTTTCAAATTCGTTCGAACAATCTTAAATTGTTTTTTTTTGGATTTTTTTTCGTTCAAAAAAAAAATATTTTTTCGTTTCTCTCATTGATCCAAGTCGTTTGTCCATCGTTCGTTGTTTTACATGGATTTTACATAATGTATTACCCACTAAGGATGAGACTTTAATGAGGACCAAAAATTTATGAAATAACACAATTCCCTCCAAGATTGGTTAAGCATTGGTTTCAGTTTGAGTAATATATCACTAAGAAACATTACAAATGTATGTTTGTCTTGAAACGAATGTTGAGTATGTCGTCTTATTCTAACCAAACATTTGAAATGCGCATAGTGTTTATTGATATGGTGATAATATATTTTTCCTGATAAGTTTCCGGTCTGCAGGAACTGGTTTAACCAGTATAACAGGGTGTGTTTTAGCTCCAGCCCCGGCACCTGCAAATTTAGAAATTAAGTATGTGCCACAATCTTATTTGTGCAACCTGATGGTATAAACCTTTGATATTTCAAACTATTTGATTTAACATAATTTATAATGAAATATCTAAGGTCTACGACTTTGGGTTGCAAAGATATAGGGATTAGAAAATAGAGTTTGTGACAATGTCTTAATTCCTTTCAGCCAATTTTTGAAATGAAAATATAGTTTATCTTTTTTTGTGTCTTTCAAAAAAAAAAAAAAGGTTTAATAAAGGTTTATTTCTAATATAGTAAAAAAGCTTAAATCTACCGCAATAAAACCCCCTGTGAAGGTCAAATATAAATCATAAAAGAAATTTCCTTGAAGATTTTAATTTGTACTTGTTAAAACTATAAAAATGTGAGATTTTCAGTAAATAGAATTTAAAAATTATAAATAATCAACAAAAGTAAAAAGACAAAAACTATTCCGATGTTTTGTGATGACCACTGTATACTTTATTTGGAATTAGTGTTGTTTTATATTTGCCTGGGAATGGTTTTAAACTTGCAGCACATTTATCCCAATCCTCTTCTTGAAAACTAAACCAAACAAAACTTAATCAACTTTTATTTTATAGTTGTGCTTTACCCAAAATACATTTTCATGTTAAAGGACTGTTCATGTACATTTTGATTTTTATTTAAAAAGTTCGATTAAGAAATCAGGACGAGGTGCCGTTTATACTTATATAGACAAATGAAGTTATTACAAAATATGATGAAAAAAAGTTTTAACTTGTTTTGTAAATTAGAGTTCTTATTTAATCTCCGTAAAGGGTGCCGCAATTAAGTGGATTTTATCAGTTTTTAAAAATGTGCTTTATCTTTTTTGTCATTTTCACTTAACTTATAACTCTTTTAATTTACAAACAATATGTTTAAAAGAAAAAAATTTCAAGTTTATTCCTGACTCTTCTTTGGAGAACTGCAACCTTTTTTTCTATCTGTTTAGTGTGCTCATCCTGTAATCAAAATCAACATTATTCTATCTGTTCAGTGTGCTCATCCTGTAATCAAAATCAACATTTTTCTATTTGTTCAGTGTGCTCATCCTGTAATCAAAATCAACATTTTTCTATCTGTTTATTGTATTATTTTGCATATTTGTTCTTTAATGTCTTGTAAATTTTACACCGATTTTTGATAATGAAAACGACATTTTCATATTTTCCAGGCATCTTTGAAAATTTAGCTCTAGCAGTGAAAACAAGTTGTAAGCTTAACATTATCTTTAAAAAAAAAATTAAAAAATAATATGAAATATCAGCTATTTACGAACGCGTCGAAAAATTATCAATGATTATTGGTTGTGATATTTCGATCATTTGTTTGGAATTGAATTGCTTTTTTAAGATCCAAGTCGTAAGTTGCAACTTTCTGAATTTGTATGGACGCTACGTTTATCACCATGAGTCGTTTTTAACATTTTTCTCCTTATAGATGCAACAGAAGTAAGATTAGTAGCAACCACTATAGATAATTTTTCGACAAAAGCCAATACCCCCTTTCATTTTTCGCCAAGCCAATACCCCCTTTCATTTTTCGCGAAAATTTCCTTAAAGGACTGCTTTTAATTACACAATTCAATATAATCATGAAGGAATTGAATTTTAAGTCAAGTAATAAAAAGAAATTTTATATGATGTGATATTTTATCTTAATAAATTTTCTTACAGATTTTTTAAATTATCTCGTAACATTTACAAGACGTAATTCATCATTGATCAATAATGAAACCAGCCTATTTCATAATTTGGTTTTCTTTTAATATTAATCTTAGATTTTATATAAAATGATATTCCAGGGCCCAAAAGGTTCTATAGCACAAATATTTGAAGTACACCTGCAGTATGGAAACAGTACAACAAAATGGACGTTTTACACTTTTTTCTAGTAAATTCCACTCTAATATATAATCTATTCTCTTTGCTTAAACAACGCCTGTTTATATTTACAAAACTGTACTATCCAATATGCAAATGAAAGTAATGAATTTTTAATAAAGTAATTTGATTTTTTTTCTTCAGAACGGTGCAGTGTGATATTTTATTTAAGACCATATTGTAATATATTCTTGTATATATCTCGTATATATATATATATGGATTTTGTTAATGAATAATGAATAATATTTACGAGAAACTCGGATTTCATTAAGGTTGATAGTTTTCTTGTAAAATAAATCATGATTAGAATATTAATGTCTTTACCACAGACTCTGATTTTCTGATTCCTATATCTTTGTAACCCAATGTCGTAGCCCTTAGATACTTTATACTATGAATTCTGTTGAATTAATCAATCTAATTTTCAAATATCGAAGTTGTGCCATCAAATTGCAAAGATATAGGGATTAGAAAATTTAAGTTTGTGCAAAAATAATTTTGAGTCTTTATAGATGGAGGATTAAAAATGTCTAGTTAATAACTTCTTTCAAATGTTGACTTCAATATTATTCCAGAATTTTGTTGTTAATGTAAAAGTATGAAAATATATTTTGAGAGATTTCTTTTATCCTGATTAATTTACAAAAACAAAGAAGATGAAGTTTCATATAACAAGAAAATATCTCTCATTTTCAAAATAAAAAACCTAAATATATGAAATATTTTCCAAAATTTTAAAGTTTTCTGTTTTCGTATTAAAATTCAAATGGTTTTACCAAAATGTGATGATTAAGCCGAAATATATCGATCTAATGTTATTTTTCTTTTTAAATTTTTTTTTTGAGTTTTATTATTTTTATTTAAATATCGTTTTAATCATACTGATATATTAAAACAAAATATCAGTTAATCATTGAACTATAATTAGAAAATAGTAAAAGGTTACTAGACTAGACGGGTAACTAGATACATAATTCTTCTTTTCAAATTTGTATTTGAATTTCTAAAAAAAGAAACTGAGACAGTTGGAGTTTTTAATAGAAACAAACTCTACTAATGCTTAAATTTTATTAAAAAATAATACCTGCTACTGCTTTGAAAAAAAAACTGATTATATCCTTAAAACTAATTACTTAGACTTTTAGGGTGTTTTATGTTCATTTCTACTTCAATTGTGAACATGTTCTCTTTGTGTACATTGTAACAAAAAAGCTTCGCGGATTTCGTAAAACTTTTTGTGGATTTTTAAAATTTTAATCATTTCCCTTGGGCTGCCCGGCCACGTGAGGTGCCGTTCCACGCAAAATTTGGACCTGTTCGGTTTTGTCGTTTTGACGTTTATTGGATACAAAGGGACAGAAGCTCACTAATTATTTCTAGCGCTTCATTGCTAATTGAGGAGCGCGCTTGTGCAATGGTTCAACATCATGATTTTATTTCTAGCGCTTCGTGTGGCATATTTATAGATTTATTTTCGAAACAGAGGAGCAATAAAGAAAGCTTTAACATTATTGTACACCATAGGGCCATTACCAGAGGTCAATATGGTTTTATTTTTAAGAAATAAACGATTTAACTTTACACCTTTTTGTCTGATTACCAATTGAGGTAGTGGAGATTACCAATTGATCGAGGAACGCGCATACCGCAAAATACGTTTGGGTGGCAGTGATTAACCTTTGAAGACATCCGGACCCCCCCCCCCCCCAAGGAGTGAGGATGCTGGCTCTAGAAGCAAAGAAAAATCCCGTTTTGAAAAACCGCTTGAGATTAACTCATCAGTTGCCAAGATAAAAAGATGAAAAAGGTGTAAATAAGTTTTAGCTTTTATATATTTGTAATTGTCTGTTGAGAGGGCGAGGGGAGGGGGTTTAACTAGGATAACTTCATTCTGAAAAGTATAAGAAAAGTATAGAATTTGTAAAGAAAGGTTTAGCAAAGCTTTCATATTAGTCCTAAAATAGAGTAAAAGCTCTTATTTGTGTTTTTTTTATTATTTATTTTTCTTTTTTATTTAGCTCTGAAATATAGAGACAATGTCCTCAGTTTTCTTCTTCATACAGAGCTATACACTGCACATAAAGCCTTAATTCAATAACAGAGTAACAATTAAAAATTAAAATATTAGTCATTATCAAATAAAATGCTCGGCCCTTGTACCCTCCTATCAATTTACGTCAAATATAACACATTGACATAGTTTGGTATCTTGAAAATTTATTGGCGGGGGGTCATTCTTTAGGACAGACCCATGCAATGCTCTAAATAGTAACAAGTTTAATGTTTAATGCATTTTTTACCTTAAAATAAAACAAAAAAATTAGAAATCAATGTTTTCCAGAGAACAAAACCTTATAAAAAATTGAGACTTTACCTAAACCTTTAAGCTCATATTTGTTTGCAACCTGATTTTGGTAAACCTTTGATATTTTAATCTTAGTTTATTTAGTCAGATTTCATAGCTTGGAATTTCTAAGATCTACAAAAAAAGGATGCAAAGATATAAGGATTAAAAATTCGGAGTTTGCGGGCTATGGCAAAGACTCATACCTTAGTGAAAATTTTATATCATTTACTTGATTAAGTTTATTTTTCTATGTTTGGAATAGAGAAATTAGTATGCATAGTATAGAAAACTATATGTTGGATAGAGTAGAGACAGAATTGAGTAGAGCGGAATAAATAGATTCAAGTAAAACAAAAATATATACAGAATAGAGATAGCAAATTGCCAAATAGCAAAAACCGGATGAGTAGAGGAGATGTAGTGATGAGTAGAGGAGATGTAGTGATGAGTAGAGCAGATGTAGTGATGAGTAGAGCAGATGTAGTGATGAGTAGAGGAGATGTAGTGATGAGTAGAGGAGATGTAGTGATGAGTAGAGGAGATGTAGTGATGAGTAGAGGAGATGTAGTGATGATGAGTAGAGGAGATGTAGTGATGAGTAGAGGAGATGTAGTGATGAGTAGAGGAGATGTAGTGATGAGTAGAGGAGATGTAGTGATGAGTAGAGGAGAATATATGAACGGAGAAGAAACATATATGCAAAGTAAACAATTTTATGCAGTGTAGGGATAGAATTATGAAAAGCATTGGAGAGAAGATTTAGGATGGAGAATAAGTAGTCTACAGTAGTGCAGACTGCAGAGTATATGCACGCGTATAAAGAATGAACGGAGCGTAGATCTGAGTAGATGAAACATTACAGGGAGTGTTCGCAAAAAATGAAAGGGGGTATAGGCCCCTTTCATTTTTCGCGAACACTCCCTTTAAACATATTTTTGTAGAGTAGAACATACGTTATTCTTAGTATAGAGTCCATCCTTGTAAAATATACTTTACGGAGTGTAAAGATACCTTTATCTTTAAAAGAGCCGGCTACTGGAAATCAAATGCTATGCAAATTAGAGCGGGTTCTCTTTGTAATCGTCCTCGGAGGTGTCAGGGTTATGCTGCGTAGAATTTTTTTACAGTGCAGATAGACAGACAAATAGACAAGCAAAATATATATATATATAAAAGATGTGATGTAGTTTTGTTCTACTCGGCCGGAATAAAAAGATAGCAAGAAAAAGATTACAGCTGCAGATTTGGTCCCAAGTCACGTTGTAGAACTAACCTCCCCTGCAATAATGAATTACCTTGGTCTGTTTCATTTCCTCCGCCTGAGTTGGGGCGCTTGGCACCTTCGGGGCTTCAACTATATCTTGCTTCAGGGTCTGAAGAGATTTCTGAAGCTGTTTTATCACCCTACATTAAGAATTATCTATTAATCGTGTTAAGCTAAATTGCGTGGCAAATTAAACTCTTCTATGATTTCAATCATAACTTATTTCATTAAATCTTGAAGAATCAAAATGTTTTGAATTTATAATTTGTAACGAGATAAATTAGCTTTCTCAGACTTGTGCGTTCAATCAAAGCTATATGAGCTAAAAGGTCACAAAGTTGTACCAGTGTTGTTTCTAAGTTTGATCTTTTCCATCCGTCTTGTTTCATACTGCTAAAGTGATATATATTAACACTAGGCTTTTAGGGCGCTTCGCGCCCATCTTCTATTTAAATTGTGAACGTGTTCTTTTTGTTTACATTTTAAAACAAAAAATTTTTGCGGATTTAAAAAAAAAATTCGCGGATTTTCAAGAATTTAAATTTTTTTACAACATTTAAAACCTTTAAAACACATTTTTTAAAATTTTCATCATTCATAAACCTTTCCTGTAGTCACGTGATGTCCCACAAAAAACTTGGGCCCGATCGGTTCTGCCGTTTTGACGTTTATTGGATACAAACAAACAGACACACAAACAGACAGACAAGCCAAATTTATATATAGATTGCATTGTCAGAGAAAAAAATCTTTAAAATTTGGCACAGTGTGGTCCACTGCATTAAACATTATCTTACATACAGTGGTCCACAGTGGTCCACTGCAGTATACATTATCTTACCATACAGTGGTCCACAGTGGTCCACTGCAGTATACATTATCTAACCATACAGTGGTCCACTGCAGTATGCATTATCTTACCATACAGTGGTCCACAGTGGTCCACTGCAGTATGCATTATCTTACCATACAGTGGTCCACAGTGGTACACAGCAGTATGCATTATCTTACCATACAGTGGTCCACAGTGGTCCACTGCAGTATGCAGTGATGAGAAATTTTACAATTACTTCTTTAAAAACAAAAGTTATAAAAGCACTTCATTGTTCCAAAATGTTCTTAAAGTATTTATGAGTTAGTGAAGTCAAATCAAAGGCCAGGGAAATACAACACTTTAAAAACGACCCAGTATTGAAAATTTCTGCAAGGTTTTATAGCATTTTAGATGTATATGACGTCATAGAACCATGACCAAAAAACAGTGTTATTTATTGTTAGGACAAAATATCTTTCTTTATTGTAGTCGTTTACCATTCATTGTGGAGCCTGGAGGGAATACATTCATTAATTAGAAAATCATAAGATTACGTCATCACACAATTAATAGAATTTTTGTTTTTTTGGTGTAATAAAAACAATATACTCTACAATATACTATACTATACAAGATACTCTAACCTTTTCTTTATCGAATATACTCTACAATATACTATATACTATACTATATACTATATACTATATACTATATTCTATACAATATACTCTAACCTTTTCTTTATCGAATATACTCTACAATATACTATATACTATACTATATACTATATACTATATACTATACAATATACTCTAACCTTTTCATTATACAATATACAATATACAATATACTATATACTATACTATATACTATATACTATATACTATACAATATACTCTAACCTTTTCATTATACAATATACAATATACAATATACAATATACAATATACTCTAACCTTTTCTTTACAATATACTCTAACCTTTTCTTTATCGAATTTCGAGGACCAAATGCTCCTTTTGACTCAGCCTATTCAAAAATAATTTAAATAAAAAGTTCATAAGAAGATTAGTGTTAGAAATCGTTTCCAAATTTGTTTCATGAATTTTACATCTTTTTAGATATTCTATTCAAATATCAAGAAAGGTTTTCCTTAAAAAGAAGATTTTCAGAAAAATATCATTTTTTATAAAAGATCAAAAAAACATAAAATAAATCGTTTGTTTTAAAAAAAAGTTTTTTATTTTATTTCCTGTTCAATAATCGTCTCTTTTCCTGGTTGTGTTGGTATTAACGATCCTAGAAATATTAATAATTAAAAATATAATTATAATTATTATTATTAAATATTAAATACTAATAATTAAAAATATAATTTTAATTATTATTATTAAAACTTGGAAGTTGATCCAAACTGCGCAAAAGAATTCCTGCAAACTCTAGCAAATTTGGATGCAATTGTGGGATCATCTTTTTAATTTTGAAAGTGTTTAACGCTGATAATTTTCATATTTTTTTCTGCAGTAGAAGTGCGCACTTCAACATTATAGAAAAACAACAATTGAAACTATAAACTAATATGTACATGATCAGACAAAACTTTAAAGGGTGCCATTGTGAATCTGCTACATCCACCTTTGCATGGAGGTCACTTCTAATTTCGCTTACTGTCCTTTTTAAGGGACCGTTCACTTGTTTGGGAAATTTCAGGGTAAACTAAACAGCCTATTCGCGCTTTATTGGTTTTCAAAGACAACTGTGGCCGGAAAAAAACCGATTTTTTGTTCAGAATTCGAGCGCAAAAGTATGGTGGTACCGAAAATGTTCATAACTAGGTTAAAAAGTTAAGTAGATTTGGAAAACTATAGTTTCCATGCAAAGCATGGTTGTATAAAATAAAATTAATCTTTGATTTATCAGTTTTCCTATAATCTTCTCTAGATCGATAAACCTATAAAACATACACAGATTTAAACATTTTTTAACAAAAATAACATCCCAGGATTAATTTACAGTTCTCTTGCTGGCTTATAGTTTAAATATGGGGGTGGAATAGATGCAGTTTCGTAGATGTTTTTGTTTTAAGCTTTGCACAGTGCAGCTAGTATATAACTGTACAGGGTATTTATATACGTGCACAGTCTATAGTTTATCCGTATACCTGTACCTGTACCTGTACCTGTAACTGTACCTGTACCTGTACCTGTACCTGTACCTGTACCTGTACCTGTACCTGTACCTGTACCTGTACCTGTACCTGTACCTGTACCTGTACCTGTACCTGTACCTGTACCTTTACCTGTACCTGTACCTGTACATTGTATCGGAGAGGGGAATGTAGAGCTTCTATGAATATTATTACTACGAGCTCCGCTAGAATACCAGGATGGAAACTTCAAGGGTTCATCTTCATCTTCATTAGACTTCGCCTTTCTTCTGGTAAAATCAGATCATTATGAACTCAGATTACACAGATTACACAGATAACACAGATTATACAGATTACACAGATTAAACTTGTTACACAGATTACACATATTACACAGTTTACACAGTTTACACAGATTAAGCTTGTTACACAGATTACACAGATTACACAGATTACACAGATTATACAAATTACACAGATTAAACCTGTTACACAGATTACACATATTACACAGAATACATAGATTACACAGATTACACAGATTACACAGATTACACAGTTTACAGAAGTATCAGGTGTATTAGGAAAGATTGTATCTTGTTTGTATTTGTAGGTACTAGAGAAATTGATGATAATATTTATGGTATTTTCATTATTGTATGTTTAGTATTCAAAAACCTTTCGGGCTACACAATATTTATGAAACAAATACAGGGTTATCCACAAAAGGATGAGACTTCAGAGACAATTGTACGAAATTTCTTTAGTCCGTTTTCGAATCCCAGATACATGAATACATAGACCGTCAAAAGTTTTTTGATAATTCTAAAGAAACTTCTTTTATTTTTAATTCAAGGTAAATTAATAGCCCTGAAATATGAATGCAATTGATATATAAACATTAAACTCATTTTTTCGCGGCATTTGATCTTAAATCTGTAATACGACATTATAAAAACTCTTGCTATGTATTCATATATCTGGGATTCACTGTAGTAAACCATCAAAATACTTATTTAAACTAAATTCGAGCTTTAAAACGTCATATTTTTAGAGTTTTGGGTCTTATATCTTTAGTCTTATATTTACTGTAAATTTATGGTAGAAAAAGGATTCAGAAAAGAAAAAGCAAGTTTACATTTCTGGGAACAACGAAAGGATGTATATAATTAATTGGAGAGAAAACATTCTTTAGAGTTGTCTATTGTAACCCTGTACACACCTTGCTTGCATTACAATGTCAACTGACAACTAAAAACACTTTTTATTTTACTCCAACAATTCTTTAAATTTAATTTTCGGAAAATTTTGATAGAAATAAACTTCTCAATTTTTTTATTGAAAAAAAAACACGTTGAGACCAGAACATTGTGGCTTAAAGAAATTACAAAAAAGGATAAAATTTAATGGAGCTTTATAAAACAGGAACAACATCAAAATTGAGCTGATAGCTGTAGAAGTGACCTGAAAAGCCTCTGTAGGTATGGTTGGACGGGGTTTGGTTTGGATTTAGTGCTCTCATGCCGCAATTCATTCTGAATAAATATTTCGTAAATTATTTTAGTTTTATAGAAATGAAACCTTTGTATGAAAATTAATAAAACTGATTAAATTAACATAAATTAAAAGCTAAAACTATGCAAGTCTTCTAGACATGAACTTAGCATTAGATATTTCTCATTGATCTGCAGAACCTTTAACAGGGAAACATTAGTATATTTTTATAAAATGTAAAAATTGTGGTTTGTTTATCAAATAATATTTTGGAAAACTTCGTGTGCAAAAATATTTTTTTTGTCGAACATTGTTTCAACTTCCAAACATTGTTTCAACTTCCAAACATTGTTTCAACTTTCCAAACATTGTTTCAACTTCCAAACATTGTTTCAACTTCCAAAACCGGAGAGTTTTCTGTTCTAATTTAATAATTACCAACAAACTTGATTTTCATCCAATAAGTGATCACAAGTTAAAGAATATCAGTCAAAATATTTTTTTCTGCTTTGCTTTATTTTATGCAAAAATGGCTGATCTATCCAAGAAACTTTTATTATTTAATTTTAAGTCCAATTGTATAAGAAAAAAACTTTCATTTGTTGAAAATAAAAATTTATTTTCAGATTAAAGGATTTTATGTTAATTATAAAATTGATAATCACTAAAGTATGTCCAATACCAGGGAAACTCATGAAACTCTGGATCAGGAAGACGACATTTTATCAATCTTGTTTGTATTTGATGTTGCTTTAAAACAAATATAACTAGTATCTTACAAATCAACTTATTAAGTAAAAAAATAAGTCTCTGTACCAGTGTACAGTGTACATTGCACACATGCAGTGGGCCATTGCCTGGCTATTTGGGAAGTTTCCCAAATACCCATAATTTGGGCAATTCCCCAAATAATCAGTCATTATATTCAGTCATTTGAAAATTTCCAAAATCTTAAAATATACCACACTCAAATTTCTAGAGAAATTTGGGAAATCTGGGGAATTTCCCAAATGCCTGAGAATCTGATAAATTCCCCATAATACCTGAGAATCTGGGAAATTTCCCAAATTTCCTAACGAATCTGAGGGTAGTTTATCTTTCAATTATAGGAAATATCTCAAATGCCTAGGTATTTGGTAAGTTTCCAATCTACTCAGACAATTGTGAAACTTCCAAAATCTTAAAAATATACCATCCTCAAATTACTAAAAGAATTTTGAAAACTTAAGAGAGTTCCCCAAATTTCCCAAATATCTGGGAATCTGGTGATTTTCCCAAATGCCTGGGAATCTGGGAAATTCGTCAAATTTCTATTTTCTTCAAAGGCATAATTGCTGTCGGTTCATGACCATTTAAAATCTTGAGTCCTATTCCACCGTTCATGGCCGACCTGTATTTACAAATAATGTCAACTTGGTAAAGACACAAATTGACTTCATTTACGTAATTACATATCCACTTAAAGACTATTTACAATCCTAACAGATGAAAAGAATAAAAGGATAGAGAGTGTAAAGTCTAATAATAGTATAAAGAACTTAATTAAAAGAGGAAAGAGAAAAATAAATAACGACTGAGATACTTCTATCTGTCTCTTTATTTACCTGTCATATACAGTTAAACCCTAAATGAGCCATACATCGAAACTAATTATCAAATGTCGCCTTGACAAATTTTCAATGGGTTTAATACTATTTTACGTAAATCTCAGTATTTGCGATGAATATGCGGGAACAGTTTTAAAGGGCTCCATATAATCATTTAATTAAAAACTAAATATCTGCAACATTCCATTATCAGAAAGTGAAGAATACGACATTATATGAATTCTTTCGATGTATGGCTTATTTAGGGTTTAACTGTACTTCTATCTGTCACTTTATTTACGTATGTTATATTTCTATCTGTCTCTTTATTTACCTCTGATATACTTCTATCTGTCTCTTTAATTACCTCTGATGTACTTCTTTCTGTCACTTTATTTACGAATGTTATACTTCTATCTGTCTCTTGTTGACCTCTGATGTATTTTAATCTTTGTGAAGAAACAATATGAAGAACTGACGCGGGTCAACCCAGACCGAAATATATTTTCAATAAATGTGGAACTAACATCTACTTTTTTACTCTACAGAGGTTTGGTCCATCACCATCACTGAATTTTAAATCTCTCTGATGTACTTCTATCTGTTTCTTTATTTACCTCTGATATACTTCTATCTGTCTCTTTTATTACTTCTGATGTACTTCTATCTGTCTCTTTTATTACCTCTGATGTACTTCTATCTGTCTCTTTTATTTACCTCTGATGTACTTCTATCATGTCATTTATTTACCTCTGTTATACTTCTATCTGTCTCTTTAATTACCTCTGATGTACTTCTATCTGTCTCTTTATCTACCTCTGATGTACTTCTATCATGTATCTTTATTTACCTCTGATATACTTCTATCTGTCTCTTTAATTACCTCTGATCTACTTCTATATGTCTCTTTAATTATCTCTTATGTAATTCAATCTGTTTCTTTATTTACCTCTGATATACTTCTATCTGTCTCCGGCTCTGCTAGACGCGGAGTATCTGAGAAATTCAGATCAGAAATCTGTTCTTGGACCACACTAATTACTCCACCACCCTGACCATGGACCCGTAATAATGTGGGTGGGGCCGGGAGTGCGGGCTTATATATTTTTTTTTAATTACTTGTAGATTTATGCATCAGAGACGTAAAGTATTTTGTGATCAAAGCAATTAGTACTTTCCAGATAGAAAACCGGCTATATATATATATATAAGGTCTTTTGCTAAATCAATATGTGTTTATATAAGTTAAATGAATGCATTCCTGAAAATGTTTTGATTATTTAAGTGCTGACTAATTATCTACTTGTAAATGCACAATGAATGTATATTTAGTTGAGATTTCAATATGTTTGCTTCAACAAATTCCGATCAGAACAGAACCATCTTATTTGTATTTTATGTTTGAAAATAAATACTATAACTATATTTCTTATTATTGCTCAGATTTAAAAGGTGTTGTAGTAAATCTGACATGCATCGAATTGAGGTCACTTAAAAACCTTATTTTAAAATGGATGAAGATACAGTTGCAAACCTCAATATATTTGTTTACATTGTAAACAACCTCATCACACTTTTCCCATTAAAAATAAAACAAGATTTCCTCAAAATTGAGCAAGAATTCCTAAAAAAAAACTAGTTTTCCTCAAAATAAAACTAAAGTGTTCCTCTAATCTAACAAAGATTTCCTCCATATAAAACAAGATTTCATCCAAATGAAATAAAAATTCCACAAAATAAATCAATGTTTCTCCCAAATAAAACAAGAATTTCTCAAAATAAAACAAGAATATTCCAAAATAAAACAATAATTTCTAAAAAAAAAGATTTCCTACAAATAAAACAAAAACTCTTCCAAATAAAACAAGATTTCCTCCAAATAAAACAAGAACTTCTTTCAAATAAGACAAGAATTCCTCAAAATTAAACAAGATTTCTTCCAAAATAAACAAGATTTCCTCCAAATAAAACAAAATTTACTCAAAATAAACAAGATTTCTCCCAAATAAAACAAGATTTCTTCCAAATAAAACCAGATTTTCTTCAAATAAAACAAGATTCCTTCCAAGTAAAACAAGATTTCCTTCCAATAAAACAAGATTTCCTGAAAATTAAACAAGATTTCTTCCAAATAAAACAAAAATTCTACCAAATAAAACAAGATTTCCTGAAAATTAAACAAGATTTCTTCCAAATAAAACAAAAATTCTACCAAATAAAACAAGATTTCTTCCAAATAAAACAAAAATTCTACCAAATAAAACAAGATTTCTTCCAAATAAAACAAAAATTCTACCAAATAAAACAAGATTTTCTCAAAATTAAACAAGATTTCGTCCAAATAAAACAAAAATTCTACCAAATAAAACAAGATTTTCTCAAAATAAAACAAGATTTCGTCCAAATAAAACTAGTTTTTTCTCCAAATAAAACAAGTTTTTTTTCAAAACTACTAAAAAAGATATTTTCTATGTACGGGTCGTCCTAAACCTCTTCAGTTTCGTCATCTATATAAGGAATCTCTCCAGTGGGAGTCCCCGCCACCTACACAAACAGACATAGATACAAAGACGATTTTTAAATTTAATTATTATTATTATCATTATTATTATTATTTAATTTTAGAGTCACATTTTCGGTTATAATTGAATCGTATTTTGTACTCTAGAATGTACTGCGTTTTACCTCATGGGAAATAAATGTTGTTAACATTTGACTGTAATTATGACAATACGCATTCTAGTATTGTATACAATAATAAGTCAATATGGCTGGAGTACCGGGCCTGAACAAGTCTTTACTAAAGTTTAACTTCGGAAATGGAGACATCGAAAGAATTTATAAATTTTCGTCTTGATAAACGTTTCAATGAGTTTTATACCAGGATAAATAAATAGCCATGAAATATTCGGAAACAGTTTTAAAGAGCTTCATATAATTGTTTTATTAAAAACTTAATATCGGCAGTATTCCATTATAAGAAGAAGATTTAGACAACCACATTTTATAAATGCTTTTCATGGCTCCAAAGTTCTGGAATAGTTTTCTACCAAAAGCAGTCCGACCTTTATTACTTCTTTCTTGATCTCACTCAGCCATTTCTCCGCGGTTTCACTTTTTTCGTCCGGCATTACAGCGTGTGCAAGGTCTTGTTTACAGCTCCGTTGGAACCTATATACAATGCAGTACGTAAAGAAAAGTGAATAATGTCGGATACAGTACTGTACAAAACAGTAACTAATACTTATCGCAGGTACAATTGTGCAAAGTTTGGTAATTACATGTACAATCACATTTCAAAACGTATAATCTGTAGATTTAAAAAAAATGTTATTTCTCCTTTTGTTTTTATAATATTTATAGTATTTATTGATGGATACTTCTAGATTAAGGACATCTCGAATTCAAATTTAACGCCCGTCAAAAGTTGTCTAGCTAAGTTTTGCACCAGTTTCAGAGTACCATGAAACAAATTTGTGAAACATTAAAACTTCTATTGATTTCTTAAACACTCTTTTTGATAAAAAAAAACTCTTTGGAAAAAACGTTTTAGTAATCCCCCCACCCCGGCCCCGCCCCGATGTTTACCTGTTCCAAGATCTACGGAACGACTGCGTTAAATAAGTTCTTGTGAGTGTGTGGTCTCCATCCATAGTTCTCTATCTCCTCTCAAACCGATATAGAGCACGTGGGTGTACACTGTACACAGTTAATACGGCAGCCATCTTGCGTGATTTCTTGATCCTCTACGGAGGTATTTAATAGGATTATTACATGCATAAATGCAGATTTCAGTTTTAGAAAACTTTGATTTAAATATTGTCCTTACATCTGAAATTAAAAGTTAAAAGAAATGAAGATTATAAGATAATTATGTTTTTTGAAAGTTTATAGGATTAATGGATCTCTTATTTTCCCGCACTTTTCTATTTAAATTGGTGCATTTAAAAATATCTAGTGACTCAATGCAATTCAAATACTTTTATTCTATCATTTTTTTGGCTTCGACTCTCATAGAATTAAATAATTTAAATATCTAGCAGATCAATATGTTTAATTGAAAGAAATATATCTACGGTTCACAACGTTTTTTGGACATAACTCAACATTATTTGGTCTGAAGCTCATGTTTATGTTATATTTATTTTTTGACTTTTCTAACTATAACACATGTCCCTCAAATTAGGTTATAAGCCTTATAATGCCTTATTTTACCTATGCCAGAATAAATCTTTATATAGACCTAATTCCAGTTATTGTATTTTAATATCAGTTATTGTATTACAACATTTTAGACGAAATTTATAAATACTATTCAATTGTAGATCCGTATGTTTGATTCACAATGGTACTTTTTAATGCTTTTACTGATTAAGAATGACTGAGATATCCATCATATGGTCTTTAAAAATTAATTATTTTTAAGTGTGGTTTCTCTACAAATTGCTTGAAGCATTTCTGCTTTAGAAATAATAGAGGAAATAGTCAGATTTAAACACTTTTCTTAATTCCTTTTTAATATCGATTCATTTGCGAGGCCTTCCTTATGTACCCTCATTGCCTCTCTTATCCCTCTCCCCTTTCTCTCTTATCGTATTCCACTCCCTCTCCCCTCCTATTCCCTCCCTATTCTCTCCCTTTCCCCTCCCTTTCCTCTTCCTCTTCCCTCCCTCTCCCCTTAGAAACCTTAGAAAATCTTATAATTTTTAATAAAAGAGATGTGCGTCAAATATCCCCGGTTTTTTACTATCTATGATTCAGTTTGTCTATTTTGTACACTGAAAAGTTTTGCAATTTGTACAGCTAAACCCTGTACATAAATAAGAAATCATAAATCATAAATTATAAGAAATCGGATGACGATATATAAGCAATCTGATGTGTATTTTGGCAAATAGTTAATCATTAGCTTAAAAATTAATATGTTAAAGGGAATAAGTTTGTGTACAGTGTACAATTGCTGTGTTTAACGTTCGTTATTTAAAATCATAACTTAACAGTCGTCTTTATGAATTCAGTCAGTTTTTTGAGTCCCATCTGCAGTTCAAGAATTACAAAGGATGTGTCGAAAAATGGCTTCTACTCTTTTGAGCTTTGTAAAATTAGCTCTGTCGTTTTCTTATTTTAAAAATTACATTCTTTTTAGAATTACCAGGATTTTTGAAATGTGGTTCTTTTATTGAGTGCCTTTCTAAAAGTATGAATTTGAATAAGCTTAGAATCCTAAGGGCTTAAAATAAATGTTGTATTTATTTTTTTATGGTTTCTCACCATAACAATAGACATATATTCTCAGCAAATGAAAAATATATTATTGAACGCTATAAATTTCAGAGCTGAGACCTGTTTACCCTTAATAATCCCGATCGTTTTTTTTAATATCCACTGTGAAAACTTTTAATTTTCTTGTTTATCCTTTATTTTGGATATCCATGCCCATGGGTTCCTACCAATTAGAGATGTCTCATTGAGTGTCCACAAAGATGTCAATATCAAAATAAATATCATACAAATCTTGAGATTAAGAAAACAGAAGATCAAGCATTGATCTCGATAAACACAATTCTAAAGTTTTTAGCTCAGGTTAGTCTGACCAACTAAACCAAACTGAATTAAAGCCAGGAAGCCATAGTCTTTTCAGCTTATCTTGTTATACAATCTTCATACAATGCATACATATTTAGAAAGGTATTTAGAATTCTATAATTTATCAAACTTTTCTGAACAAATGTAAATTTAATTTTAGGGCAGAACCATCACAGATATCAGTTTGCAAAAAGTATCTAAACCACATTAAGTTTGATTTACACGAATATTTTAGGAAAATTGGTTTAAATGGTAAATTTTGTTTCTAAAGCTGGCAAATTTTTAAATTTGTGTAGAACAGAATTTAATTGAAGATTTTTACGACAATGTTTTTACTCTTTAACATCATGCTACGTTTGTGAAAGAATTTTGCAGAGAAAAGACTAAAAAGAGTAAAATAAGTAAATAAACATAAAGGATTTGTAAAAAATCGGCACGAATTAAAAAGATGCTTAAAAATGTCGGTTTTGTGTAAAACCTAAAATCTAAAAACCTATTTAAATTTATCAACATTAAAATTAAATCAATAATTATTATTTCTAGAAGTTGTTTGATGGTCGTCGAAAAATGGAAAATAATCGTTTTTAGAATTAAGGAGGGGAAATATCCCAAAAGCTCTTTTTTTGGAGGTTTTGAAATATTAACTCCATAAAAACTAAATATTGTATATTTCATGCTTTATATATAAAGTAGCTTAGGAACCCAGCGCTGCCCAGGTTACTCAAAGTTACTTTCGCCGTTTACCCGCACTTGAACGATTTTACCGTGAAACTAAATTTCCAATAATGAGTCGACCGAACTAGTCCGAACTACTTGCAATCCGAGCTTTTAGCTCAGGGTCCGTATGAGGACTGAAGGGGTTACATCAATGGAACTATCCAATCTGAGGTTAGCTCTGGGTTCGGATGAGAACTGAAGGGGTTACATCAATTGAACTATCCATATTCCAAGCTATTGAGCTCACATCGGTTACAATATATTCTGATAATCTTTTTATTTACAAACATTGTATCAATTGTATCTTGCATTGATTTTTAATTATTTCAATTTATAATTACTGTTCCCATTCCTATTTTTATCCTTAAATGGATCCTGTAATCCCCGAAATATTGCGTATAATTAATAGGTCATGCTTCTAAGATTGTACTAAAGGAGACATAAAGATTGAAAAAAAAAAAATTTACCTTATAGCTTTTTTTTACAGAAAATTACAACGGATTTAGGATAATCTAGATATATAGATTTTTTCTAACGCCCATTAATTAAAGATATGTGGCGCGCCGCAAGCGTGCCCAAGTGATTTTTTGGTCCCAAACTCGTGTTTTAAGGGGTTTCACGGAAATTACTAGCTTGCTGTTGGATTTTGGAACATCAACTCAATTCATTAATACAACTTCTCTAAAAAAATGCATAAGTGACCGACCCTTATTTGACTTTAATAGTTCATGGTGTAAACTCAATATTGCTGACAGCCCCACCCCATGCCCTTCCCCAACAAAAAAACTAAATTTTCAATTGTACAAATATTGTTTAGAATCTGCCAACATAATTTCAAAATTCCGCAATCCAGTGAAACCATAGCTATGTTTTTGCAACGAATTTCACCCTCAACGCAATCCACAAAATAAAACAAAAAAAATTTGGTTTATGTATTATTTATATTTTTGGACTGAAATAACGTAAAATATTGAATCAACAAATTACTACATATTTAGACTTTGTAATTTGATATTTAACCATATCTTTTTAAGTAAAAAAGAAGACGAAAGGAATAAAGTAAGGTATTTTGTGATTTTAAGTGTTTAGATACTTTGGCGTTTTGGATTTTAGGTGTTTTAAAATTTTGTCTACTGTTTTGTTTCAACAGACTTAAGAATTGTTGACTTTAAAAAGCGGAAACAATTAGAATCAATTTTTATTTTCTAACATTCAATATTTGATATAAATATCTACACATTTTAAATCTAAATTTGTATTAACTGCTGTTTTGTTCTATTTTTGGCCAGGTTTATAATTCTTTTTTTTATTTTGTAAATTACATTAAAGCTTTAAGTTTGAGAATGTCATCTTGTATATTGAGTTTAATTCCTCGGCTCTCCTCATCATATCTAAACAATAAGATATTTTAATTTAAGAAATCACTTTTTAAAATCTTGAAATACCCTGAAAAGTTTGAGTTGATTTGTATTTTTGATCCCGCAAACGTCGAAACTGCTGAACCCAAATGGTCTCAAGCATAGATTCATAGCAACACAGATAGAACACTAGATGTCGTCTTTTTAAGATTTAGAGGTTTTTTTTGTTCACAAAAACCCTGAGGCAGAGGCCTAAAGGAGTTACGCGCATGCTGCGTAGAATTCCAAGACAGAGAGAGAGCCGCATGCGCGCAAATCCTTTGGACCTCTGCCTAAGTGAACGAAAAAAGCCCTAAATCTTGAAAAGACGACATCTAGTCTTCTCCCTTTGTTGTTATTAATCTATGGTCTCAAGGTTGTATGACTGATAAAGATTAAAAATGTCCGATTTCAATAACATCTTAAAAATAGTAATAGACGAAGAGAAAAAGCAACACTTAAAGTTTGTTTTAATATGTTTCATGTAAACCTGTTCAGCTTAAGACAAACATAAATATTAATTTTTATTTTTATTTTCAATTGTTTTGAAAAGCTGCCATTTTCACACCAGCCGCCGGATTATACAAGGCGAGTAAAAAAACGAGATTATCGATGTATTTGACAAAATTTTCAAAAATTTGTTTGCTTCAGATTTTGGGCATAACAAATATAAAATGTGTAAGGAAATTACATTTTTTTGGAACCTTTTTTTTAAAAAGAGAAATTTTTCAAAAAATTATCATGAAAATGTTTATGATATTGTTTTCCAAAATTTCATCAAAAAATCCGCAAAAAAGAGGTTACACAAAAATTTATATAATAGAAAAGTAAATTTTGGACAAATATGAACACGAGACACAGGAACTGAGTTGTTGCCACAACCTCTGATTTTCTAATCAATTTGCAACCCGATGTCGTAGACCCTTTATACAAACTATTAAAGGTTTACACCATCAAGTTGCAAAGATATAGGCAAGAGAAAATTTGAGTTTGAGGCAAAAACTAAGTTCCTTTGATATTTTTTTTAAGTATGCACGTAGCTGAAATTTTTTTTTATATTATAATGAAAATATTAATGGATGACCTTGACTGTATTCGGCACTGCTCCGCCTTAAACCTGGCGAGTAATCGGTCCAGCTCCGTTCTCTCCGCCGTCTCAAGAACCTCCGTCTTTAGTCTTAATTCTTTCATCTTTAATTCAACCGCCTGAAATTAATCGAGATTACTGACCAGGAATATTTGATTTTTAATTTTTTTTAGAAGATTTTATAATTTGAGCCACAAACATTACCAACAATACTCATTATTCTAATCAAAATGTTTGTAACTTCAAAATGATTTTGGTAAGTTCGATATTATGAAAATTCTTTTGCGAAATTGCACAATTGAAAGAAAAAATAACGACGATAAACATTCACCCATTTTTCAAGTTACTAATGTACAAAAATAAAAATAAAGAATTTGTATTGATTTACCTCTAAGAAAACACTATTTTCCTCTCTATTCTTGATTGTTCTAAATATATAAAATTGTTAACATTTTCTAAAACTTTGATAGAATCAAACAAAACTTTGTAAGCATCAAAATAAATGTTAACCAAATCTAAATAAACTTTAACAGGATCTAAATAAACGTTAACCGAATCAAAATAAACGTGAACAGGATCTAAATAAACGTTAACCGGGTCTAAATAAACGTTAACCAGAACTAAATAAACATTAACCGGAACTAAAAAACGTTAACCGAATCTAAATAAACTTTAACAGAATCTAAATAAACTTTAACATGATCTAAATAAACTTTAACAGGATCTAAATAAAAGTTAACAGGATCTAAATAAAAGTTAACCGAATTTTAATAAACGTTAACCGAATCTAAATAAATGTTAAACGGAAATATAGAAGTTATCCAAAATGATTTTATGAGATGATATAAAAAGGTTTTATGGTGAATTAATCTAAAAGTTATTATTGTTACGTAATTATATGGCACAATTTTCCATTTTGAGAACAATTACATTTCAAAGTACAGAAATAGCCAGAAAACAATGGAACAGGAAGACGACATTATAACAATTCTTAAGTTTTATGATGTTGTTACAAAGCAAATAGTTTTACTAGACACTTATTAATTTACTAATACACAGCCAATAATTTTACCACTATGTTATTAAATCCTTTATTCAGTGAAATGGGCCTGTTTACACTGCACAATTGCTGTGTCCTGCTTATTGGACTTTTTAAAGTTATGACTTGATTCTATAAGTCGTGTTCCAATTTTAACATTTCTGGTTATCACTGAACCTTTTTTACAGATTAGGGATCCATTTTAAATTAATCACTCCAGTGAGGGAGGAGGTGCAGAGGCGCCATGATCCCCGCAAAAATGACCTCCGAGCCTCAGGATTTGCAGAATTACCTCCAGGCCCCGCAAAACTGGTCTCCCAGCCTCAGTGACGTCACCAAGCCACCCGCCATTCTGTCTCCACGCCCCGCATTTTGGCTCCAATAAAAAAATATTTGGCTTTTATTTCCACCAAGAACCTTTTTTAGAAAATTCTCAACAGGATGAAATAGTTCAGAATGATACATTAACATTTTGTATTAAAAAGTGAATTTTAATTGAGATTAAGGGCTTGTATTTTGTTTTTCTAAATTTCACAAATTCCTTAAATTGTGAAGAACTATTGCAGTTTTGTATAAGATAGAAAAATGTTATATTATTTTAGAGGGGTCTCATATATGAATCAAACAATATCAGCGGCAATTTACAAAACAAGGTAGTTTTTGTGAAATCTTTGTATTTGTGATTTTATCGTATGCTTTAGAAAATATTGAAGAACTATTTTTTTTTAAGTTGAAACAAAAAATTGAAATAATCTAAATATCTATTACATGCTATACTAACAGGTTAGGGCAGCTTCGTATCATATCTTGTTGTTTAAATAAGTTAAATTTAATTCTAAAAAGTTTTTCTTTTATAGCGAGAGAATTCATTTACTTAACTGAAAAAAATGATATACAGAGGTGGGGGGGCGGGGGTGTGCGCAAAAACGCGTATATTATAGAACATTAATTTGCATTTTTTTGATAAAATGTAATGCTAAGGAATCGAGAGTTAATAAAATCTTCAAATCATGATGCCTTCAAAAATATTAGATAAGTCGTTAATAAAGGTCGTCTTTTACTCATTCCATCTTAATGTAAACTTTTACAGAAAAACAACTCCAGAACAATTGAATGAATTAACATGTCAAATTTGTTGATTAGACGATTCTTTAAACTATTACGGAGTCTACTATGAAGAGATATATTTTGATATTTGTTTGGTTAAGCCAACCAATTTAAACAAAAATAAAAAACAAGCGGAGACCAAAATGCAGAGCGTGGAGACAGAATGGCGGGAGGCTTGGTGACGTCACTGAGGCTGGGAGACTAGTTTTGCGGGGCCTGGAGGTAATTCTGCAAATCCTGAGGTTCGGAGGTCATTTTTGCGGGGATCATGGCGCCTCTGCACCCCCTCCCTCCTCCAGTTCATTTTAATCTAGAAACCTGATATTCTGCACAGTAAGCTGAATATCATCAGAGATTAAATTAATCTCCTCTTGTATTCTTCGCCAGTGCTCTGATCGAACCATGCTTTTGATCTCAGGAACTCTAGTTATCTAAAAAATATTAATCTCAGGAATTCTAGTTATCTAAACAATATTAATCTCAGGAACTCTAGTTAACAATATTAATCTCAGGAACTCTAGTTATCTAAATAATATTAATCTCAGGAACTCTAGTTATCTAAATAATATTAATCTCAGGAACTCTAGCTATCTAAATAATATTAATCTCAGGAACTCTAGTTATCTAAATAATATTAATCTCAGGAACTCTAGTTATCTAAATAATATTAATCTCAGGAACTCTAGTTATCTAAATAATATTAATCTCAGGAACTCTAGCTATCTAAATAATATTAATCTCAGGAACTCTATCTGAACAATATTAATCTCAGGAACTCTATCTGAACAATATTAATCTCAGGAACTCTAGTCTAAACAATATTAATCTCAGGAACTCTTTCCAAACAATATTAATTTTGGAACTCTATCTGAACAACATTGATCTCTGGAACTCTATCTGAACAATATTAATCTCAGGAAATCTATCTAAACAATATTAATCTCAGGAACTCTAGCCTAAACAATATTAATCTTAGGAAATCTATTTAAACAATATTAATCTCAGGAACTCTAGCCTAAACAATATTAATCTCAGGAACTCTTTCTAAATTATAATAATCTCAGGAACTCTGGCTGGCAATAATAATCTCAGGAACTTTATCTGAACAATATTAATCTCTGGAAATCTATCTAAACAATATTAATCTCAGGAACTCTAGTCTAAACAATATTAATCTCAGGAACTCTATCTAAATAATAATAATCTCAGGAACTCTTTCTAAATAATAATAATCTCAGGAACTCTGGCTGGCAATAATAATCTCAGGAACTCTATCTAAACAATATTAATCTCAGGAACTCTAGTCTAAACAATATTAATCTTAGGAAATCTATCTAAACAATATTAATCTCAGGAACTCTAGCCTAAACAATATTAATCTCAGGAACTCTTTCTAAGCAATATTAATCTCAGGAACTCTGGCTGGCAATAATGATCTCAGGAACTCTAGTATCTGAATTAAAAAACACAAATACATTGGTCGTCGTAAATATTAATACAATGAAGATGACTTTCTATTTCAATTCTTTTATTTTTCAAACAGCATATGATATACAAATAAACATAGAAACTTTGAGAAACTGTCGATTAACAGCGTCTCTTTGTTTACATGTAAAAATCAAACTTAAATAGAAAAGTCGTCTTCATTGTATTGATATTAACGCTGACCAATCAAAAAAAGTATCTTAAGTTGCATATGACCTGTTCCGGTGTTGCACCATTTTTGTTTACAATATCAATAGGTATTCGGGGCTCTTTTATCAGTAACTCAACCACCTGAACACAATTCAACTACTAATGGATATCGTTTTAAAGTCTGGCTTTAAAGTTTAAAAGTAATCAGATTGTTAAAAGGATTCACAATAATCTAAAATGTTAAACTTATTTGAAAATTGTATGCGCGATAAGTTTGATTTTATTACAAAATGTTGCAGGTAGCTCCTCGACCTGGACACTTTTTGTATTTGTTGTTTTTCTTAACTGTAGTCTGGTACTTTATATAAAACTTTCATTTAGGGTAAAACAACAAATACTACGGGTGTCAAATAATTATTTTTAGTCTTTTTTCATTGAGGGCCAAAATCTCCACTTTAGAATTTTTAAAAATTAAAAATGCTTGGGTTTTTAATTAAGATACATTTCTTTTATATATTTTCGAGAAATAATAAGAATTTGTGGGATTGGTTAAGGAAATAAGTTTTTAATTCCAAAAAAGTTGTCTTTTTGCTAGAGTTGCGCAGACATCGCGCAATAATCTCATAATCATAAGGTAAAAATAAATCAACCCTTCAATTTCTTTGCATCCCTATATCTTCGCAAGCTAATGGCGTAAATTTTCAATATTGTGAACTGTTTAATTCAACAGAATTCAAAGTATGAAAAACTTAAGGTCTACAACATCAGGGTTGCAAAGATATAGAGACTAGAAAGTTTGAGCTTGTCGTGTGTGCTTGGGTCCTTAATTAAGGTCCACAACATCAGGGTTGCAAAGATATAGAGACTAGAAAGTTTGAGCTTGTCGTGTGTGCTTGGGTCCTTAATTACCTCAACATTGCCGCGCTTGCAGGCGCACATGAAAGCACTTGCGAGAGAAAACCGGTTTTCATAGATTTTTTCTTCCTTCAGTAGTCTCTCAATTATCTTAACAGTTAGATTGCTTTACCATCAATTTGTTGAAGTTATGGGTGTTGCCCGTGGTTGCTAAAAATCGTCCAAAAATTGGTTATAAAACGACCGTTTGTGTCAAATCGATTAGTCTAAACGTTATGTTATGCCAACCATCTTTTCAAAGTCACGGTTTGGCCGGCAATAAAAAAAAACATGCACAAATGATGTACACATATTCTGGTGTTATGCTTTTAAAAAGAAGTCAAAAGATAATATATGTTTTAATCTTTTTTCTCTGTCCTTGGTTATGCTTACATTTTACTAAATTTCTTATAAATATCTTTGATACGTTTTAATGTAAAGCACGACTGACCACATTTTGGAAATCCCATTACAACCAAGAGTTTTATATACAGTGAATCCCAGATATATGAATACAAAGCAAGCGTTTTTTTATAATGTCGTATTAATATTTAAGATCAAATGCCACAGAAAAATGAGTTTAATGTTTATATCAATTGCATTCATATTTCAAGGCTATTAATTTACCTTGAATTAAAAATAAAATAAAATTCTTTAGAATTATCAAAAAACTTTTGACGGTCTATGTATTCATATATCTGGGATTATGTAATTAAAGTTGAATGCTTTTAAAATTGTTTCAACAAAAAATTTCATCTAAACATGAAAGATCTTTATTTTATATGAACTATTAATTTTAATCAAAGTACAGCGGTAGGCGATTATATCAATACAATGAAGACAGCTTTCGATTTCAATTTTGATTTACATCAAAACTGTTATAAACAGCATGGATACAAATAAACATAGAAGTCAGGAGAAGCTGTCAATTAAAAAAGCTTCTCTACGATTACTTGTGAAAAAACTTGTTAACAATAAAAAAGTCGTATTGATTGTGTTGATGTAATCGCCTACCATCACTGTCTGTCCATCTGAAACACTTAGTATTTAATACGTGAATAATCTGTCCATTTTTTTGTGACACACTGTACTTCAAATACGATTTAAAATGTGTTTTATAATTTTTATGTTTTTTTGAATACCCTGTCCTACCTTGACGTGTCCCAGACTGCAGGCCCACATTAAACCAACGCTAATTTCTTCACCAGTAATCCCGAGTATAGTATTTCTAAAAAATTTCAGAAACTATTTTTAAAATTTGTTTCTTTTATTCTTTTATGAACCACATACATGACACAACATGACAGTTGGTCAATAGTTTTTAATGTCTATTAACATACACTGTATTTGATATTAAAGATTTTTTGAAGTTTAATTAGTTTAAAAAATCTTTTACTCAAATATATTTTCCATTGAAATCAATTTTACTAAAATATGACTGGTATTCTCAATTTGGTATCAAACAACTTAACAAATTATGGAAGAAGACATTTAAAACTATTCACAAACTATCATGTTAACTGTTGAGTAATATTATCGTAAATACGCCCCATTTTAAACACTATCATCCAGTGTACTGCAATGTCACTGAATACAATTTAGGGTGACACATAAAAAGTAAATAACAGAATATCAAACGGTGCATATAAGTTCTATGGGTGATGTCAACTAGAGATGTCAACGATAGTGTAACGTAACGTAAAATGTACGTTTTTGTACGTTACGTTACATTAATGTGTAACGTTTGGATATATTCTATATAACGTGAACGTTAAACGTTAACGTTATAGGAGCTCATACCTAACGTTAACGTTAAACGTTAACGTTAGAGGAACATACCCCCAACGTTAGCGTTTTGTGGAAATGTAACGTTATTTTTCTAATATCTACAACTTTTTTGACCATAACGTAAAGAAATGTTTTGTTTCCAAAGGGAGCTTGAAAGTCTAACGTTTGAAAAATGAATTGTGATTTGATTAAATATCGTAACGAAAGGATTTCTGTTTCAAAGTTCAACTTATAAAAAGTGTAACGTTGTATAACTGAAAAATGCATTACTGTTTATGAAAACGTTTTGAAACGTTTTCCCTTATAGTATAGTGAAAAATTCAACGTTGCAGAAATGGGTTATTATTTTAATAATCAGGAAACGAAAGTTTTTTTACAGAGTAAAATTTCAATAATGTAACGTATAACATTTAAAAATGTAATTCTGTAAATCAAAACGTTTCATAACTTTTCTTTGAATACTAAATTGATTAGTCTAACTTTAGATATATGTCTGATGAAAAGGTTGTTCATAAAACGTTAGACTATGAGGGCTGAGTTTTAATTTCAAAAGCGTAACAATAATTCTGTCAATTGAAACATTTCAAAACGTCTCTAATATCAATGTAAGAGATTCGACTGATGATTATAAGAGCAAAGACTTATGGTTTTTCATTTCAAGTTTTAAGAAAATGAGTTTATGCCAAAAACTCTAATTTTCATTTAATATATCTTTGCAACCAGATGTCATAGACCATTAATATTGAAATATACAAGGTTTAAACCATCGGGTTGGAAAGATATAGGGATTAGTAAATTTGAAAAAAACTTAGTTCCTTTCTAAAATGTAAACGAGTGTTTTTGTAACATGCTATTAGTGAAAATTCAAATCTTATAAATGTTTCTTGGACATTAAAGTTTTTGATTTGCCATTGTTTGATTAAACCCACTAAAACTCTGGAAAAGGAATACAACATTAAGAAATTTTACATGTGCATTTTCTGTTATAAAGCAAATGATTTACTAATTTCAAAAAAATCAACTTATTGAGTGGAACGGGTCTGTGAAGAAACACAATTGCTGTGTTTCATGTTTATTTGACTACTTGAAATCATAACTTCAGTTGGCATGGTTCATGTTTTAGGTTGAAAAATTTAGAAAAGTAGATACTTACTAAAATGCAACAATATTTCATCAAATGGAAAATGCGTGTTATTTTTTATTCATTAATAGATTTTTATGAAACTTTAGAATAGAAAAAAACTATTTGTTAGTCGATTTTTTTTAAAAAGAAAAAAATGTTAAATAATTTTATTTCGCGTTGTTTGTGTTAAAAAAAATTTAGCACTTGTCTTACTATATTTGATATTTTTTAACCCCAAACATGAGCTCTGAAAACATTTTCATATTGTGGTATGAAAACTAAAGCTAATGCCGCTTTTTTACTCACTTTGTAAGTAACATAAAAAAAACACAAAAAGAACTAAAAATTCATCTTTGCAAGCTGGTGTTGTAGACTTTTGATATTTCAAGCTANCAAGTGAAAGTGTAACGTAAGGTCTCTGAAAATATTTACCTTGCATGAAAGTGGAACGTTAAAAAATTGTGGTTATATTACATAAGCTTTAACGCAACGTTGGGAAAGTTTTTTAAAACATCAAATGCAAAAGCGTAACGGAGCTTACTGTTTTTTCAATAACATTTACTAAAGCTTAACGTTGTATAAGGTATTCAAGTGCAGAAAATTCATTACGTAACGTTACTCTATGCCATAAAATTTCATAATGTGCAACGTAACGTTTCAAACGTTAATACTTTTGATGAACACTATCGTAACGAAAACTGAAATCTAGAAAAATCAAAACGTTGACATCTCTAATGTCAACCATTGAAATGCAAAAGAGTGTCGTTTTAACTTTATTAACTTAGATGCAAGTAGTTTCAGGGAAAAATCTCGATTTTTGTTAATGATAATGGAGCAATTCGACATTTTGTGACTCAAAATTTTGTACAGGCTGTATTTGGTTATAAAAATTAAGATAAAAGGCTGAAATTTTGCATACGTCTCCATTGTGGCCAGATCACCAAGTAAATTTGTAATTCAAGGTCAATGGCCTCCATCAAAAATCAATGTTTTGCCAAAAACCCAAAAATGACTTGAACCTGATGCAAATTTTTAACTCCCTTCGTGAGTTACCATACTGTACATTTATGTACAGGGCTTAATATATAATTAAAGACAAATTAAAAATACTAACCCTCTCAAAAAAAAATTTGGAAAATGATTAGAAATTCAAGAAATGTCCAGCCACAGAAACATGGCTATCTAATTCATACTTAATCAGAGAAAGCTTTTGAGGATACTGGCATTGCATCTATGCGTGGGCTTTCGCTTGAAATTGCACTTTCCGTCCTATTCACTTACACTGAGATATGATTGTTCATCATTTGTTGAATAGTGTTTAAGCTTCCTTGTTTGCACGCCTTTTTAAACTCTTCTACTCGTCGACGCCTAGAATTTAAAATTATTAATACAATCTTAACACAAACAACACATTTATGTATGCTCACTTACTTACCTTGGAGTAGATATTGGTCTTATACATATTCGTTTAACTCACGCTTAAAACTTAATTCGGGGACCATGTGAAGCAAGGATATTTATGTTAAATTGAATTCACCGCTTTTTTTTTATTTTACGATTGTGCATTTTAATCTCAAACTTAGAAAATACCCTCTTTTGTTAAAACCAGGGGGGATAATAGTTCTCTACCTGTGTGCTCAGTTAGCTGTACTATGCACTTACAACCGTTTACTAATATTGATATACAGGGTGTCCCACGAAACATGACAGTATGCAGGACGACTTGAATGTCGTCTTGATTTTGATATAATTTGCTGCGTTTATTTGTCAACCTAATTTTAGAAGTAAATTTCTAGAGATAATAATCACAAAATTTCCCTTGTCCTGCCATTTCCAAAATGTGGTCTGCTTTTTTTGTGCTTTCAATATTGCCCGAGATATGAAGAATTTCGTTCAGATTTCGACAATTTTGCTTTTATTTAACAAAATTGAAATCTGAACCAAACTCTTTATATCTCCGGTAATATTGAAATCACGAAAAACGCTTTTTGGAAATGCCAGGGCTAGGAGAATTATGTAATAATTGTTTCAAGAATCATACATGTTAAAGTAGATAGAAGAATAAATGTCACAAATAAATTCAAATACCAAAGACGACTTTCAAGTCGTCTTGCTATTGTCATGTTTCGTGGGACACCCTGTACTATAGGTATTTCGGTTTGGCGGGTGGAAATACAGTTTAAATGTGTGTTTTAAACAAAAACTAATTTTGATCTAAAATTAAATAAACTTTTTAAATTGATGCATATGAGAGCGGGATGGATAGCGAGAAGAAGATTAATCGCTTAGACGTAATTGAAGTTTTAAACTACTTTTTTAACTTGAACAACCGGTTCTGCAGCTACTTCCTGCTATGTGCAGAGTAAACAAAAGTTGCATGAGCCGGTCTAAACATAATCGATCTGGCGCCGCCTTGATTCCAAAAAAAATAATAATTTTAAATTTATTTACAAAAAAAATATTGAAACCTGATATAAGTTAGTAGCAAAATACAGGACAGGAAAAAGACAAAAAAAATCATCGCAGAAAATATTCTGTCCGAATCCCGAGGGGTTATTTCATACATTTTATCTGAGAAAACTATAGATTTATAATTCTTCAAGTTATTTAATATCAAAGTCCTATGGATGCATTGAAAGTTAAAACCAAGAAAGTTAATGAGATAATAGTTGATTTAAATGATGATATTAATATGTAATAACAAAAATAAAAATGAAATTAATAATAATAATAATAAAANTATCTATTTATCTATCTATCTACAGACAGCGTTTTGAATTTTGACTTTGAACAATTAGGCGGGAATTATTAAAACTTTTACAGAAAGATAATATTGGGATATTTGAAAAATAAGAAATCATGCCTAAAACATTTTATAGATTGGACATTTTAAAGATACATTTATTGAAGAATTTGCATAGCTCGTGTAGTGAAAACCAGAGAGCTGTGGATTTTTAAGATGAAAGTATAGAAATAATTCAGATTATTTAATGTTTTTAATAAGCAAATAGTTTTATTAGAATCTCTTATTACGTTAAATTGGCCTGTTTACACTGCACTATTGGCAGGCGCGCAGGGGAGGGGGGGGGGCAAAGGGCAAATATTTCGCGTATCGCAAAAAAAAATTTACATAATGCCATTTTTTGTAAAAATTATAAATAGAAAATAAGACGATATTTATGAACATTGTCTTCTATAAAATATTCTTACTATGAAATGTCCTAGTTCTAAACTGTTAAGTGTTAAATTAGCGTGCTCGCAACCAAAATTAATCAACATCAAATCATTATTTTAGAATTTCTGGAGAAAAATCTTGTATTTTGACTTATGTTGACCTGTAAAATCCTTTTGTTGTTAACTTTGTAAAATTCCCCATTTTAAAAAGAGGAGGGGGCTGGAGGGAGGGGGAGATAAATATTTTTCATCATTTTAATATTTATGCACAGTTCTATATTTCTTACTATAGGAAATCTAGGAGAGAAAGCAAGATGGTAAAAAAGCAAAATATTTAGAAACATAAATTACAAATATTTAGGACAGTTAATAATGCTGCTCTGTGTTTTCTAGCGGATGAATACAAGTTACATATTTTATTTTAGTCTATTTATACTGCAAAATATCGAATATATACAGGGTTACCCACTAAGGATAAGACTTCAAGATATGACTGCCTGTTTCATTAAATCCAAGGTTGTATAGAATACAAGGTTGGGAACTAGTTTCTGCATGAAAAATAATAACAAAAATTGTAAACAAAAACACAGATGATAAATAAACGGATAACTACGGGAGGGAGGGGGGGAGGCTGGCCCCTAATAGCTACGCCTCTGCACCCAGTTACAATACTCAAAGCTGGGGGACTTGTATAGACTTGTATTTGAAAGAAATAAAATTTACTGCAGATTGTTCAGTTTCAACATGTTTTTCAGGTTTTTTAGGTCTAAAATATTAGAAATTAAACATGATAGTGGTACAGTGGATATTAATAGGAACTGTAAACTCAATTTCAAGTTACCTTTGATTTATGAAATGGCACGTCCGATTTATTATGGTACCTTAAAAACTTTGTCTGATAACGAGTGGAGGAGCTATTCATGTTTCTCTTTTTGAAATGTAATTATTTTTAATTGGTGTTTCTCTATAAAAGTTACTTGAAGATTATTGCTTGCAAAAACAATGGAGGTTTTTTTTCAGAATAAAACAATTTGAAACTAGAAAGACTAAGCCATATTTGAATTAATTTGAACAATTTCGGGTTTTGAAATATTTCACTAAAAAGTTTGATTCTTAGGATGCTAAAAACTAAAACTTTCTAGGGCAAGTGCGCAGGATAATATCCCCCCCCCCTCAGGGCATTACAAAAAAAAAGAAGAGAAAAAACGGTCACTAAAAGAAATATATTACCTTTTACTATTCATGTCGATCACTGCCTTACACCGAGATTAACTGTTTACTACTAACTGATGTTGGTTTGTAATAAATAGTCGTATAGTAATTATTATTATTATGTAAAACTTGTAATTAAACTGTAATTGTAACCTGTAAATAAACGTCAGTTGGAAAATACTCCGCTTTGATTAGATTGAATTGTATCTTGTGAGAAAAAGATACCTAAGAATACAGATGGAGTTGTATCCGGATTGATATTGGCTAGTGTATTATTGCAAAACTTCCAGTTCAAGATTGATTTATAATTGTTTCCTCGTTTAGAGACAAAGAGAGAGAAACCTTGAGTTTGAGATTGAGTTGTATCTTGTAAAACAGATATTTGAGAATAAGGAAGGTTAGACCTGGATTGGTACAGATCTAATATTACATATGAAAGAAAAATGAATCAAGGCAACTACTCATATTATTAATATTCGACGAGTCGGTTTTTCTTACGATTTATTATTATTTACAAAGATACAAAAACTAAAAGATGATACTATACGAATCAAATATTATGAATTGAGGGTGGAACAGAGTGATGGGAGAACTTCATGTGATGATTCCAACTCTGGAGCTGATCTTCAACTGACTCTTTTCCCTAGATTTCGCTCCACCCTAGGCTAGAGCTTAACCCTAGTTCCCCGGGAGCTGGCCTGCTATCCCCCGCAGAACCCGGGCCTCTGGAATAACAGAACTTTCAGCTTGGCTTGGGTTATTTATAGAATCCACATGCAAACTCAACTAAATCCGTTAGGATTCAAAATAGGATTCAAAAGTCCAACCGAAGGGTAAAAGGGGGGGGGGCATGATACCCCTAGGTAGCTATGATCTCAGCGATCTAAAAAATCCTTGAATCGCTGATCGTAAAAGATCAACAAAATCACACATTGTTACACTAAAGGTGTTTAGTGTAGAAGGGCATTTACTACATAAAATCTACAATCTTTTTTTTTAATCTCATCCTTTGTGGGTATCCTTGTAGTAGATAAATATAACAATGGATGATGTTAAAAATAGGAACAACAAAATTACAAATTTTTATGTAAGACAGAGGTTTGGATCTTAAGTTTTTTCCATTAAGGGATCGGATCGGTCGTTGTAATTTCAAATAACCGTTTATTTCACGAGGGCCATGCCAGATTCACAAGGTTACCCTTCAAACCTTTATCTGATCAAAAATGTAGAATATATCATCGAAATTCCAGCTTCAATTTTTCATCTCATTCATTCTTATCAGACAAAACTTTTCAGGGTCAGTTGTAAATCGGACATTTCGCTCATTCTTTAAAAAAAGTCTTTAGTTCCTTTATAATATAAGGTAAAATATACTCGCTATATAATATAAGGTAAAATATACTCGCTATATAAGTTTGTCTTTTATGTCAAAATAATTATACAGATAACAGATCTTTTTTTTATAAAACAATGAAGCTTCAATTTAGGAAACAAAATTGTTTTTAAATGGTCATGCATTTTATGAGAACATTATTTATATCTTAAAAATTTTTAAAAATTTTCCCTTTACTGTCCCTTTAAATGCCGCTAGAAGTTTTCAGTTCCTCATTATTTTACTAAAAAGTACGCTAACTCAAGTAATAAAAGCAAAAAGAAAAACAATTTAGAAATGTGTACTTGTAAAAAAAACTTTTTAAAAAATGTGCACTTAAAAAAACAACTTATAAAACAAATTTGACTCTAAAACAAACACGTTTGACGGAGTACACAGTAGAACAGTAAGCCTATAGTTAAATTTTAAACATAAAAGTACAATAATATTAAACCGATGCCAACCAATCTACCTGAGCCTCAAGATGAAGCAAAATGTAAAAAAGATTTTTGATATCTTTACCAACAGTTAACAGTTTTATATCGGTAAGGAAGGATTAAGTAGGATATAAAAATTAAGAATAGAAACAAATCTGAAGCTTTTATGTCAAACTGTGGGACAAACATTTTTAACTTGGCTTTTTAGGAGTGTCGGGAGTATCTGTTTATAGTAAATGCCTTACTCCAATAAGTCAGTATCAATCCAGGTATAACTTTCTGTATTCTCAAGTATCTATCTTTCAAGATACAACTTGCCCTAGAACTCAATGTTCTAAAATAATACTTCAGTCTGTATCAATCCAAAACAACACATATATATTCTTAGGTATCTGTATTTTAAGATACAACTCACTCTAGAACTCAATGTTCTACAATAACACTTCCGTCTGTTTCAATCCAGTAACGATGCTATGTGTATTCTTATGTATCTGTCTTTCAAGATACAACTCACTGTAATACCTTAGTATGTGTCAATCCAAATACAATTTTCTCTGTATTCCTAGCCTATACCTATTAATCCAGATTCAATCCTCTCTGTATTCCTAGCCTATATCTATTAATCCAGATATAACTCAGGTTCCTCTCGTTCCCTACACAAGGATAAAATTACTCTGATACCGTAATCAAGCAGAGTCTTACTCCAACTAATGTATATTTTGAGTTCTATGGTACAGGTTTAATAATTGAACGTAATTAAGCTAAATTTTAATACATTTAATGAAAAGGACCTAAAGATGTTAGGTAGTTATTAACAAGCGCAGTTTAGTTACAGATAATGTACAAGGTAATATATCTAGGTGTGTTCAGGTTTATAAATATGGGGTTTACTACAATATTTATTACATGTTTATATTTAAAAATATGGAGCTGATATTAATTCAATGTAGTTCTCCAGGCTCAATTTTTCCCCATCTTATGTTCAAACAAAACAAATGGCATTATTTATATTATGGACAGACACCATAAAAATTGTGAAAAAACTTTTTGCGATAAACTTAATATTTTCCATACGGAAACACTATTGTGGTTTAGACCATATGCAGTTTTGAAATGTGATAATCGTCTCCAATTCTTGTATTGCCTCTAAAAGGGAGTGACCGGCAATGTATGGTAGTTGAACCAAGGAGTATGGAATAGAAGGGAGATACAACTGACGCGGCCGCCCTATCATATGATTATACATGCTTTGCAGACAGTACTTCATTGGAATAAGAAATATTTGTCTGATTTACAATTACCGCGTATATAATAACCTATTCTGAATATTTCTTTTACAAATGGAGTACCGTCTGCGAAACATGTATAATCATATGGTAGGGCAGGCCGCGTCGGCTCTATCTCCCTTATATTCCATACTCCTTGGGTTGAACTGAAATTGCAGTTGTGTAGAGGAAACTTTAGGATTCATTTCAGACATATAAAACGTTTTGAAGATCTATAATTACTGAGTTTGAGCACAAAGTCGATGTCCAAAATCATCAATTTGGGTGGGTCCATTTTGAGAATTGTTTTTTTTAAAAACTATTAAATCAGTTCAACCACCATACATTACAGGTCACTCTCTTTAAGAGTAAAGTAAAATAACCCTTAAATTTCACAACAAACAAAACAAAAAAGTCTGTTATCTTTATTTATATTATCAAAATACTAATTTCTACTTTTTTCAAAAACTATTTCAACCATTCAAGAAATCTCTTATATTTAAAGGGACTGTGGACGCTATTTCAACCATTAAAGAAATCTCTTATATTTAAAGGGACTGTGGACGCTATTTCAACTGACTCACCATATTGTCCGAGCATAAGCCCGAAAGCTGATCAAGAAGGTATCCATGTTTTATTTTTAATATCTTCAGCATTATTAATCAATAGGGTACGGTAGTATCCAGGGCATGACCCTCTTTTAGAATTACACATAAGTCCCTTTAAGAGAAATTTATATCCCTTCTTCAGTGATTAGGATCCGGATCCGTTGGATTCGTGACAGTTTGGCTTCCTAAATCCAAATCTGCACAAATATTCAGATCCGGATCCAAAAAGCAACACAAAAATACTTTGCTCTAATAACCTGAAATCTGAACTGTTGAAAAACAGAGATAATTAAAAATTTCCTTATCTCTGAATGGTTCATCAAGTCTGAGCAAAAAAAATAAAGAAATACAATAATTCAAAAATTCTTTTGTTTGGAAAATCAGTAAATAATGAAGAAATGTTTATGACCTGGATCCGGATCCTTATTTTTTTAGTGCGGATCCGCATCAAAATTAAATGGATCTAAATGGATGTTGTATAATGTATTATACATTATACAATTACAGTAAATATTAATCCGTGGGTACTGGTTGCCCCTTTTTAACTATGTCGTTTATCAGTGTACTGCACTGTTTACAATCTAATTAACCCAGCTCCATGCACTCAGTTAGAATCTGTTACCCAAACAATTATCAGGTATAAATCATGTTCAAGTGTCAAGAGAACTGTTAGGCTGTATTGTTTTACAAATGAATTGTTCAGATCAGAGGGGTTAGGTATTATATTTTCTTATTATAGATGTAAATTATTCATCTAATATATTCTTTATAGAATTGGTAAATTGGCTGAGACTGATGCACAGCCTTTACTATAGAGGACTCATACATGTACTCTACTTGTACATGCTAATCTCCTCCATCACTAACAACATCAAGATTAATAACTGCAAGTAATATTATCTTCTTTTATAATCTGTGTTGAAATGTTGAAAAGTGTAACATGTCATTTAATTATCATCACATAGCGAAACCAAAGGCACTGATAGTTTGGCAGATCTATTTTTGTTTAACACCCTCATGGTAGTTTATACTGTAACTAGCCTCAGAGAGCGCTTCGCGCCCATCTTCTAAATTAATTGTGAACATGTTCTCTTTGTGTAAATCGTAAAACAAAACAAAAATAATTCGCGGATTTTCACAAAAAATTTCGTGGATTTTCAAAACTTTAAAAATTTAATGAAGATCGAATTTTGATGGAGACAAATATTTAAAATTTCAATCATTCATAAACCTTCCCTGACGTCCCTAGATGTTCCACAAAAAATTTGGCCCCGATCAGTTCAGCCGTTTTGACGTTTATTGGATACAAACAGACAGACAGACAGACAAACAGACAGACAAGCCAAATTTATATATAGATGGACCCTTCTCTTAAAAATTCATTTCCTCATAAATTGCTAATGGATTTTTTATTCATAAAAATAGAAAATACATACTTTAGTTGTACAAAATAGTTCTTGGTTGGGGGGAATAAAATATTGGCACTAAATAAGAAGCTGAAAACATTGTATTCAAACATTTAAACCATTTTTGTTCTGTTCTGTTTGCACGACTAAGCATAATTGTATTAGGTATATTCTATTCAAGTATAAATGCGCTATGAGGGGGTAACGAATAAAGATGCATTGCTATCATTTTTGAAAAAAAATAGTTAAAGTGGAGGGTTTGGTATAATCTCATTATTATCAAAATTAAAAAAAGGGCTTAATATCAACTTTGTCAATTTAAGGGTACATATCAAGAGTGTCGTCAAGTATAAAATTAAAGCGTAGGCCAACAATTGAACATCTTGCATGAGTTCAATATTACACAGATGATTGAAGACTTTGAAGCACACTTTAAGGCATAATGTAGAAAAATCAAGGGATTGATGATTAATGTTTAGATTTAGGTTTAGGACTAGATAGGGTTATCAGTTCAACTCTTCTACCCTTCCCACTGCACTCATTTGATCCTAAACAAATGTGGATATCATTATTTTATTAAAAATAAGTACTATTAGCTGAATACCAACCTTCTGTAGATGTACTTGTACTATTAGCTGAATACCAACCTTCTGTAGGTGTACTTGTACTATTAGCTGGAATAGAAACCAATGGAACTCTTTTCTTTTCAACCACAGGGGCTACAGGAACAGACTAGAAAGTAAACATGTAAAGAACTGTTTGGGAAATTAGTTCATTAAGTTAAAGCATACAAAAGCGAAGAAAAGGATTAATAATTTCAATTCTTCTCCTGTTTAAAATATCAGTAAATTTTAAAGAAATGTTCATTATCTGAAGCCAGATACATTTTTTCCAGTGCAGATCCAAGATCCGGATCCGGATCCGCATAAAAATCAAATGGATCCTTAGCACTTATTTTTCAAAGTTAGATTTAGAAAGTTAAACCTGTTGTGTTTGTGTGTCCTCTAGGACGAGGTTAAGATCTCCAGACTCAGTCTCCATAAGTTCCACACCATCCTCGTCATCATCTAGGCTGTACCTAGCCACGTCCTCCACAGTCTCGGGACGGATCAGCCTCCGGTCAGCTTTAGGACTGCTTAGTGTGATAAACTTCAATCTTTTAGGGTTTGATTTCCCTCTAAAAGAAAAAAGAATATTATTACTTACTAGTTGCAGGGCCCGGCGTTGCCCGTGATATTTTTTGGCCTGTAACACCTCCAGGCTACATTAGTACCCATGAGTGTCGACAAAAAATTTCAGCCAATTCGGTCCAGCCGTTAAACCGGCCAGAGGGAACGTATATATGAATGTCTTGTTTTATTATAAAGATCAATATAAATTTGACTTTTGTTAATATGTTTGTGTTCAAGAATTATAAACCAACAACGGCTGAACCGATCAGACCCAAATATGAAAACAAAAAAATCCCCAAATCTCAGTATTTCAAATGTCAAAAAAAGTACGACATGCAGATAGATCACCAAGAAAAAGAAGTACTCACCCCTCCTTTGTACTCTTAATGTGAACCTGAGAAGGACTCCTAACCTCCTCCTCCTCCTCCTCAACCTTCTTCCGTTCTGGAGTTCCGATAGGAGACTCTTCAGCAGATAGTACAGCAGGTTCAGTTGAAGGTTCAGGTATATACATTTCTCCTAATATCATATCAAATCAATAATTACACTGTCTGTCCTACTTCCACAATACCATTTCGAAGGTTTCTTGTAATTTCAAGTGAACCTCTATATAAAGAGAATGTCCGATTCACCCTGGTAACCTGTAAACCTTTTTTAGAATAAAAATGATGGAGTAATCCCGTTTCCTTCTGCAAATTGATTTAAAAGTGAATTCCGGAATCCGGATATATGCTGCATTGACATGAAAAACATAGATACAAGGTGTGATCAACAAGTTACGCTAATTAAGGTTACTTGTAGAAGCCTCAGCCCTGAATTTATTTAGGTTCACTATATTTAAACCGGATTATTTTTTAGATCAGTTGATGTCAATCAGATCTTTGTAGTAATTATGATGAGCGTTCTCTCTCCCGAAGTATATCAGCTTCGTTCGTCACAGCAAGAAAAAATCTTTAAATGTTTTTGAACTAAATCCAACAAAATCTGTTTAGGACCCTTTAAGAACGATCAATAGAAAAGAGAGATAATGTATTTAGTGTATGAAGGACTTTTGATGAGTTTTCTTGCTTTGATTTACACACGAGATACATATAACACTGACTGACAAACATACTTCTAGAACCCTTGCCTATATGGGTTGAACAATTTTCTATATTTTCGAACATTTTTGGGGTCTTGATGGTCTTTTCCTGCCCGGACATATCATAATCCTTCGAATATTCATATTTCCCTTTTTAACCCCATTAAACTACCATTAAAGTTCATAAAATTGTTTTAAATAGGTTCTGGATCATGTTGAAGGGGGTTGTTTGGGTTTTGCATCGTCTAATAAAAACATTTTAGGGTAATTGAGCCTCCAAAGTATCCTCTTTCTCTGATCAATATTCTAGATATTCCTATGCTTTGACAACGAAGCAAAACCACCTTCAAGAGAACACTCCTTACATTAAAACAGCAAGCTGCTTGATTGTTAACCAGAGAAAGGTTTAAATGGAAACTTATTGATCACAGTGGTATCTTCTTAATTGTTAACCGGAGAAAGGTTTAAATGGAAACTTATTGATCACAGTGGTATCTTCTTAATTGTTAACCAGATAAAGGTTTAAATGGAAACTTATTGATAAACAGTGGTACCTTTTAATTGTTAACCAGATAAAGGTTTAAACGGAAACGATGTGAATCTAACACATCACGCCAAAAATGGAAGGTTTACAGTCTCTTAAAAGACTATTCCAATTGATCTTAAAGATTCCTAATTTTCAACAATGTCGATGTTTGCCAAGTTGCCAAGTTGTCCTGATACTATTACAAATTATGCGATGTAACTATTTTGGAATCTATAAGACTATGAAAACTATTTTGTTTTGGAAAGAGAAATTATAAATGGACCGGAAATGAAATTGGTAGGAGGAAGTGTTGGGAAACGATACTGAAAGAATTAAAGAAAGTTTAGAGTGAAAAGGTGGGAGGTAAGGAGGAGTGAGAAAATGAATGGGTTATATAGAAATAAAGATGGAAAGGGGGGGGGTTGATTGGAAGGAGCGGGGACGAAATGAAGGAGTTGGGAGGGAATGAGATAAGTGAAGAAGGGATGAAGAATGGGATGAGAAGTTAGCATATTCTTGTCAACTAATCTAGTTCTTACCTAGCTCTGTCTCTGTAAATGAAATTATAGAACAGAATCCGTCAGATGAAGAAACCATGAGAATTTTTCCATCTGGAGACCTAGCAATCAATCAATATAAATTAATAATCTATGAATCAATCTTAATCAATTTAAATCAATTAATCAATATCAAAGCGACCCAACAGCTCTGTATAGCTTCTAGGGAACTGATTTAATAAGAAAGGTTCCACTCTAAATCTCTGAAAGCTTTAAATTTCTAACAGGGTCCGGAAATCTTTTTTTGCCGAACCAATTATTTATCCGAAAAAAAATATTTAATCCGTAAAATTATTCCGTGAACAATTAATTAATATAATATTTACCAAGCTAGGTCAGTAAGGCCTGTGTAGTGAATGTTCGAGACTCGACCGATGGGAACAATTTGTTGCGTATCATAAAGCATAACTGCGTTCTGCGTAGCAACTGCGTACACTTGTCTGTAGGGGAGAGAAAACACAGTGGAGTATATTTCCCATGGTTCTAATCCAACCTAAACAGTTGGTAATTGTTCTTACCAAATGTTTCGTGGAACCCGGCCTAGTTTGTGGAAAAATGCAACATCCAATGACTAACGTTGCAATTCAATTTCTATATTATTAAACAGTGCTTACTGCTTAGGATCCGCAACATTTTGGCTTCCTGGATCCGGATCCGGAAAAATATGCGAAAAAAATAAGAAGAAAAATAGGAATGTTCTTCTGGTTAAAAATCTGTAAACTAAGAAATATCAATGACCTGGATCCGGATTTTTTTTCCAGGGCGAATCCAAGATCCGAATCCACATCGAAATGAAATGAATCCGTAGCACGGTTATTAAATATCGAAATATGTAGTTGAAACATCAAAGATTGTTGACACCAGGTAGCAATAATATAAAAATTGTAAAAGAGTTTTAGGCAAGTGATCACTAAGTAACCTTGCAGGATTAATAACCTGTAAGCAAAGCAGTGCTTAGGATCAATTTTATTTTGATGCGGATTCTGGATCCACCCTGTAAAAACATGGATTCTGGATCCGCACTGTAAAAACATGGATTCTGGATCCGCACTGTAAAAACATGGATTCTGGATCCGCACTGTATAAACATGGATTAAGGTCCAGGCCATGAACACTTTCTTAAGATTTACTAAATTTTTAAACAGATGAAAAATGTTCAATTTTAGTTCCGAATCCGGATCCTAACCACTGCCTGTAAGGGCGTGTGATCCAAATAATATTTTTAAGCACGTGACTTTCTCTGCATCACACAAGTTTTCTCGTTAAGGAATAATTAATTTAAAAACAATGGTTGGATGCACAGTGAACACAGTTAACTAATTGTTTTAATAAATTCCTCGTTTGTTCTTCACAAACAAAGACTTTAATGAAAATATGTGTTTAATTAGAATTTGACGAGAATAAATAAGATTGTCCACGTCATGAATTTTCAATAAAAAACATACCGTGCTTTTTAATCCTTTTCTTTTCACTGGACGCAGTTTGTAGAAAACTGGAGAAAACCTAAAATATGGGATTTTTTGTTTTAATTTTTAGTTACAGTAAAATTAGTTTATACTTTAATGGTTTATCTATATGTCTGCTTTTATCCCATAAAAGTCATAATGGCTGACCAAAGTGTTCCCAAGTTTTGTTTGTTTGTTGGGCCTCTTATGACCTCAGGGCAAAATTGTAGCCGGTGAAAACGAAAACATGTATATGGGAAATCCACCTCCAAAAAAACCCCGGAAAATGGGTGAACTTTCATAGCTTTTAAAAGCTAATAATCGTTGTAAATAAGTAATTTAACTTAATAAAACAAATAAATCAGTACCGACATAAATACTGACACTGACACAAGTACTGGCATAAATAAATAAATCAATCAATCAATCTATAATACAAAAGGCTGGACCAAACTGGCGATTTTTTCAAATTTAAGTTTTTAGTGTTTTAGAATTCTACGCGGCAAAGCTGGGCACTTCAGCTGATTTAATTAGTTTAATTAGTTTAATTAGTTTAATTGGTTTAATTGGTGTGATTATGTTTATATATCACGGGTGTGATAATTTAAAACATCTCTTTTCCGACTTCATTGGCCGTTCAGGCTGAATAGCCAGTTATCGAGCTTGTTTTTGAAAATGTTCAGGTTTCCAGCACTTTTGATTTCATATGGAATATCATTCCATATAATATTCCATATAGTTAACATTTAACAAACAAAAAATATGATACAAAAATAAATGATGTACCAACCTGACAGCTATCGTATATTTGTCTCTGGAAGGAAGACATATGGCAGGTCTAAATAAAAAAGAAGTTATTTTTCCATTTTATACGCAGTTTCGTATCATGTTATTCAAGGTCATGTTCTGGATTTTGTCAGGAACTGTAATCGTAATTTCAAGGGAACCTTACATTGTCAGATTCAAAACGGTTTTAACCTTTTATATGTTATTGTATGAATGAGTTGTTCTTGTTTGTTGAGCTGAAATTGTTTATTTTAAATTGTGGTTTTTCTATGAAAGCGACTTGCGCAATGCGCATTTATGCTTGAGAGAAAATGGAAAGAATTAAGGACTTGTTAGAAAAAAATGCCGAGCTTGTTGTCCTCATTGTTATTCAGATTGAGCTTAAAGGGCACAATTGTGAATCGGATGTTTTAAATGGCGGTTCATTTGAATTTACGTCTTTAGTTCCTTTAAGAAATAAGCTGAAGAAAGCTAACAAAAACGACTAGGCTAGTTGATTTTTTTCTTTTTACATAAAAGTTATTCCATCAATTCAAGATGCTTCTCTTCAAAATACGAAACGTTAAGCATTTCAAAATTTCCTTTTGATTTTTCTTCGAGCTTACAACAACAAAAGGTTAGGTTAGGCATTTCTTAAAAAATCATTTCCCCCATCTTCCCTCTGTTAAAAATATCTTTTACCCCAGATGCCATAAAGGTATATTTGGGCGGAGCGCAATTAAAATCAGGGTTATATCCACTGAAGAAGAAAAATTGATTTTTAGGGGATTTTAAATCAATTCTTGAGTAAAAACTACGAAGGAAAAGGACACTTGCTTTTTGATTTTTGCATCCCCCCCCCCCCAGATCTTCAATAATAATTTTGTCCCAGCTCCTCCGACGGGGTGGGGGGTGTAAACACCTCGGCAATATTGTTCACATTTGACAGTTTTCAGCACTTTACCTGTTAAGATCTATTCTAGTGAAAACATATGTACAATGTGTTATTTTAGCTTCAGTATCAGTCTCCATTACTCCACTAGGCACAACAAGCAGTTCACCTGCATAACGTAGTGTACATAAAACCAGGGAGGTTTTTTCTTAAAAAATCATTCCTCCCTATGTTGAAAATCATTTTCACCCATCCAAGTTGGGGAAATATTTTTAAGGTTTTCTTCGCTCAATTGGGGAAAATTAGTGATTTTTTTGGTGGGAATTAAATATACTTAAAGTAAAAAATATTATTAAGATTAAAAAAAAACTTGCCTTTTGATGTTCAATTTTTCATTTTTTCCTTTGATATAAAAATCATATTCGGGGTGGGGAGATTTACTGTATAATTTTTAACAATCTACAACCCTGCATACATCAGCTACTTCAACTTCTCAAATGTGCAATTTCCCAAAGGTTAGGTTAGGCTTTCCGCGGCGCCTCAGATTGCAATTGGTCCAAACGCAGCAGCTAGGGTTCCCAAGCGCTGCGACTAGAACATGATAGGGGCCCAAGCGCTGCGGCTAGGAAATTGCACATTTTGGAAGTTTTCACTTGAGAAATACCCTTGGGAAGTTGCGCTTGGAAAAAGGCCTTTAGGAGAGTACCTTACAGCTGTTTAAGCATGACCCTAACCACAGTTCAAAGTTATGTGTATTCGAAATTAACTCTTTATTGAGGGAGAAAATTTTTACTTCATATTAAAAAAGTTGCACTATTTTTTAAAAAATTTGTTGCCAAACCAAAACTGTTCATTTCTGGAGTCTTTGTTTTGAAATGGATCTTACCATCGTTACTCCAGCTCAGGCGACGGAAGAACCCTTTAAACGTGTCATCATGGAAGAGTCTGACATTCTTCTCCGTATTCTCAATCTTCTCCTCCTTTTCTTCAATCTTCTCAACGTCAAGCGGTCCTTCTTCACTTGTTTCCGTCTTCTTCTTCTTCTTTTTCTTCTCCAAGTCCAGGTTTAAAAAAGCCTTGTATGTTTCTCCAATCCGTTTTCTACTTGTCGAGTTATAGAATCGGCATCGTCTACAAATTATCAATCAATCAATCAATCAATCAATCAATCATCTTCTTCAAAAGTAAACTGTCGAGAAAATAACTAGATATTTAATCATTATTTAAACTTAATAAATTAATGATGCAGGCATGAGGTATTTAGCTAAGACATGAGCAATAAAACACGCTTTAAACAAGACTGATTTAGGAAAATATTCGTGTTTTTAATATAAAAGATGGGTTACTAGATTGGTTTTAACACGGACTCCCCCCCCCCAAATCTCTATCCGCACTAGAAAATAAAAAGATCCGGATCCAGGTCATGAACATTTCTTTAAGATTTACTGAATTTTTTAAGTTTTAACAAAGCAGAAATGTTCATTTATTTTTCTTCTTTCGCTTATTTTACTAAAACTTTATTAACCATTCAGAGATCAGGAAATTTTTTAAAATCTCTCTTTTCAAAAGTTCAGATTTTGAGATTGAGAGTAAAAATGTTTTTGGTTGATATTATTCCTATTGGATCCGGGGATCCGCATATTTTTGAGGATACGGATCCAGGAAGCAAAAATTTTGCGGATCCAACGGATCTGGATCCGGATCCTTAGCACTGCTTGAAATGAGCTTCAGACAGTTAATAATTTTTTTTATGTTTTTTATTGTTAAAAGCACAAACGCAGAGAATAATTTTAATTTATAAATACAAATGCATTTCTAAAGTTTTTTTTTCTTAAAATGCTTTTTATTAGTACCTGTCGCTGGATAAAGTTGCCATGATATTATGTTTAGGATTCCAGGATACACCTTGAACAAAACCCTGGGAGTCGGAAAGATGGCCAACCTTAAAAATAAATCTCAAATCACCCTATATTAGAAGAATGGGGTGTTCTATTCAAATCGGTACCCTTGAAAGCTTCGTCTTCTCACGAAAGCGTTAGATAAAATGTAATCCTTTCAGTCGTCTTGTGGATTTCTACTTACACTTGATTTCAAGCATTTGATTAAAAATAAAAATTTCCCAAAAATCCATAGTAATTAAAAACTTTTGTTCAGATACAAATTTCTATTATCTTGCTTCTTACCACGTCAAACGAGTCAGTTTATTTGTTAATTACTATTTTTAACTTTTAAAACACTTCCTAATTAAAGAGCCAATATTTGTGTTATACAATCCTTTGTTTATCTTCCTGAAACGTTACCTTTGCTTGTTTATGAACGTTACTAATGATTGCGGTGTTGTCCACAGACCCACTGAGAAGGAACTGACTGCAGGGAGACCAGGACAGATCATAGACATCGTCCAGGTGGAACCTCAGCATCTAACACAACAGCTATTTTACTCGAAATATTTGGTCATTTTTCTTGAAAAAAATAAAACAAGAAATAAAAGGAGGATCCGGGGACGGAATTCATTGAATTTGAGGAGTCGCTGAACTGCCTTTCAACGATTCAAATCCTTCCTGACTTAGAAACGGTGGTTCAAATTAGAACCGGCAGTAGGTAGTTCAGATATATAGCTCAAATTCATTAAATTCGTTCTGATCAAAATTAAAATGTTATGGATCCCGAGCACTAGTATACATATCCAACATATTTCATACTAGACTGGGAACCCAGCTTTGCCTTGAAACAGTTTTTTTATAAGAAGCAACCTTTTCAGCTAATAAATGTTAAACCCGTAGTAAAACTCGGTTAAAGAGTTCCTGAGATATGATCGGACATACAAACAAATAAACCGAGATTACTACTTTATATGCTAACCTTATAGACGACCCAGTTCTCCTTGTTCTCCTGGGAGTCCTCGTCAAACAGAGTTGGGGCATCTGATGAACCCTGCTTCAGCTGCCATAATATAATCACACTTTCATCATCACCAGACGCCAGTATATCTCCATCAGGACTCCATCTTTAAACAGGGACATCTTTTCATATCATCCTTCATCAATATTTTCATATCATCCTTCAATAATATTTTTGCAGGATTATTTAGTTTCTTTAAAATCATCCCTCTTTAAGGTTGATTACGGGGAGCGCAATTATTTTTTTAAGACGGGATTTTCTGAATAAGAGTATACCTAACAATATTTACTGCTTTCTTATATCATTCTTGTATACCTGACAATATTTACTGCTTTCTTATATCATTCTGGTATACCTGACAATATTTACTGCTTTCTTATATTATTCTTATATACCTGACAATATTTACTGCTTTCTTATATCATTCGTGTATTCCTGACAATATTTACTACTTTCTATATTATTCTTGTATACCTGACAATATTTACTGCTTTCTTATATCATTCTTGTATACCTGACAATATTTACTGCTTTCTTATATCATTCTTGTATACCTAACAATATTTACTGCTTTCTTATATCATTCTTGTATACCTGACAATATTTACTGCTTTCTTATATTATTCTGGTATACCTGACAATATTTACTTTCTTATATTATTCTGGTATACCTGACAATATTTACTGCTTTCTGATACTATTCTAGTATACCTGACAAAATTTACTGCTTTCTTATATCATTCGTGTATTCCTGACAATATTTACTACTTTCTTATATTATTCTTGTATACCTGACAATATCTACTGCTTTCTGATATTATTCTGGTATGCCTGTCAATATTTACTGCTTTCTGATTTCATTCGTATACCTGACAATATTTTCTGCTTTCTTATATTATTCTTGTATACCTGACAATATTTACTGCTTTCTCATATCATTCTTGTATACCTGACAATATCTACTGCTTTCTGATATTATTCTGGTGTCCCTGTCAATATTTACTGCTTTCTGATACTATTCTTGTATACCTGACAATATTTACTGCTTTCTGATATTATTCTGGTATACCTGACAATATTAACTGCTTTCTTATATTATTCTGGTATACCTGACAATATTTACTGCCTTCTCATATCATTATTGTATACCTGACAATATCTACTGCTTTCTGATATTATTCTGGTATGCCTGTCAATATTTACTGCTTTCTGATATCATTCGTATACCTGACAATATTTACTGCTTTCTTATATTATTCTTGTATACCTGACAATATTTACTGCTTTCTGATATTATTCTGGTATGCCTGTCAATATTTACTGCTTTCTGATACTATTCTTGTATAACTGACAATATTTACTGCTTTCTGATATTATTCTGGTATGCCTGTCAATATTTACTGCTTTCTGATATCATTCTTGTATACCTGACAATATTTACTATATTCCAATTTTTTGGCTCCACGCCTAATTTGTTTCATAAAACAGAGAATGTGTGGACTGTGGATAAATTGTATCTTCTCGCAGTAATCTAAAATTTTCTTAGCTTAGCGCAGAAACTGCCATTCAGAGTCGTTTTAGATGAAATAACAAGTTTTATGATACGGCAAAATTAATAAGGGTTGTAAATAAATATGTAGTGTGCGATAATAAATTGAACTTTCAAGTATATCTGTGAAATCAGGACTGAATTTCTCCAAATCTTAAATGTGGATTTTCTCAGGATTCTCTGGGTAACGGATTTCGATTTTTTACATTTTAAACACAGGTTGACCCTCTCTCTATTCTCTAGCATAGAATTAATTTCATGTCTGAGCACAAACTTCATGTCTTGAAAGAGTAAAGCCTCACTGTGCAGTGTGCATGGTTAAACATTTTCAATTTGGAGGTCATTATGGGTCGTTAACGGTCAAAAGGATCAGGTGGTGCCCGGTTTATCATATTTTCAATGCTCAGTGAAAGGAAGGGGGGGGGGGACAAAGGTGTCCCAAAAATGTCTCTTACCTTTCCATCCTCCCCCTCTGTAACCGAGAATATGACAACATGTGTATCTGATCCAGCAGTTGCTAATCTAAGCGGATCCCCATCCTTCCGAGTCAACTAAATAACACAGATAATTTGTATATTTTTTTCAACATTTTTTCTTATCATTTCGATCAATTCATTATCATTATTTTTGATGTAAAAAAATGACATGAAAACCAAAGTTTATTTTGGGCGGAGTGGGGTGCAACTTATACCACTCAGCTGGTTTATGAATTGGTTAATTTGAAAATTGTCGATTTTTAAAAATTTTAACAGAAATATCAGCAATTTTTTGTTTTACAATGACGAAGAAAAAATGACTGCTTGAAAAGCAACATTCAAATTGTTGGTAAGAGAGGGGCGGTGCTCTGAAAGCCTTGCATAATAAATTCTACCTGAAAATCAAGGGAAAGAACAGGATCTCTGTTATGATATGATATTTCAGGAATAACACACTTCATCCTTTTCTGCTGATCAAAACATCACTAAAAAAATATTTCTGTTTCTAATGCTTATTTTTTGGAAGTTCAGTAATATAACTATGTTGGGAATAAAAAGATTTTAACTACAGCTTTAAGGATTTAGTTCATCTTTTATAATCAATCGCATAATATTTTATGGGCTGAGAATAAAAAGAATCGTATATTTTTGTTAATATTTGGATCATATTTTTCTGCGGAACTGGATCCTAAGCACTGGTAAATAGAATAAGCAATAATAATAATTAAAATCATGGCTGTCAACCCTTTAACAGGAAGACCAAATAACCTCTTCACTTACCAGTCTAAACTACCCACAGAAACACTTCTCCACAAGGAAATTTGATCTGAAAAATTTATGTAAATGTTTAACAATAAATTGAGTCGAGATCATCGAAATAGTAAAAGTTCACAAGATGTAAATAGACTAAATATGTTTTGTGGATTTTCTTGGGTTTGATCTCCGAGATTTCCATTCTTCAGCAGTCACTGGGTGAAGAAGTCATCAGATAAATTTTCTCTTTCCTGAAAAACCAAGATTTAGATTTAATTATCACACCATGTTTACAAGAATATAATTGACCAACGACTACATTTTCGTTTAAACATAAATAGAGCTTAAAGGGACAGTCTAACTAATTTCAAGGTCGCCTTCTTGTTAATAATTACATGTCCGATTAATAGTGGTAACCTTTAAACCTGCGTGACCAAAAATGATTGAGATACCCTTGTTTTGCTGAAAGTTGATAGTTTTCGATTGTAGTAAAAACTGACTTACGGATTTAATTAGCATAGAAAATACAGGAAACGGACAGATAGTCTCCAATTCTAGAGAGAAAAATAAGGATATTTACTTCATATTACTCAGATATTGATTGTTATTCATCGGACAAACAACTCCTTAAATGTAGAATCACTAAAGCAAGGATGACAAAATAAACTCATTTATCCAAAGAAAACAAATATTCCTGAAGAATATGTGCTGGTAAGTTCGGCAAAACTAAAACAGAAAATAGGGTAAGCCTTTGTCCCCGAAGGATCTAGATAAATTATACAAGGCCATATTTAGGTCGGCCTAGTAGGCAGTCATGCTTTATTTATGACAAACCATACCTTAATCCTCTCCAGTTGTTCTGTAAACATCTTGGGTTCGCACTGGTAAACATGGCAGATCAATTTAAACACATCAGACCTAGATCAAAACAAATAAATTTATAATAATTCAGCGGTTTCTCTTTAGCCTCTTCCTCCCCCCAAGATGCAGAGAAGAAAAGAAAAATAATTGATTCATCAATAAACTTTTTTCAAATTTTTTTTTATTTAAAACAGCGCCGCTTGGTCCTGGGGGCCGTTCTAAAAATATTTAATTGACAGATCCATTGGAATGATTCAATCAACCTATTTTTGTTCCGGCTCCTGTGGGATGAATGGCTAGGAAAATAGAAAATATGTGAAATAAATGTTTGTTAATAATGCTCAAATAGAGTTTCATTGGTCTCAATGTATTTCAATCGTAGTCCTTCAATTTTAAATACCATCTTCACAGCTTTTTATCCATCATAGTTGTGTAAACTTGATTGTTAAAATAATATGATTTAAGAAAAAAGTAATAATTTGACTCCTTAGCTTGGCGTACAAACATTTCTATCCAAAAATAAATATATTTTTCTTATTTTATAGAATGATCTTACTGTTTAACTTCTTTCTCAGCCCGTTCTCCCCAGGAATACTCGTACACCTCAACTTCATCCGGACTCGGCACCTTGTCCCTAATTGGAAATAATCATTTTTTAAAGCTAAAATAAGAATATCCTGTTTAAATATTCATTCTTATTCAAACAAAGGTTTAAGGTTACCTATGTTAACTTTGAGTGAAACTTTTGTTCGTTAAAGGGACTGTACAGTGTAGACCCCTTAAATACAGATTTGTATGTTCGTTAAAGGGACTGTACAGTGTAGACCCCTTAAATACAGATTTGTATGTTCGTTTGACAACGGTACCCTTTAACATCTGAGTCACAAAAATTCAGATATCGGCGCTTATCTAATCAAAAAAGTGTTGAATTCTGCGAATTTCCTCCATGTCTCTGAAGCCTAAATGCGGACGTTTCTTTTAATAGAAACCAAAATGGGAAATAACCAATTTTTCGGTATACAAATAAGGATATCTTATACATTATTGTTGATAAGACATGCCCCTCTATAAATCAAGGTTCACTTGAAATTAGGCCTGAAATCCCTTTAATCCTGTGATTAGTGAGACCAAACAGTTTGTTTCCTTCTCAACAGTTCAATTAGACGGTAGATAGTAGATACCTCAGAGACAAGTAACGTGCACAAAATTTATCGCGCTAAACTCCATTAATAAGATTGGTATGTGGATAATGAGCTCTCCAAAGGTTAGGTTAGGNTCCCCCCCCGGCCATGTAATGTCCGATTTAAATGGTACCCATAAAAACCTATTTCTTTAAACTATCGTTTTTTTTAAGGCAGATAGGTAAAGTTTTTAATCGTATTCTTTTTTATAGCCTACTAAAGAACAAAAAAGCTGCCATGTTAAGAAAAAAGCTGCTATGTTAAAATAAACTTACTTTATCGTTATTCATTAAAATGAGACCAAGGATGAGAAAAATCAATCCTATGTGAGCATACTCTTTTTCCGTCCAGTATAGCAACTAAATTAACAACAGAATTATTTTTCTCCAGATGGACCTCTGATCTGATGATCACATTTTTGGTCCTAATCATTTCGCATTTTTACTTTGAGTAAACTCAAAATTTGAAAAAAAAAACTCTTTCAGAAACCAAATATTTGAAAAGAACTATTCATTAGATCAAATTTTCATGAATTAAAAAATTAAGTATAGGCTAGATAACTATTCTTTTATAAATACTTTACTTATAAATAATATACTTTTTCTCCATACCTGATTATTTTCAGGAAGTTGATTTGTTAAAATAAACTGAGAGGTTTTGGCCAATTCTGCAACCTAAATAATAATTTATTATTTACCCTTTTCTTCAGGGAATCAAGGTATTGTTAAAGGGGAAAAATATTAAAAAAGAAGAGAAATTAAAGGACGAAACCAGAGGCGCAACTGGGGGAGGGGCGAAACCCCTGAAACTTTTGTTCGTTAAAGGGACTGTACAGTGTAGACCCCTTAAATACAGATTTGTATGTTCGATTGACAACGGTACCCTTTAACATCTGAGTCACAAAAATTCAGATATCGGCGCTTATCTAATCAAAAAAGTGTTGAATTCTGCGAATTTCCTCCATGTCTCTGAAGCCTAAATGCGGACGTTTCTTTTAATAGAAACCAAAATGGGAAATAACCAATTTTTCGGTATACAAATAAGGATATCTTATACATTATTGTTGATAAGACATGCCCCTCTATAAATCAAGGTTCACTTGAAATTAGGCCTGAAATCCCTTTAATCCTGTGATTAGTGAGACCAAACAGTTTGTTTCCTTCTCAACAGTTCAATTAGACGGTAGATAGTAGATACCTCAGAGACAAGTAACGTGCACAAAATTTATCGCGCTAAACTCCATTAATAAGATTGGTATGTGGATAATGAGCTCTATCGCTGAAGATAATGAAAGGCTTAAACCTCTTAAATCTCTATACACAAAGTAGTAATCTGCTTGTTTGTAAGTCCGATCATAGATCATGAACCCCTTGACCAATTTGCCTCAAAATTCGAACCAATGGAATGCTCTGTGCCTGGTTTAAAAAATTTGAAGTTGAGTGGGTTGGCTTTTAAAGCGTAAGTTCAGTTTCCACGAACAGCTGGGTTCCCAAGCTAGTCTGGTATATTATTTAAACAGACTCTGACTGGTAACATGGCTGAATTTTAGCTTGAGAGAAATATCTTAACCTAAAAATTTGTAATATTGAAAAAATATGTTACCGTTTCAACACCTAAAGCAATAAACAACTTTACAGAGGTGTAATATTTATCATGAATTACCAGCCCCCCCCTAATACCCCGGGGGTAGTGAATTTTTTTTTGTGATTTGGAGGGAAAATGAAAAATTGACTAATAGGCAGCTTTTTTCATTCTTTTTGATACTTTTTACACAAAAAAATAATTTATTTCGAGAAAATATGCACCCCTGCAATTTTACCTTTTAAGATAATGTTGTTTTCCTACCAGAACATCGTTGATAAACTTCTTTACGTCTCCATCATAGAGTTCTAATACCTCGCTGTCCACCTACGATGTATCTAATATATCTGTACAACATTATGTAGCTTGCAGGGCGCTTACCGCCCCTCTTTACAGTTATAATATTTGCCTTTTAAGTGATGACTGATGATCTTGCTTTTTCGTAAAATCACAAAATAATCGACAATTTGTGCAACATTATCTTCTTTAAGATTTAAAAATGAAAAAATTTGACTTTTCAAGCCCTGACGCTTCAGAATTCAGACCACGGAAGGAGAGTTCCATTTTTACAATTTTACTAAATCGTCCATAATTGCATCTTATGTAAATAGTTAATGTACATTGTACATTGTATAACAACAGAAATTAAATATATTTACCGTTGCTGTTTTATTACTACGTAGAGTTTTTTCTTCTTCAAAAAGTCCTAAACTTTTTAGAAATTTAAATAACTCCTCATCGTTCACCTGAACACAAACAAATGAGTAAATATAATTATAATTATAATTTTTTTTTATCTTTCTCAATTCTCAAGGCTATTGTAAACATTTAATGTAAACATATGTCCTGCAGGGTCAGACAAAACTAGGGGAAACCAGCAGAAGTTCCGAACTGTATGTAGTTAATTTATAGAGTACATAGTGTACAAATTTACTAAAATCATACTGATCTAACCCGGACTAAATGAGCGCAGTAGTTGACAATTTTACATGTTTTAAGCAAGACACAGACGAGAGCCTGCTCCTAAATCTTTTTTCAGATGGTGCTAATTTTACCATTTTTTAATTTAAAGGAAAAAAAATCATAAATTTCTCTGGCTTACATGTAAGAAGTATGTGGTAGAGAATTGATTTTTAAAACATTATTATTGTTTTTAAGTGACATGGAATTAGATACAGCCTACAGGAGTATAAGATATCTAGATCCCCTCTACCCCCCCACCTGCTTCCCCATCTATTACATGAAAAATAGTGTTGTGACATTTGACAGCAATCAAATTCTTAGGCTAAATATTTTTTAAATTAAAACGAATCCTACATCAGTGATATAGAAGTTTGGAACTGAAGAGGAGGGGGGGGGGGGGGGGCGTTCTGGAAATCCTATGCTGATTGCTTGGAGGACTGTTTAGTGTTTAGTACAAGTAAAAATATTTTGTAATTATAAACCAGGAACGTCGCTTTTTTCTTCCTTAATACGTATTTAATGCTACTGGTATATTTCTTAAAATGTTTTGGCACTTAATTAACTAAAGACACGTTTAAAAGCAAGATTAAAAACCCTGTAGCGACATTAACAGTTTATAGAGAAGTAAAGACGACGAGACTTAGCTGTCTATTTCTATTCCCTCCCCTTGTATACTATATGAATATACCTCAATTCCAAAAGTCATTTGAAGATGCAGCATGGCTTTATCAATCACATGATCCTGTAATCTTTTTTCTTTCTTCCCAAGATCACAGTGCTTTATCAGTTCACTCCGCTGAAAACGCAAATTTTAAGTTAATAAAAAAGTCCACAGAATATGTAAATAAATAGTACGTTTTTTTTCAACATTTAGATCTTCTGGTCTGTCCCAAAAATCTGATTCCAGTCCTCTCCACCTCTATCATTTTTGAACATGCGATTTTAAGTACTATAGATCATGAAATTATATTTTTTCTTTAGTAAATTTCAGGAAAAGGTTTGATTAAGACAATTTCTGGGCCGAGCGCTGCAACTGCAACTGCAAATTTAAAAAGAGGGGGGGGGGGTGTTAAACAAAATGTAGTAGAAATCTACCTATTCAATTTTTCCTTATGAGATTATAGGCTAGAGGGCCGGGCGGCCACATGGCCAATTATATCCTTATGTTACATATATGGATTTGGTTTTTATACATTGGCTGAAATTTTGCAAGCAGCAGATCATACAAATCGAGAACAGTTTGGGATCGGAGGTCAATGACCTACATTATAGACTTCCATCAACTTTGAAAAATTTGGAAACAACCAATTTGACCAAACCGACTCATTTATTTCAGCATGACCAGACAAAAATCGTTCTCTATGAAATTACCGAACTATTTTTGATATATGTAAGTTTTCATTTATCGACTTAGAAGCTTAATCTTTCCTTTCTTGATTCAAAATAAGATATATTCGTCGATTTGGACGACAGACGAACTTAAATTTAAAAATGCCAGTACTGTTACCTAAAGCTAAGGTAATAAGCTAGACAAAACTGGAAAAATGAAGTCTCTAAGTTACATAATGTAAACTAACAACGTAAAGGAACTTTTGAGCTTGAAGGGGACTAAACTCCATATCAAATGACTACCTTTTATTCTCGACTGATGTTTACGTTCAAAATACTAAATGGAAATCAAGAATAGAATAGCTGTAGATACTATATTTTATATAATCTCGTACACCCCTCTCAAGATCTCTCTAAGTTTCTATTTCCATATTATTATCACCTTTATCACAGTTTTCTTCTGATCTGCAACCAGAAGGAAAAACACAGCATCAGAAATCATCTTTTGTTCATCATCCTCAGTGATACCAAAACTTCGAAGCAAAGTTTTCTGCGACATTGTCAATTCTGAGAAAAAATTAGTAGCAGAAAAATTAAAAACAAATAAATATCAGGTAGCCGCAAAAGTCTTGCCGTTACGCGCCAAAATAGTCCGATCCGTATCAACTGATTTGTGCGGGGGGTGAATACTGTAGATTGAAATTTGTGGAGAATCTGATTTATAGATAGGTTTTCAAATTTCGACTTACAATATTGACATTAACTTCAAACTTTTATTAAAAAATAACGTAAATGGTGGTAATATGAATTATAAAAATCACGGGGTTAACCCTGTGTGAACTACCGCCGTTTAAACACTGTTAATTTGAACTATAATTTGTAGCCGCAGCGCTCGGTTTCTAGCCTCAGCGCTCATGCCAGAAGTAGTCATAGCCTAAACTAACCCTAATTAATGCACACTTTTGAACTACTTCCTGGTTTATATGAATTATTTTTGTGTTCATTAAAGAAAAATTTTGTTTTTGAACTTTATATTTCATTTGAACTACTATTTTGTCCATTTGAACTATCATGTGTTCATTTGAAATATTTCTTTGTAAAATTACATATGACAACTTCATGAATTAACATAAATTAAAAAACTGAATTTACAGAAAAATAGTTCAAATGAACATGTAATGTGTTGATTTGAACTACGATGACGTCATGTTAGTAGTTCAAATGACGAGTACAATATAATTCAAAAGAAGGGGATCAAACTGTGATAGTTCAAACAGATATCCATCTATAAAATTCGAGAGGAATGAGATAATGGAATATTAGTTTTATCAAAAAGGTCTATTATACAATATCTGTTTCAACTTAACTACTGCCGTGAGAATTCCACAAAACTGTGGCATAGGAAGACGACTTAAAGACTTAAATTATGACTAAAATAGTCCAGTGGTTATGTACATAGCAAATTTAAGTAAGGTTGACAGATCCCTGTATTAACTTGGATAAAGTGACTCCATAAAATACTGTATCTTTTTATTACATCAAATACACAGAAGTATTATACTATAATATCGAATTTTCATTAACATTTTTCTGATTCTATAGTTCATTTAAGCTGCCTCTACAAACTAATCGATTTTGGAATGGAGATTAGAAATAGTTTATTTTTTTAATTTCTACAAGAACATTTAAACTACCAGTAGGAGCGCTCCTTTAAAAGGTGTTAGCGATGGTCCCACCCGCCCCCCACCGGGGAGCATTTATGAATTGGTCTAGAGGGGGCTTAACATTTTCTTTCCTGTCCAGGAGGGGCTCAGCACCTCTTGGAGCCTAAAAAATCTGGAAATCCTAGATTTTACTGTTCCGAGGGGGGGATCAGTCCCCATTGCCCCCTCATTTCCTGAAGAAAACGGAAATTTACAGGGTAAAACTGGAAATGGCCAAAATTACACGATTTTAAACAAAATCATTCAAAAATTAAAACTCCTCATAAATTAACCAATTTTTCGCCTTCAACACATCCAACAGTTGAATTTGAAGAATGTGACATTTCCTCCCTTACACCGCTTCACCAGTGTATACTTGAGCCTCAAACTAAAATATATGGTCTTAGTTTAACAATCGATAAACCCTGTAAGGGTAAAATTGAAATTAATAATGTGCAGTACCCTGATTCGGTTTTTTTGAACTTTAAAGGTGTTTGACTTATAAAAGATACCGTACCACCTAATACTTGTGAACAATTCAATACAGGGTTCTGAAAATAATTGCTTTAATTAAAATTTTTAAATTTCTAATCCATAAGAAAAAATATACAGTAAAAGGAACCAATAAAATTAAAAGTTTACTCGCACCTATATTCTTAATAACAAATTTGGCATTAAGAAAAACAACTTTAAATTTAAAATTTTTTTGGAAGGGCTTTTAAAAATCCAAAAACCTTAGAAGATATTTATAACCGAACCAAGTTTTGTCCATAATTAAAGTATTGCAGAACAATCAGACAATTGTAAGAATAAGTAAGAATTGTATGTAAACTGAATAAGTAAAGAACTGATTTTTTTATGGTGTTTAATTTCATTTTAAATAAACCCTATTTTCTAAATTTGTACTGTAAACATCATACAAGGAAGAAAACTAAATTAGTTCTTAGTTTTTTATGAAATAAAATTAATTATAGTAATTGTTATTATCATTATTTTAGATACCTTGTTCAAGATGCAAGTTCTTCCTGGAATCTTGAACTGTAGTTTGCGAGATAATCCTTATGATAAATTATTACTTAGAAAACTAGAGGTAAAAAATTAATTTCACTATCTGCCAGGACTTTGTAAGTCCATCAACATGTCAATTCGTCAACCAACAAACCAACCAACCAACCAACCAACCAACCAACCAACCAACCAACCAATCAATCAATCAATCAATTAATCAATATGCAATCAATATGCAATCAATTAACCAATACTCCATCAACGAATCAATATTCAATCAATTAATCAACAACGAATAAACCAACCAGCATATCATTCAATCTATCTAACCATCAATCAATCAATTAAGACAATCCAGCTATAAATCAACAAACAAGATGTTGATCTTAAAATCTTCACCTCATAAGATACTGATATATTCTCACACTGGTATCTAGTTAGCTGAATTTGGTTTCTCAGCTCCTTAGTTATATTTTCCTAGGAAATAAGGCAAATTACAGGGTTTCAATTGAGAGTAATATTTCACTTTCACTGTACATTCATAATTCATAATCATAAATTGAATACATATATTATTCATTTAAAACTAAAATCTATTATTTATCATATTAATTGATATCAAATTAATTCACCTTGTATCCAGCTTTCTCGATTAAGCTATCAACAGTTTGTTTCTGATCCCAGCCCTGTTCAAGTGCTACTTTAGGAAGATATGTAGCTGTATACTCAATTCCTTCCAAATAAAACATTCTTTTTAACAAGATTTTATTTATATAAAATCTTCATTCTTGTAAAATGTTCAATTTTTTTAAAATTTTCTAAAAGAGCATTTTATTTTTCGTAGGTATGCTCTTAAAAGGGCAAATTGGCCTTTAATTGTTTGTAGGGAGAGGGGGGGGGGCAAGGAAGAAAAGTTGGACAGTAAATTTTCCCCACAAAATTATTTCCACAGTTCAAAATAAAACAACCATTAAAAATGCGAAAAAAAGGGGATAGGGGAATCATTGTAATAAAAAAATAAACCAAAACTGTTTCTTTTTCTTTTATCTTAAGTACAAATTTTCTTTATTGAATTTTCTTTACCTTTTATATTTTTGAATTCTATTCGGATCCCATGAACCCCCACCTCCCAATCCCTGTAATCTGTACCCTTCTCAAAGTGACACAGGATAGACAGGGTTACCTGAAGCATATTGACCAAATAGTGATTGGACAGTCACTGTAAAAAAAAATAAAATTAGGCGTTTGGACAACTTTGATAATATTATTTAATATTTTAAAGTGATGAAGGGAAAAAAATTCCTGGGATCAATAAAGCTCAAGAAACTCAAGAACCATTTTATGGGTATAAAATGACATCAGTAAAATGAAACTTTTTGTTAAAATTTAGAGTTTTAATCTTTAAATATAACCATAATTTTTAATTCAACAAAAATTTTGTATTATTATTATTTCCTTCATAGTTTTTCAGATTTATCTTTTTTAAAACCTTTTTTTCATTAATTTGTTCATGTTTTTTTAACATGTTATCTTTCTTACTGTAAAAAAAATTTGTAGTATAGTGCAAATAAGATTAAAAAACCTGTAAGTGGGGTAAATCTTCTTTAGATATAGGTGGGAACCTAGAATCCTAAATATAAAATTATTTTTTCGCTTAACTTAAAAATTATCAAAAATATGGATATTAACAAGACTTAATAATGTAAGAAAATGTAGTTTTGAGGATGCATGCGGACGCATACATCGCAGTTTAATATATGTCTTAATGTAATAACCTCCGTGGCTGAGCAAACAGCATACTCCCTGAGCCCTGGCTCAAGTTCTAATTCAGAAAATGTTCCAACACATCCTCTCAGCTTTCTCCTCTAACAATTAATAAAAATGAGGAATATTATATATTTGCTAGAATGATTAAAATGATTTTTTAAGTTTCAAAACCAACCACTGTGTTCAACTAACAATCTATCTAATAAAGCAAGACATTTGTAAATATATAGCCAGCCAAACGGCTGGACCGAATGGGCTGAAAATTTATAGAGTGAACCCAGGGGTATCCAGGGGGTAACATAGGCTATAAAAAATAATTTTCTTTAAATTTTTATTCTACTGGCATTTTCGGGCACTTCAGCTAGTCTTTTATAAATCTTTACCCCTAAAGTTTACACTGAAGTAAAATCTTACCAAAGGGAAGTAACTAATATGAAATGTTAGATCAAAATATGTTTATTGTTAATAACACAATTGTGGAAGTGAAGTAAGAAAGATTGGTATTAAGTTTAAGAATCATTATAAAAAAAACACAACACAAAAATATTTAAAGAAATGTATCATTTATTTCCCTTTTGGAAAGAAATAACAGAGATAAAGATGATTACCTTCCCAATTTTCCAAGTCACGAACAATGGATATTTTTCTTCACATGTGAAAGGGACCTATAGAGCAATACTATTATTATTAGTTAAATTCTATACATGCAAGGATGATTGAGAAAATCTGAAGGGAAATGAAAGAAATGAGGAGTTAAAGGGAGTGTTCGCGAAAAATGAAAGGGGGTATAGGCTTAATGAGATAAAAAAGCGCTTTTGATCGCCACTATAAAGCTTACTTCCATCTGTTGCGTTTATAAAGAGAAAATTGTTAAAGACGTCTCATACCGAAAGATTTGTTTGATATAAATTTAATTTTTTTACGGTCTAAGTCGTATGTTCCAACTTCCTCAATTTGTATGGGCGCTACGCTCTTCGGTATGAGACGTCTTTATCAATTTTCTCCTTATAGACGCAACAGATAGAAGTAAGATTAGTAGCGATCAAAAGCGCTTTTTTATCGCATTTAGCCTATACCCCCTTTCATTTTTCGCGAACACTCCCTTTAAGAGCAAAGGGGATCAATAGAGATGAATAGAGCTGAGAACTTTTGTGTTGGATACTCATAATTGCCCAATATCCACAGTGGACACATTTAAATTGACGCTTAATCTCTTCATTTCTGTTATACATTCAGGGTTCAATTAAACTACGGATAATGAATAATGATTAAATAAATCTGCAAATTAATTAATCGAGATCAGGCATTGATCTCGTTATCCACATATACAAGAGTTCCCAGCTTAGGACATGATTGAGGGTTCAGAGATAAAGGAAGTAGGGTGATGAGAAAGGCTAAATAATATTCATCATGAAAGGGGGTTAGGGGGAAGGGGTGTACAGAAGGAAAAAGGAAGAGAAGAAGGGAAGGAAAAGAGGGAATAAATGTGATTGTATAGGGCAGTGTGTTACAGGCTAAAAGCAGTAAGGAATGAACCGAATATAGGAATAAAAAATGTTAAAGACAAGTGGTAAATGAGGGTAGCAAGATGAGGCAAAGGTGGAATGGGGGAGAAAGATGATGCAAAGTTGCAATGAGGGAAGATTGAGGTGAGGCAAAGGTACAATGATCATGAAGAAATATGAGGCTTTAAGTTTTAATGGGGGAAGATTAAGATAAGGCAAAGATGCAAGGAGGAAGTAATATGATAAGTAAGATAAGGCCAAGGTGCAATGAAGGAAGAAAGATGAGGAAAAGGTGCAATGAAGGAAGAAAAATGAGGAAAAGGTGCAATGAGGGAAGTAATATGAGGCAAAGGTGCAATGAGGGAAGTAAGATGAGGCAAAGGTGCAATGAAGGAAGAAAGATGAGGAAAAGGTGCAATGAAGGAAGAAAGATGAGGAAAAGGTGCAATGAGGGAAGTAAGATGAGGCTAACTTGCTATGAGGGAAGTTTAAGATGAGGAAATGGTGCGATGAGGGAAGTAAGATAAGGCAATGGTGCAATGAGGGAAGATTAAGATGAGGCAATGGTGCAATGAGGGAAGATTAAGATGAGGCAAAGATATAATTGGAGAAGATTAAGATGAGGCCAAGTTACAATGAGGGAAGATTAAGATGAGGCAATGGTGCAATGAGGGATGATTAAGATGAGGCAAAGATATAATTGGAGAAGATTGAGATGAGGCCAAGTTACAATGAGGGAAGATTAAGATGAGGCAATGGTACAATGAGGGAAGATTAAGATAAGGCAATGGTGCAATGAGGGAAGATTAAGATTAGGCAATGGTGCAATGAGGGAAGTAAGATGAGGCAAAGGTGCAATGAGGGAAGAAAGAAGAGGCGAAGGTGTCATAAAGAAAGAAAGTGGAGGCAAAGGTGTCATGAAGAAAGAAAGATGAGGCTGCAAAAGCGGGATGATCCGAGAAGAAAGATGAGGCAAAGGTTATATTAAGGGAGAAAGATGAGGCAAAGGTGCAATGATCGGTAAGAAATATGAGGCAATGAAGATGAGAGAGAAAAGATAAGTGGAGTAAATGAATATTTGCTAAACCTGAATTGGATCCTGAATATTGTGCAGATGAGAAAAGAGAACATCAAAGCAGAAGTAGCACATTTCAGCCTAGAAAGTTAAAAAGAAAAAAAATGACAGCATTTTAGAATCTTAACAATTTTAACATAAATTTGAGTTAATTTCAAGGAACCCCCTTTTAATAGATCTTGACATGGCCCAAGGTTATAATGCAAGGAAAGTTATTTCAGAGGTAATTGCATCTTTTGTACTGCAGTGTACTGTCTCCTTGGGCGGTAATGTAAACACAAGATGGTTGTCGAAGCCTGACATGGGATCCATCATTCAAATAAAAAATTAATGAAATATTTTGGTCAGGAAACTAATATGTGAATTATCAAAATTATCAAAATTTAGTAGGCTTTTAACCTCCTCGGATACCAAACGAACACTAATTTGCATCTATTCTTGCTTACATATTCCGCCCTGAGAGAACTGTGTCGATGTGTACGCAGAATACGCAATTCTTCAATTAACTTTCCTTGCACTATAACCTTGACATGGCCGAATTTGATTCTTTCTTGATCAGACAAATTGAGTAAAGCATATGGCTGGTGTAGAGCTGGTATCTTGAGAACCAAACATTATCGGCCTTAAAAAGAAGGGACACTTGAGATACGTCTCTTTTGTATTGCAGCGTAGAAACTTTGGGATTCATAAAACCATTTTATTTTAAAAATATTAATACAATTTTACCTTCGCAATTGTACATTGTGTCCTTCTATCATAATTACCATTATTTACGAGATTTAAAATCCGCCTCCTTAAATTTACAAAATACATATTCTACAAATATAAAAAATCTGTGACACCCCGCAGAAAGGGAATAAATTTAAAACAGTTAAAAAAACATTTAATTTGTTATTTAAAGGTTGAAAGTTTTAAATTTGAAAATATTAGAAAATTATTTTCAAAATATTTTTTTTAGGGAAAAGATCATCCCTGCTTGAAATTACAAAACAGCTAAGTTCCAATTTTTCTAACTATCCCATTTTTAGTTTAATTTCTGTTTAATGAAAAGAACCAAAATTTGCATGCAGACAAAATATGTTGAAAAAAACGGACGAAAAGATTAAAAAGGTCATTTGCTTTATTAAACCTACATTACCATTACCATATCCCTGCATTAATGAATAACAAAGACGATAAATCAATTTCACAAAAATAGCTTTCTCTTTTGCCAGCTGATTTTGCCATCTTTTAAAATCACGCAACCTCATTTTCCAGACTTTATTTTACATAACTGCAGACAAATAGAGGTAAATTTTGTAACATTTTACGAAAACAATTGTTTATACTTGCTTCGTAACAAATGTACCTTTTAACCTATCCTGTGGGTTTTATTCAAAAATTAGATGCGAAAAAGTTTTGTCGTTTCTCTCGTTTTAAATGGTTAAACTATTTCAGAACAATATGTGAAGATTAAAACTGTTTTAATATGAGATTTTTCATCCCTCGCCATACTTTTCCTTTTCCCAAACGACTTCTCCTTCAAACTGTTTTCCTGGAGAAAAAAGATGTTTACATTCTTCTTCTTCAAAGGAAAATATATTAATTTATTCATCTTAATTTTATTTTCGAATCCAATACTTCATTTTATATTTTTTGGAACCCATGAAAAGGGTTGCGTACAGTTTTTTTTTAGGAAAGGGTGGAAAGATCATTCATTATTAAAAAAATATCACCACCTTTCAACCAACATGATCGACCTGATACCCCCCAACAGATGGACGTAAAGTTATTTTAAGTCCTGTGGGACAATTAAGTGAAATAACCACCCCGCTCTCGTATTTATATCACACGATGAATGATTTGTGTACAACTACTTTTTCGGTAAATCAAAAACCTTACTTAACCACTGGATGTTTGTATCCAAAATTGGTCTTGGCAACCCTCTTGGTAAAGTAAAATTCGCTTCCTTGCAAAGTAGTTGTAAATAATTTATAAAAACTAGGTTATCTTCTAGTTTAATTGTGAATATTTTCTCATTGCATACATTGTAAAGCAATTAAACTAAACAAAGTATGCGGATCTATTAATAAATTTCGTGGATATTCTAAATTTAATGAAAAGCTAATTTTTGAAATTATGATCATCCATAAACCTTCCTTGGGGTCAAGTGAGGTCACACACAAAATTTGGGCCCGTTCGGTTTGGTTGTTTTGATGTTTATTGGACACAAACAAACACCCAGACAGACTAACAAAATATATAGTTAGAAGTAAAATTTGATATTTCATGCTGGATCAATTAAAAGTAAAGATATAAAACTTGCCAGTAATGATAACTGTCCCCCCCCCCAAGATTTGGAAAACCTAGACAACTGAAATAATATTTGTATAGGGATGTACGATTCTACAGTAGCTCATCAGTTCATTCAAGGCAAGTAAAGAAACCTTCATCTTTATCCTGTGTAGTAAACTAAATGAAAGATTTGGATTTTTGATTCCCCGAATTTTGGATGTATAAATATGCCCGTAGTAAATAATGATGCGTTTATTCCAGTTTGCAGAATGTGGAAGAATTTCTATGATTTCTATAGAAAAATGCCAATAAATTCGTTTTCTTAAAAAATCACTATTTATTTTTGTAAAAAAATCATTTAGAATATAGAATCCTATTCAGTGAGGGGTGTGGGCTATGGGGTTCAGCAATCACCCCCCGCCCCCTCCCTATGAAAAGAAATAAATCCTGTATTCACCCCAGGATATTTTTTTTGGTTGCTGTAATAAATACACCTGTTTTAGATTTGACACGACAAAACCCTTCGCCTTCTATGAAATCCTGGAAATACCACGCTCAGCTAAACAGTCTGATGTCAAGAAAGCATATTTTAGGCACAAACAATTCATTTTGATTAAACGAAACTGAGAAAAAACGAGATTAAAATTTTTAGGATAAATAAGAAAAGCACATGGCTGTATAATGTTCTTGGACAATTGTACCCTCCTCCCTTATGAACATGTTTTGCCCTCAGAATATTAATTATAATTTCGCAGTGGTAAAAGATTTTTTTTTGTCGAATTATGGAATATGGAAATACATTATCTTCAGAGTTGAATATTTTTCTGATAGAAAAGTTTTAACATGCAAATTGAAGTACAATTTTTTATATTTCTCTCCAAAATATTTTAGGATCATGTCTCAAAATATATTATTAATTTGAACTAAAATTGCCCTCAATACTAAATACCCTTTAGCTGAGAGTGCAACTCTAAATGTTTGTTGTGTAGAATGGTCAAGATCTATCACCCCGACGTGAACCAGGATGAAAATGCGCGTGCAAATTTTGACAAAATCACGGAAGCCTACACCACGCTGATCGACCTGACCCAACGGTATTTCTATGATCGACATGGGCACACGTCTGAAGAGTTAAAAAAGCGTGGAACTCCAAGTATTTTCGACTGGACGCCAAAATATGGAATATACAACGAACAAACAACTGCTGATGGAGAAAGCAGGGAGCAAATCATTTATGGACATTTTATCATCCAACATTTTTAAGATTCAAGATCATTCTTTGAAAATAAATAACACAATTAAAGCAATACTTAAAACAAGAGAAGTATTGGATTGGTATCAATTTCAAAATTTTAATTCAAGCCAAAAACGTGTTAAAGATTAAAAAAATAATTTCTGATTAAAATGGTCACTAATGCTACATGCGTTAGATTCGTATATTTGTGAATTTTTTTAAAGGTTTTGTTTGAAATACATTAATTCAAGAAATCAGTGCGCAAAGTTGAGAATCCGTTCTTGTCAAAGATAAAAGTTCATCGATATTTATAAGTTTAGGAATATGTCCTGAACTGAATTGTCCTCAGTGAATTGGAGGACTGGTTTAAGGCCCAGGGACATATGGGACAGGACAAGAAGATCACATTGAGACAGCGTATTAAGGAAAGCAAGCCAAATTAAAAACAACATTTTTTTGATGAATCAATAGCTAACAGGCTACAAAGAAATTTACTTAAAAATATTTATGGCTACAAAGATATTTCTTTATTTAGAAAAAGAAAAAGTTGAGCAATAATAAATGGTAAAACTAGTAAAATTAATATTGCCCGAAAGTATTGATTTATTGATACTTTCATAGGTTTTGGAATATTTGTGTATATCTGCAAACTCAGATGTATTTGCTTTAACAAAAAATTGAATTTAAACAATATTCAACTGGCGGGAAATATTACAACAAAAAAATTAGTAACATGTGGATTTTAGAATCCTTGCTTTGATTTTAGAATATGTATGTCGAACTGCGTTACGGACTGGGTTATTATGATTTCCCTTGGGAACTCCGCTGGTTTGCATTAGCCTTGATGGGCTGGGCCTTAGGCCTATATCTCTTCTACAGGGCCAGTTAACAACAACATTTTGACACTCAATCAGAAAACTATGAAATAGGAAGACGACTTTATAACAATACTAAGTGAATTTGATGTTGTTACAAAACAAATAGTTTTTACCAGACACTTATTAAATCACTAATTCAGTGTAATGGGCCTGTTTTCACTGCATAATTGCGGTGCTCCATGTTTATTTGACTATTTATAGTCAAAGATTAAGTCTAAATGTCGACTTCCTAGTATAGAGTTTTCTGGTTTGCACCGTAGTATCCGGATTCAAAGTTGATGGCGGTTATATTTAAAGGGGTCTCGGCCCTTATCTCCACGGAATGATGGTTGATCTTGTATTTATTTATTCATTTAAACAACTTGATGGCCAGCACAGTTTAAATATTTAAATGGTTTAATTATTACTCATTGATATACTAACATAAAGACGGCAATCAAATACAATTTAACTTTTCTCTCACAATCCACAGATCTCAACTCAATTAATGAGTTTTCTTCATAATTTCTAAATGATTCATTTAATTTTAGTGTAAAAATAACGGGGGGGGGGATGTTCATACTTTATTTCATTTTTTTTAATCGGATGGCATTAAATTGAAATGGATCCCAAGCACTCTTCAATTTTATAAACGGGGATTATTTTTGGAAATAACTATTTAACCATAAACTTTTAAAGTTTTTTTTTAATGTGGGAGGAGGGCTGTTTTTTTAGAAGATAAAAATCACTAAATGCTGGTGTTCAATGTTCATCGCCGAAATGAAAAATTGAATAAAATGTTAATGATTTTACAGGGCTTCTGTTTTGGTATTCACAACGTAGAAAACAGGAATGTAAACACTAAACACTCTCTAACCATTGAAACGGTATTAAGAGATTCAGCATTTAAAAAGTGGTGTATTGAACAGGGAGTATTTCTTATATTGAGAAATGATTTTGGTAGATATTCCTGAGGGAAAAACTAAAGATGGTATTGTTTAACCCAGAACTCTGGAGACATAGAAAGAATTTTTTTAAACCTACGGATAATTGAATTCTGCAGATATTTTTTTAATTGAATGTTTAAACTGAGCATTAAGTTGTTCCCGCTTAATTCATGGCTATTTATTTATGTTTACTATTACTTAGATATAGGTATAATAGTATAAAACTCACTTAAAAATTCTCAAGACGACATTTTATAAATTTTTTTGATGTCTCTAAAGTTATGGGTTAAACTGTAGTTGGAAGATTTTTTTCTACTTTATATATTTTCTTCATTTAAACATTTAACATTTCATTACAATATGTTTTGCTTAAAGGGTCGGCAGCCTAATTCCAAGTGAACCTCTATGTGTTACTCACGAATACTGCAATGAATTATTAGAAAGAGAGAGACTGTTCTAGCCGCGGCGCTCGGCCCTTTAGCATGTCCTGGCCACGGCGCTCGGCCCCTAGTCTGTCCTAGCCGCAGCGTGCGGCACAGAAAGTGTCTAAACCTAACCCATAAAAGTGTATACTAATCTCAATCTTTTCTTATAATTCATTGCGGCATTCGCAAGTAACAGAGTTTGGCCGCTACCTAAATGTTATTTAATATTTATATAAACCTAAGACATTTGCGTATATTTCTTCATTTCTTCCATTTTTCTGACAAAGGTGTTGCACATTTTCTGATTCTCCCCATCGCCTTAACCATTAGTCAGAGGTACAAATAAATTTAAAATTGAAAAAAGATGAGCTTAATCACACTACCCTTTCTCAATCCTAAGAGCAAAAAGAGGGAAGGCCTCAACGTATATAAGACAAAAACTGCCTGGATAGGGTTTTCAGAGTTTCCACAATATAAAACGTGTTTGCTCGTGTGTTAAAGACGACCTATACCGACCTACCTGAAATGGGAGAATGATGAGATTTACGATATTCTGTGGTACTCTGGGGTCAGGAAGAATAGACCGTCAGAACAATCAAAGGAATTAACTTGGTTAAAATTAGATCGAAATTAAACTTTTTGAACATTTAAATTTAGATATTCATATTTCTAAACTACATTAGGTTTTAAGATCACCATGGTCTTGAAATGCGAGTATTAGTATTGAATAACTGCATTTTAAAAACTTTCATTTATCCTAAAGAGTAAAAACTTTTACTAAAGACCCCCCCCCCCCCCTCGAGTTAAAAGTGCTATTTTTGTGTTTTATCTGTGCAAAAGCGTGTTTTTTGAATTCCAAATAACGTTTCGGTCCGGAGTTTGCTATTAAATTAGCTGAACTTATAGTGATAACCAGAAAACTGTAGAATAGGAAGATGACTGAAAGGCAAAACTGAAGTGCATTTGTTCTTGACACAGAGCAAATAGCATTACTTGTAAGTTAAAAAATCACCATTAAGTTACACTGCAAACTCCATAATTTAATTTCATAGCTTAAGTTCCTCGACTTCCTATTCAAGAGTTTTCTGGTAATCACTGTACTTGAAAACCCTCTATTGTCATAAGTATCGAGATAAAAGAAGTATATTTGATATATGTTAAACTAGTTGATTGAGCCAGGGAGGGCTGTATCACATGCCTAAGGTTGAGCGTAAGAAATCTGAATTTTCCCACACCCTGTACTCCAACACTAGAGCAGGAGCCAAGTCCAGGAACTTGGTTCGTCACAAGAGGCTCCAGGAGCAGCTAAAGAAGGCCAGGGAGGAGTCCTGGTCCGAGGAGCAGAAAAGAGCCGCGGAGAAAAATACTAAATTCAAACAGAAAAGAAAACAGAAAAAGCTTAATGACGGCTTCTCAGTTTAAAGTTTATGTATATTGTATATGTATTGTATTATTTATAACAAAATTATCCGTTAAAAGAAATATTTAAAAAGTTAAATTTATTTTTCAGAAAATGGCATTGATGAAGCTCGCCACCACCTGGGAGAGATTTATTCTCAAGGATCTCACGAAGTTTGGAAGATACGCCAAGGTTAGTTTATTATTAATCACAAGGTGGGATACATTTATTCATTTAAAAATCTTCCTGTAAGGGACTTTAAGCGTAATTTTAAGTGACCCCTCAGGGAAAGATGGCGATGCCTAATTCACAAGGGTACCTGGTAACATTTATCTGATCAATAATTCGGAAGATATTGTCGTTTTTTAGGTTTAAAATCTTATAAATTAATTCAATTCCTACAGGTTTTCCTGAAGTAGAAATGTTCTAGCTTTCAGTTTTCTAAACTTCATACAAAGCTTTTAAGAGTACCACCTGATGATAATGATTTCGCATTTCTCTCCGGGCGATATAAAAAATCTTCTATTCAAAATATTTAGGGTTGGACATTAATAAGTTTTTTTCTTTCTTTTCAAAATAGAATCATTTCACGATGTTTAAAAAGTTTACGCTATTTTCTGAAGACATTTTATTTTATTATAGAGTCCCTTTCAATGTGAAATTAAATCTTTTGGATTGGATTTGACTTATCCTCCTCTCAGTTTTGCGTACTACTGTAAAAAAATTCAAATTGATTGCGTACTGCTGTAATATAACGAATTCAAATTGATTGCGTACTACTGTAATAAAATAAATTCAAATTGATTGCGTACTACTGTAATAAAATAAATTCAAATTGATATATTACTACTATAATAAAATAAATTCAAATTGATTGCGTACTACTGTAATCAAATGAATTCAAATTGATATATTACTACTATAATAAAATAAATTCAAATTGATATATTACTACTATAATAAAATAAATTCAAATTGATTGCGTACTACTGTAATCAAATGAATTCAAGTTGATTGCGTACTACTGTAATAAAATAAATTCAAATTGATATATTTCTACTATAATAAAATAAATTCAAATTGATTGCGTTCTACTGTAATCAAATGAATTCAAGTTGATTGCGTACTACTGTAATAAAATAAATTCAAATTGGTTGCGTTCTACTGTAATCAAATGAATTCAAATTGATTGCGTACTACTGTAATATAATAAATTCAAATTGGTTGCGCCACAAATTCTTTTTTTATTCTTGTTAGAACTTCTCAAAAAAAAATATTTTCTGGTTTACTTTTAAAATGAATTGATTGCTCCTTGATAAGGTTGAGTTGACCCCTCCCAGCCCTGGAGAACTGGGTCAGGTAGTAAAAGGAGCAGGAGGATTTGTTAAAGATGCTCTCACCTTCAAGTGGGCACAGGTAAAGAAGCCATTGGAGGAGCTGTCATTGTAATTTGAAATAACTCCTTATTTGAAGAATTGCATGCACGACTCACAATAGTACCCTTTTCAATTCTGAGGAAGATATTGTCGTTTTTCTAACTTCAAGAGAAAAATTAGAGTTTATATTTTCTTTCTCATTTATAAACCTGCAAGTTGATACCAATTTTGCATTGTATTGGATATGCATGATATTTCCAAACAAAAATCTTTCATTTTTCGTCTAATATGATACTCTAGCTAAAGTGCTCGGTGTTGCCCGTGAAATTTGAGAACACTTTGAAATAAAAAAAAATCAAACTTTTAGGGGGAAAATATGACGATTTTTTTTAGCCTTTTAACCCCTAGGCCCTAGGGTACCCAGTGGTTTTCTAAAAAAAATCAGCCTTATTGGTCCAGCCGTTTGGCAAGCTATAGCTATCATTTAAATATATGAGCGTAAAAATTCCTAAGAAAAAAATAACATTTTGAAAGAAAAAAAATTCGAATTGTAAAAGTAATATTGTATGTTTTTTGCCTATGTAACAGCCCATTTCGACCAGCTGTTTGGCATGGACAGCTATTATAGCTAACATAAAAGAGTCTTATTATATTTCAGGCAACAGTAAAGGAAGCAACTGTAAACACAATCGTCATTGCTGAGATCGCTTGCTGGTTCTTTATTGGAGAATGTATCGGGAAAGGAAGTCTAGTTGGATACCAAGTTTAGTAACCATTTCCAATGTTGTCCTCGTTTTGAATTTCCTCCGCCATTTTAACTTTGCATAGTCGTCTTAGATAAATATACATAATATGTGTTAAATGTATTATATATATTAATAAAGTTGCAGAAATAAATAATTTACAATAAAAGAAAATGTTATGCTTAAAAATCTTATTTTTGTTAATTTTAATGAAAAATTAGAGAGAAGGTATGCTAAACATTTTGTTTATTAAAGGGACTGTTGTTGGAATTTCAAGTGTATAATGTAAAGATGTTTATCTCTGATTCACAACAGCTCCCTTTAGACCTTACATATAATTGAAAGGTGGCGTCATTATTCTAGCTTTAAAACTGTTCATCTCAGACAATTTCTTCATTGTTTCCGTAGCAAAAAAATCCTTACGTCACTTCAAAAGGAATATGTGCACAAACTTAAAGTATTTTACTGTTTCTCCCGACCTTTTTGGCCTATTTTGAAATATCGGCTAAATTGGATCAACTGCAAGGGCGTACGAGGGGGGGGGCACTGGGTGTACGGCACCCCTACATGAGGGGGAGGAGCCTCGTACATTAAATGATTTTATATGATGAGAGGAAAAACAAAATATGTGAAAAAAGGGCAGCTTAATTCTTCCTTTATACAATATTTTTTAAACAAAAATTTAGCAAGTAAACCCCTGACAATTTGTATGGCGATTCACGCAAACAACTACTGTGAACAAAATATTTTAATAAACAAGAAAAGAAAAATTGGAAATCAAATGGGAAGTTTTTCATCTTCTGTAATTGTTATTACCCAAACATTCAGCAGTTAAACCCATACGCATTGTTATGATTTTCCTTGCAAACCAACCTGTAGGAAAATATTATTTTTGTAAACTGGGGGAAATAAACTTATGTAAATAAACTTTATGTTCAAAGACATATTGTTATCCTTTTTGATACAATTCATACCCAAATATTCAGCAAATAAAACCCTCCACATATTTTGCAGCTCCGCTAGAACATGTCTAATTTCTTGGGGGGAAATTATTTTTCAAGTAAGGATCTTAATTTTTGCCACAAACTCAAATTTTGTAATCCCTAGATCTTTGAAACCTGATGATGTAAACCTTATTTCAAACTTGGGCTTTTTCAAAGTACATAAAATTCAAAGTTTGACATATCAAAGGTCTACGACATCATCGGGTTGCACAGATAAAAAGATTTTGATTTTTGAGTTTTTGGCAAAATCTCATTTACTTTGCTCCTCTGATTATGTATAATTAACAAATATATGTTTTAAACTAAGCAAAGCCTAAGTTCTTTAGGGTTCTTTAGATAAAAAAACTAATTAGTACTTTTGTCGAAATTGGGGTTTAAGTGTGGGGGGGGGGGGCACAAAACTTTCAGGGGGCGATCAACTCTGTAAATTTTTAAGGGATTTTAAAGTGTAAAACCATTTAGGAAATCATTTAACTTGGTAAGTTAAGACGATCTTTGACAGAATTTTTCAGTTTTTTGTTTTTGATATTCGAATATTCAAAAAATGTGAAAAATCAGAAATTGTCTAATAAATGTTTTATTGACAAGTTTAAAGGAAAATATGTAAGAAAAAAACATCCATTGAAGTCCATAAAGGATAAAAAGACTAAAATAATTTACCGACTGGTATATACTTCGACGACTTCGACATGGACCATGGAGTAATTAAAAATTTTGTAATTTTGTTTTTGCACTACAATAGAGACATCAAAGGGCATCTTTATATGAAAAGCAATTTTTTATAAGTTGCAGCTTAAGGCTAAGCAAGATGAGTTAAGGAGAAAACTGCACCGGAAAAAGGTTTTTTTTTCATTTAGTTTTTGGCCAATATCCTACTCATTCACCTACATCAATATCCTACTCATTCACCTACATCAATATCCTACTCATTTACCTACATCAATATCCTACTCATTTACCTACATCAATATCCTACTCATTTACCTACATCAATATCCTACTCATTTACCTACATCAATATCCTACTCATTTACCTACATCAATATCCTACTCATTTACCTACATCAATATCCTACTCATTTACCTACATTTTTTTAAATTGTTTTGGAAATGTCAAAATATTTCTACATAGTATGGAGTTGAGTTTGAAAAAAAATATTTACTTTGCCCAGTCCCAGGTAGAGCTGACAACATTGGTGTAAAAGAGACGCGATTTTTCACCATTTTCTCATGAATAGAGAGAAATTTTTTTGTTTGATATCATAACCAAGTTAAGATTTCCTAAATGGTACACTTAAAAATATCCCTTAAAAATTGACAGAGTTAATCCAATTTGCTTGAAAATGGTCAAAAATGGCGTGAGTTAAGCAGCTTAAAATGGCTGGGCCATTTAGGAATATTATTTTGTATTGGAGATAGTTTTACCCTATAATGCTTCTAAAACATTGTGTCGCACATCGGGGGCACCCTAGTGCAGGGGTCCTCATTTATGAAATGATTTCATATGATGTGGGAAAAATTAAAAATTTGACGTCAAAAGGCTATTTTTTTTCAATTTCCTCCCGTTTAATTTTTCGGACACAAAAATTCAGCAATTATAATGCAAACATTTTTTAACTTCCTGTGGGGAAAAAAATATTTTTGAACATGATAAAAAAAGAGAAAAAGAAAGCTTAACATTTCTAAGAAATAAATGGTTTAATGTTAACTTTTTTATTTCTGATTAAAATTGAGGAGCGCGCATGATTTTTAAATTCTTCACTCCCCCCCCCTCTCCATATTGAAAGGTCGATTATTAACTAAAAGAAAACAAATCAATTTGACAACCGTCTGAACTATAGAAGCAGAAATTTTACTATAGTTCATATTTGGAACTATAGAAGCAGACACAATTAAGATCCGTCGGTTTATTTTGAACTATAGAAGCAGACACAAAGTTGGAACTATAGTAGCATTTATTTTCTCAAATTGTATGCGCGCGCATAATACAAGTGACTGATGATTATTAACGGAACTCATAAGAAAATAGTTCGGACGGTTATTTTAGTCTAATATTTTGAATTAAAAACTTGCAAGTTCAGTAAGGTTTAAAAATATTCATACATTTCAAAATATATAACAAAATAAATAGGTAAATTGTCTAAATTCCAAAAAACTAATTTCCATTGTAAGAATAAAGAAAACTTGTGATACGGCTTTGCCTTGTTCTCCCTCCGTGTTGGGCTCTCTAGCCTACCGTGTCGGTACGACCGACGCTGAGGTTCAGCTAAAAGTAAAAACCCAAACCGGTACCGCGGAGTAATTTATCAATTGCAAATGGCGACATGTGAACTTAATGGGAGTCGTGTTTTGTTTTATTTATGACTGTCTTGTGTTTACGGCGGTAATTGTTGTCAAACGCTAAGTGAGATTTTAAGATAAACATGATTTAATACACAGTGAAGATATTTGGGCAAATATTCGTGCTTTTGTGATTAAATACATAATATATTCCACTTATCAACAAACAAATGCATAAGTACACCGCAGGGACTTTGTATAAGATATTTTATGTTAGAGTTTTACACCTTATACATGTTTATTTTAAAATTATTTGTTTTTATTTATCAACGGTGACAATATTTCAGAGTTTAATGGTTTGACATCAAGCAATTGTAGTTCAAATACGGTACAAGGCAGCTGTACAGTACAGTGGTGTACAGGATGTCCTTGTCCCCTGGCCCTATGTACGGGGCCCCTCAGACCCCTGTACCTGTACAGATATCAGAGGAGAGTGTCACGTCATCAGCCAATTATGCAGAACCTCCCAGACCGTAAGTTCAATTACTTTTAATTATCCTTTTCCTATTTCTTGTATTAAATAATTTTTTCGCTTATTATTCTGCTAGTTATATGTCTTGAGTCTTGATTTACGTTTTCAAATATTTCAGCTTATTTCAAATGTTAATGTTTGGTTCATATTATGTTTTATTTTGATAATTTCCTAGAGAACGATTTTTGGACCCCCACACCCTCCGGGCCCACCGCCCCCCCTCCTATCAATTTTGCACATGGATCTTTAATGTAAGACTTGCGGCCGCATCGCTCGGTCCCCTAGCCTGTCCTAGCCGCAACGCTCGGCTCAGAAAGTGTCTTAACTTAACTTGACCTGTCGCCGTAGCGCTCGGCTCCCTAGCCTGTCCTAGCCGCAGCCCTCGGCCCAGAAAGTGTCTTGGTATATTCCTAGAATAAATGTGCTGAAAAATAAGTGGTCATGTATAAAATTTATATGAGGGGGGGCTGGGGGGAGGGTCTAAAAATCGTTCTCTAGGACAGACCCTTTATTTTTATTACTTTCATTTTTTTTGGGATTATATCCTAGATTTTTGGACCCATTCCTATAATTAATTTTGTAAATGTATCTCATTTGTAACCCATGGGCATTTTTGAACATGTTGCCGTAGCGCCCACGCTCAACCTGCTGAACCTGTTTTAGCCACAGCGCTCGGCCAATAAATTCCTTGAACCTTACTACAAAAGAAATATTATTACTTACATGTAAGAAAATTGTGGCATTACTTTAAATCAAAAATTTATTATATAAAGACTAAGTTATTTTTAACGAATTAATAATCTCAAAATACGATAAATCTTTATATGAGGGGATAAATAGTTGGTGGGCCAGGTTTCCATTTATTTTCCATGTAGCTTTTTCTATGACATTCTCGTTTTTTTTTTCATAAAAAGTGTCTTTTTGCAACATTTTAATCGAGGATTTCTAAACCTTTTTTCATTGTCTTAATTGTTAACTTATTTTAGATATGACTCTGTTGGGACAACAGCAACAGCTCAAGTAGTAACGCCATCTCCTTCCAACACACCTTCCCTACCACATTCCCAACCTGGAACTCCATCTCATTCCCAACCACATACTTCTCATTCCCAACCTCACCCACCACATTCACAACCCCACACTCCCTCGCATTCCAACAGTCATCCCTCCTCACATCCGCAATATCAACATCAACAACATTTTGGTCATAATAACTACCAGCATAGTATGTATGGGCAACAGCAAGTGTACCCTCAACAACAACAGCAGGTTGTTCATGTACAGTTTACCCAACAACACCCTCAACCTCCTCCACAGCATTACCAAACTCATTCCCAACAGCAGCAGTATCACCAACAACAACAACATTCCCAGATGCATCAACCGATACAGCTGCAGCAACATTCTCAAATGCATCATCAGGGATCCATTCAACAACAGCAACAAATGCAACATCATCAACAGCAGCAGGGACCTCAACAGCAACAAATACATCCTCAACAACAGCCGGGACAACCTCAACATATTAACGCCCAAGCGGGTGGACATCCTGTTCAGCCACAGGGACATCTACAACAACAGCAACAACAACTTCATCATACTCAACATATGAACAATCAACATCAGGCTCCTGTTCATCTGCAACCAGGCCAACATCCACAGGTTGTCAATATCCAACATCAACATCCCAACGGAGCCTCCTCCCCCCGGCACCCTTCCCCTCATCCCTCTCCTCATCCAACGGCTCATCCCTCCCCTCAACCCTCACCAAATCATTTCCAACAAGTTCCTCATCCTGGCCCTCAGCCAGCCCAGGAGGGAATCCAACAGCTACCACAGCAGCATCAACAGCTTCCTCAGCAACACCAACAGCATCCATCTCAGCAGCATCTCCAGCATATGCAGCAGCAGCGAACTCTTCAACCACGACATCAACAGCTTCTGCCAGGGGGACATATTGGCCAGAAGATGGTCACCGTTCGTCATACTCCAAACGGTAATTGTCTTAACATTTTTGCACTTATTGAAACTTATTCTATTAAATGTTGCTACGGTGTGTGTGTACATCATTAATTACTAATAAGGAAGTTATTAGTCATTAATGCCTCCCAATAAGTTCGTTCTCATTAGTGCGTCAATATTATGCGTATGCTTCCGCACTGTCAGTTTCATTATATCTTTCTCATTAGTGCGTTCATATTGTGCGTCCTCACTGTAAGTTTCATTCATAGTGTATTCTCAATAGTGCGTCCTCACTGTCAGTTTCATTCTCTCTAGTGTATCCATATAGTGCGTCTCACTGTCAGTGTCATTCTCACTGAATTATCATAAGATCGTCCATATTGTGTGTCCTCACTGTAAGTTTCATTCTTTGTGCATTCTCATTAGTGCGTCCATATTGTGTGTCCTCACTGTCATTCATTCTTAGTATATTCTCATTAGTGCGTTCATAGTGTGCTTCCTCACTGTCAGTTTCATTCTTAGTGTATTCTCATTAGTGCGTTAATAGTGTGCTTCCTCACTGTCAGTTTCATTCTTAGTGTATTCTCATTAGTGCGTCCATAGTGTGCTTCCTCACTGTCAGTTTCATTCTTAGTATATTCTCATTAGTGCGTCCATAGTGTGCTTCCTCACTGTCAGTTTCATTCTTAGTNAGTTTGTCCTGAGCATGTTGTCAGTACAAAATAATTAAGTTAAGACCAATATTGATCTATGTTGAAAAGATCAATATAAGAAGCGTGTAAGAATGAATATTCCTCAAGAAGTGTAATAATTTCCATTCTTTAATGCTCGGAGCGTGTAAGAATATACATTCTTTCACGCTCTGACCGTGTAATAATTTCCATTCTTACACGGTCTGGCGTTAAAGAATGAAAATTCTGCACCTACAGTGTAAGAATAAGCATTCTTAAACGCTAGGAAGGGAACAATATTAAAATTGTTCCTCCTGAACCGTGTAATAATGGGAATTCTTACACGATAGGTTTACTACTATGGAACCGAACAGATATGATATAATAACAAATATGATCTAATAAATTATTTCTTAATTTTGGACACTTAGCTTTTCTCATAATGAGGTCACCCTTAAACATATTATTATTTAAGGGAGTTCCGGTCCATTTAAGACCTCAGGGTCCAGTTCAAGTGTTAAGGCAGACACCCCTTAACCCTCAGGGGCATCCTGCACCTCCTGGACACCCTGTTCAGGGGCAACTACCTCCTGCTGTCATGAGACAGGGAGTTATTCAACAAACATTTCCCCAGAGATATCCTTCAGGGCCTATGGGAGTCAGATCTATACCAGGTAAAATTCCAGGGGTTTATTTTTTCTCAAAAGTTAAGTTTTTTTAGTTTTTTTTTGCGAGTTGAGGAAAATACCTTGAATTTTAGGTGAATAAATGTTGAAAAAAACTTGATTTGATTTCCAGTTTTTCATTATTTTCCCCATCGTGGGTAATTCTTAAAGATACCTCTGTATAATTCTTCAGAGTTATATTTTACAGGGGGTGCATTTATATTCTTTCACAGAATGTAAAGAGAGTTTTTACCTCATACTATTTTTATTTGTCCAGAAGTTTTATGGTTTTTTTTAATATTTTTCTAATCTAATATTTTTTCAACTACATTCTTGAGTAATTTTGACAATTTTCTTGCAGGAAAAGTTTCGAATTAGAAATTTAAAATGAGAAAAGGTTTCGTTTTTAAGAAAAAAGTATGTTCTTGTAGGAAATGACTGGCGGGGTCCTGGACACCCACAGATGCAGGGGAGAATGGTTCGACCTGTCGGTCAGTTTCCTCTAGCTGGACATCCAGCTGGTCACCCGGGAGGTATCCAACAACAACAACAACAGCAGCAGCAGCAGCAGCAGCAGCAAGGAGTTCCTAAATCAGAACAGATTGCGTTCAACGTTGAGCATATTTTTATGGAAAACGGAAAACAGGCAAAATATTTTTTTAAAAACAATGCTCTTAATATTTTGCACCAAAAACAAATATATAGGAAAATAAACTTCTTTGTATCAGTTTATGTGGTCGGTGTATCCTTCCTGTGCAAGAAAAAAATGAATTTTTTTTTATTTTAACTTTGTAAGGTTTGAATTTTGAAAACACTTGATTGTGCATATTTTGATTAAACTTTTTCCATTTGGATCTGGGTGTACCTAAATGTTGCACTAAAAAATGAATTATTTATAAAATAATACACATGTATGTAATGTGTTAAATGGAAATATATTAAGGTGAGAAAGATGCCTATTGATATAGACGGACAGACTATCTGGGTTGAGTGTGTGGAGTCCCAGAAAGGTGATGCTATTATGATGGAAGTGGGAGATACAGAAGGTATTTTCTATTATGCTTTTTAATTTTTTTCTTTTCTTGAATTGACAAGTTAACAGGAAAAATTGGTATTTGCATGAACTTTTTCCTCAAATAATATCCTTTTACTTTAAAATGTTTTTAGTTTTGTCGAATTCTTTCCCAATTCAATTGGAAAAGGTCTTATTTTATTTTAAAAGATAGATTAAATATCAAAGAGTACATCATTGTTCCCTCTTCAGGCTTAACTTTATAAAAAACCTGCTATTGTACTCCCCTTTCCCTCAGAAAATTTAAATAATATTTACAATTTTGTTCAGGTTTAGAGATGCCTCCGAGTACAGGAGGCACTAAGGGTCCTGGTAAATCAGCGTAAGTAAAATTTATAAATCCAAGGTTCAGGCCAAACTTTTCAATTTTAAGAGGTCATTTTTTTCTTATTTTTTTATTTAATATTTTTTGATTTGAAAATAAGTTACGCATTGTATTAGGATTGGACAAAGAGTACTCTTGGAAGTCATTTTTCCAATTAGAAATAGTTAAATCTGCTTCAGTTGACTTTTCAAGGAAGATTTTGAAATTCGTTCTTTTTTATGATCCACGATTTTTTTGTAAGTAAGTTAATCATTATCATCGGTCAAAAGTAGGTTTATATGAAACTTTGATAATTCTGCCTTTAGGTCTGTTCTCACCAAGAATTTGACGACGGACCAAAAAAATGAAATAATCCGCGAATGTGTGGAGGATCATATATCCCCCGTAGAACTGGGTAAACTGCATAGTATATCCGCGGATACTATCCGGGCTTGGGTCAAGAAAGCTGGGAAAACGTTGCCTAAATCCTACCGAAGACTGGACCATCAGACCAGGAAAATAAATAAGTATGTGAGAATGGAGGATTTTGGCCGCTTCTTCTTTCCTCTCTAATTATAAACATTTTCGCGGATTTCTTCCATACTTGTTCCGTTTCCTGCGCGTGCATGCATTATGAATTACGAAAAGTCTTCTATTGTCGACAAAACTGTATAAATACATATATATATTGTATTAATTTGTGCTTAGGTAAATTTTTACGGTAAAAGTGTTGTACTAATATTTTACGTACTTCAGTGTACTGTACAATGTTACATGTGTTGTTTATGTTTTGGAAAGGGTTTTATCAGTTGAAAAGTTTGGTCTGGATCTCCCTCCATCTTGTTTTCCGTGTATCCCTCTCAATTGATAGTTTTCTTGTTTCAGTGGATCCTATTCTATGGATCAGAGAAAAGAGATAGTTAGACAGGTCCTTGGTTCAATCAGCTAGCAATCAATGAAGGGGGGGGAGCTTGTATAACGGGGTCTCCCCTGAAAAGTAAAAACTATGGTTCTTATAAGGTTTTAAAAATGTTTGATCCCTTTTTCTGTATATGCCTGAGAAGGGGGGGGGGGGGTAATTTTTCATTTTTTCCTTATTTTGGTTTTGTGCTGAGCTGAACCTATGTTTGATCACACTAGGTTGTCGATGAACATTATTCTCCGACAGATGTTGCTAAAAAATATTCTGTTTCACCGCACTCTGTTCGAGATTGGGTAAAGAAGGCAGGGAAAACTCTTCCCAAAACATATAAAAAGTTGGATCAGGGGTACGTCATTTATCTTATCTCTCACACAGTGGGTTGTCATAGTTATTCGGAGTAATTGTATAGCACAGTAGTTTAATGCGTGTAGCAACTAAGTTATTATATAGCACAGTAATTAAATGCATGTAGCATCTAAGTAATTGTGTAGCACAGTAGTTGAATGCATGTAGCACTCAAGTAATTGTGTAGCATTGTAGTCAAATGCATGTAACACTCAATTAATTGTATAGCACAGTAGTTGAATGCATGTAGTAACTAAGTAATTTTTCAGCACACTAGTTTAATGTATGTAGTAACTTAGTAATTGTGTAGCACTGTAGTTGAATGCATGAAGCAATCAAGTATTTTGTAGCACAGTAGTTAAATTCAAAGTAAATGGGCTTAATCTAGGTTAATTTTTCGTACATTATGCATCATATCAAACCTAAAATATCAATAGCTTAGTTTGTTGTAAAAACTTCATAAAAGATATATAGAATATCATTTAGTCTCTTTAATTAAAAGCTTTTTTTTAGCTAAATGAACTAATACAATGATTTTATTCCTTTTATCCATTTCAATTATTCTAATTACTCCTGTTTCTTGTTCAATGTCCAGTGTGCATGGTTAAGTTAGTCAATATTTATTAGAAGTTTAGTGTTGGGCGGATCAAAGAGTTTGTTTCTCAACAGTTTTCAATGTTTACAAAGGTGTCCTTTACTTTTCCAAGGACTTTCTCCCAAATTACTTATGCCAAAGCTGCAATTTACCAAATGGCTAAATCTGACCTTTAAAGATAAAAAATTAATTCCTTTAAGTTGAAAACTGTAAGAAGTTATTTGGGAATTTTTCGAAAACTCGTAAACTTTTTTGATCCAACTTAAATTATATATTTTTACAAATTGAATTGATTCAACAATGTTCTGTGTTTCAGTGGTGTGAATCCTTCCTCCCGTCCCACCAATACCATGGCGGTAGCTGCAGGAGAACCCCCCACTGTGGATTCTCCAGATAATATTTCTAGTTCTTCCACATCATCCGCCATTGGGGTAAGTTCATTATATATATTTTACCATAGGGTAGCCCTTGATGTTGCATTTCAATTCATTAAGTTTTTTTTTTCCTATACATAAAGGTTATCTAAATACAAAGATGCACAAAAAAAAATCCAGCCATAAAATCGCATTTTTTTCATTTTTCACAAATTGTTGTATTGTAGAACTGTGTGGGTGGTGTAGTAGGTCCTGTAGTACCTAAACGAGTCCCTGGCAAGGTAGCTCTCTGTAAACATTGTGGAAATATGTCAGACGATCACGCCACCTGCTCCAGGTGTAGGCGTAAACTACCAGACGATGTTAAGGTAGGAAACTTTAATCAAGGGTTCTTGAAATTTCAGGTGACCCCTAATTAAAGTTGGGCATTCTTAATTCACAACTGTATTGTGTAAGGTCGTATTTTTCTATTTAAAATTTTTTAATTTGTCAATTATTTCTTGTGTAGAAATACTCTTTTAACTTTGATAGAGAAATCAAAATTGAAAACAATATATTTCCTCAGAAAGAAAACTGATAACCCTGATTTACCCAACTCAGACTTGTTGATATTAATAATGTCTTTAACGCCCACTTTTAGGGGGTTTCTTTAACTGGGTTTTATTGGGTTTTTGGGTGGTTTTTTAGGCTTGGTTTTTATGCCAACCCTGCTGATAACTAATTTTTCCTTGTTCGCTTATGCAGTGTACACAAATTCCTTTTACCTAGTACGTTGAATTTGAAAACTTTTTGCATAACAACAATAATATACAAAAGATTACTTAATTGTCTTTCATCAGTTGTATGTGTCATTATCAATACCAGGCTTTCTCAGTCTTCTAAATGTTGTCTAAAAATAAAATTTTTTCCAGAGCTGGGACCTTTGAATGGATATTGTTAATCTTAAACACTATATCTCGATACCCATTGTGGGCACAGTTCTTTGAAAAATGCTTGATTTCTGAATAAATATAGTTCCAGCACTGTTTATTGTTCATCAAGGGATACCGAAGAGGAATACATTTAATCTGTAATCTACATAAGATGCTTGATCCTGAGATACACAACACAATAGTTCTGATATTTGATATTTGAATATATATTTTAAAGGTTGTTGATGACCCTGCCTTCAGACCTAGACCAGATTCAACCAATGAAGATGCTGCAAAGAAATCTCTCAGGGCAATGAGGCTTCCCAACAAAAACAGGTGATAGTGTTTCTTTGATTTATTTGTTATTTTTTACCACATGAATAAATAAACTATGCAGTTAATGTACTCAGTAATCTATATGTTATGTATAAAGTAATAATCTCTGTTTGTCTGTTCGATCATAACTTACGCACCCCTTGAACGATTTGCCTTTAATTTTGATTGGGGAACAAGGAAGAACCACGGAAATGTTCTTAACATGGTTTTATGTTTCTAAGTTAAGTGGGTCTACTTTAATAGGGTAAATAACTGAAGTCGTGATTTTCGTGGGTAAATGGTGGGAGTAACTATCAGTACCCTGCCCGACGCTGGGATTTCAAGCCAGTATTTTATTGATGTTCAACTTTCTGTTATTTTAAAAGCACATTCAATATTAGTAAATAGCTTTAAAGTACTTTTTTATTCTCTCCGATGTTACTGTAGAGATAAAGAAGCATAATATTCTATTTTGTTGCAGACGGAAAGGTAATCCTGATGAACCGATGTGTATAGCCCTGTCTTCAGACGAGGAGGATAATGACGATAATTCCAACCTGCCTGCAGGAGAGGAGAATAAGGAGGAGATTGATGTTGAGGAGTTTGGTAAGTGATAAAAACATAACTGATTCGTTTTAACATTTTCAAACTGGCGTTTAACTCCAATTGTCCTAGCAAGTAAGTCTCAGCTAAATCACAGCTAGAAAATGTCTAACGAATTGAATAATAGTTAACAGTAATCTCCATAATACTGAGAATTAGGAAGATGACAGTAGAGCAATCTTTTAAGTTCGTGCACAGTTTATACTGTTTATTAAACCACAGGGTGTCCCACGAAACATGACAGTCAGTGAATAGTTATGAATGTCTTCTTCCACATACTGTATTAGATATTAAAGACTTTTCGCAGTTTAATTCGTTAAAAAATCTTACTGCTCAGATATATTTTACTTTGAGATAAATTTTTCTAAAATATGACTGCCATGTGATATTTTTTATTATTCTCTTTGGTATCAAATTTTAAAATATTCACCAACTGTAATGTTTTGTAGGACACCCTGTATATATAATCCAATTTTTCGTCGGTATAGTAATTCATTGGTTAAAGGTTACCACTGCAAAAAGTACCACAGAATATAATTGCATGCTAAGATTATCCTTTAACGACCATTTGTTAAAGAAATAAATGAGCATACACATGTTCAAAGTGGAATTAAAAATTAGTTTTGGGGGAAATATATGTTCAGTTCTTGCAATTTTATCTCTTGGAATGAGGAACACAGTTTTTATTTGTTACCTTTCATTTTTGTTAACTATTGCAACTTTGACAGTCGATATGAACTATAGAATTGAACAGCTGACTTTGCCGGTGTTTTGTTTGGCTACTATGAACTATAGCAGCAGACAACCTTGAAAATATTAACAGCCGACGGCGGATGTGAACTATAGTTTTTAAATGCATTTCATATAAAGTAACGCATAGCAGAGCGTATTAAAAGTAAACTTTGTATTGAAAATTATTTACAAATTTTAAAATATGTTCTTTAAAATTTGTTATATATTTTTCACTTTCCCATTTGCTTTTTGTGTGAGTAAGATTATTGACCTGTGTTACGGCAGGGGCCAAGGAACTATTTTTTCCTTACAACGTGTTGTTGTTGTATTAAACATCCACACCTTGCCAAACCAAACCTAGAGCTCAACACGCTGAAATCATCTTCTCAATTTAAGAGTTCCAATTCAAAGTTTGTTCTAATTAATTAAGTTATTTTACGAAATAATTGTGAAATATCATTTTCGCAATGGCGAAATATTTGAATATGGTGTACAAGAAAATGTTTAAAAAGACGGAAAAAACAGTTAAAGAAACGAGAGACATTAATTTAAACGTGAACGGTGAGTTACTGTAGAATATATATGTATTAATGAGTTAGTTCCTTGTCCTTTCGGCGCATAAAGATCTTAATTTGGGGGGGGGGGGGAAGTGGATTGAAATGGTTGACAAAGGACATGTACGTATCAGTAACATTTTGCCTAGTACACTTTTCCCTTGGACTCATTCGCCTAGTTAAAAGTTTGTCTGTATAACATCTTGCCTATATATCAGTTTGTAAGATAACAGTATGTCTATATTGCAGTTTGTAAGATAACAGTTTGTCTAAATAGCACTTTGTAAGATAACAGTTTGCCTATATAGCAGTTTTTTAAGATAACAGTTTGTCTATATAACAGTTTGTAAGATAATAGTTTGCCTATATAGCAGTTTGTAAGATAATAGTTTGCCTATATAGCAGTTTGTAAGATATTATTTTGTCTATACAGCAGTTTGTCTATATAGCAGTTTGTAAGATAATAGTTTGTCTATATAACAGTTTGCCTATAATATAACAGTTTGTCTTAATCACATTTGAGTGTATTATTCGTTTAAACCAGGAATTTCTAGATCACTCACAAACTTTGAAACATGAAAACCTGCAAAACTGATTTTTAGGTTATTTCCTGGAGAGCGATTTTGGAACACACCCCCCCCCCCCCCCTCCTATCAAATTTGTACATGGATCTTAAATGTAAGACATGTGGCCGCAGCCCAGAAAGTGACTTAACCTAACCCGTGGCTGCAGTGCTCGGCCCCCTAGCATGTCCTAGTCGCAGCGCTCGGCCCAGAAAGTGTCTTAACCTAACCTAATCCTAAATAAATACTAATTTAATTGAACATTGTTGTAAAAGTTGTGATGTACAAAATTTTTTTGGGGGAGGGGTCGTTCTCTAGGACAGACCCGATTTTAAAAATCTGCTATTCAGCCATAATTTTTCTCTTGAAAAGATGGCATCACTTATCAATGCACGTACAACAGGTAGGAAGACAACAGGTAGAATGGCAAAAGTTCGAGCATGTTAAAGTTCGAACAAATACTAAAATTAGAGCATATGCAAAAGTTAGAACATATGCAAAAGTTAGAGCATATGCAAAAGAGAACATACAAAAGTAAAAACATACCAAAGGTAGAAAGGCAAACTTTAGAACATATACAACAAAAGTTAGAACATATAATAGTTAGAACATACTAGAGGTAGAATGGAAAAACGTAGAATGTTCATAAGGTAGAATTATTAAATGATGTGCTTATTTTGGGTCAGGTGGGGTTAGAACAATTTCTAGCTCGATCGCTGCGGATAGGGTGGGCTAGGGGGCCGAGCGCTGCGGCCTCTTGATTGTTGAATAATATGCTTTTTTCGACTTCATTTGTGTTTGGATAGATTAGGACAATTTTTGGGCCGAGCGCCGCTGTTGGAACAGGATATAACAGTTAGTAAATTTAACGAAAATGTCAAATATGAAGCTTGCAAATAGTCAGCTAAAGTCAACTTTCAATATTTTAGAGGTTGTAGCGCAGCTACAGTATCCAAATGCTCTACAGGCAAAAAAAAACTCAACATTTGTTATACAGGCAAAATGTTTAGTAGGCACCATGTTATATACAGGCGAATAAGTTCTATGTGAATGTGTAATAGGCGAATGAGTACTAGGACGGCCTAGGCATAATGTTACTGATCCGTTAGAAACATCTTAATTTTCAATTTAAAGATATTTTAAAAAGGTGTCCCTCAATTCAATTAAATGTTTTAGGAGATGAGAGTGTTTTCGAAGATATTACTACAGGGTGTCCCTCAACTAACTGCTTCTCTCTACCCTGTAGATCTGTTAGAATAGGAAACTATAAGGTAATTATTGGCTAAAATATCATGCACATCTTTACATTTAAAGATGTCAGTCAATGGCAAATTAGTTTTGGAGATTAATCTTCTAAAATTTAATTTTTATCGAAGAAGGGATTTATATTAAAGTCCAATTTTTTATTGGGGGGGGGGGTTAAAATATATTTACCCTAATGCTATATTTGTTACTGAATACTACATTTCACATGTAATTATTATTTGAAATTATCAGGTTCTACCGAAGGAGAAAATAGTTCTTAGTCCTCATGGTATACAGATCAAGGTAACTAAACTTTTTATGCTAAAAATAAATTCAAAATTGATTTCCATTTTTTAAAATTTTGGTTCCTAAGCCTTGGTTCTAAGTAAAATAAACAGTTTTAAATTAATATATTTTAATATTTGTCCTTTTTTTAAACAATACTTTTTAAAAAAATATTCTAAGATTGTACAAGCTATAAGATCTCACTTCATTCTTGAACTAGTAAATTTATTTCGTGTTTGGGAGGTGGATAGTAGGACTCCCTAATAGCATGATTTGATTTGATTGTTTGCCTAGGTTCCAGGGATAGTTAATGCCGAAGATGTTGTAACAATTACAATTCTCAAGTCGGATTTCATCAAGGTAATATTTATGTTTATTTTATCTTTTCGTGGACAAAGAAACTAGAATTGAATAGATGAGGTTGGGTTTGTTTACATTATATCGTGACGTATTATGGTATTTGGTTTGGTAACAAGTTTTATCGATCGTACATATTAAGAATATCGTTGACATGGATCGGAATCTTCAGGTACGCAGATTGCAGGGCCTTAGTATTATTGTTAGTTTTATTCACACACACTAAAAATGGGTTCTAGGTGGTCCTAGATCATCAAAGTATAATCGCAACAACTCACAACCCCCTAAGTGTGAATACGGATCCCGGATACGGATCAAGGATGTAAATATTTGATTTTTAAATTTGAGAAATTTTTGTTATCGTTTTTACAAATTACAATCTGCATATGTTTTTATTATTTGATAAATATAAAATATTTTCTGAGATTTTTAACAATTAAACAATAAAACTTTTTTTTTCTCTTTTTTTAATGCAGAAACTTGAAACTTAACAGTTGAGATTTATGTATTAAAAGAGAGCACAAAGTTTTATTTGCCATGTTCAGGTAGATATTGTGCCCCTTGGATCCGAATCCGGATTCAGAAAGCTTAAATTCTAAGCACCGATCGAGGGGTTGAAAATATTTGAAATATGTTTTCTCAATCCTTACTTTTTAAATTTACAGGTTCAAGCTCATTTCGGGAAGCAGATGCCGCTATTATTTCTCTACGTGAAGGAGAGCGCGTGTGCACGAGCACGTAAAGTTTTAAAAATGACGAGCGCGCAATCTTTATTCTTGGACGTTAGCTCTAGTGATGAGACACAGAAGCGTATAACAATTCTTCCAGAGAAATTATCCGATGAAAACAAGTCTACTCTGAAATCAATATTTGGAGACCTAATTCAGGTAAAAACCATTTAATCTTTAAGGAACTGGAAGCGTTATTTCAAGGGACCTTTCAAGCAAAGATGACAATGCCCGATTTACAACGGTACCCTTGAAATCCTAATCTGATCAAATCAGTAGATTTTCTGACTGGAAAAGTTTTCATCTGCGTGAGTTTCTCCATTGCTTTTTAGAAGTATGAAATGCGCGAGTCATTTCGCTGAAAATCCACGAATAAAAAAGTTTTAAAGAAACAAAACATTGATATCTATTTCATCATTGATGATTCAAAGCTTTTATGGGTATCACTGTTAATTGGGCAATGTCATATTTGCATGGAGGGTCACTTGAACTTTTTTATTCTCGTGTAAAAATCCGTTCTTTCTCATAAACCCCATGAAAAGAATACAACTTGAAATAAATTATACCCTCCTTGAATTCTTTCATTAACCAAGCTAATTGTAATGTAATATTATGATATAAATTTAAGGATCTGGAGTCTAAGGATGCCAATGAGATATTGGTGAGGTCCTCCCCGAAGGAGATGGGAGCCCTGAGAGGGAAGATGGGTGGGTTCAACCCCATGACCGGGGAGAAGAAACAGAACCCCGACACCATGGTCACCAAGTATTGTCAGTTCCCACCAGAGGTAGAGTGCATTCTAATATCTCATTTTCTCTCATTCTTTCTCTTTCTTTCTTCCTCTTTCTTTATTTCTTCCTCTTTTTTTACTCTCTCTCATTCGCTTTTTTCTTTTTATAATTTCTCCATTCTTTATTTCATTCATTCATTTATTCTTTAATTTTTTCACGGTTTCTTATTCTATTCTCACCGTTAATCCTTTCTTTTCATTCTTTCTTTATTCTTTCTTTTATTCTTTCTTTTATTCTTTCATTTTTTTCTTTAAGTTATTTTATTCTTTTATTTATTCGTTTCTACCATCTTTCTTTCTTTCATTCATTCTTTCAGTCTTTCATTCTGTCATTTCTATTTTCCTCTTTTTTATGTCATTTTCATTCCCTTCTTTTCTTTTAAATGTTATCAATTCATAACAAGGGAGAGGAAATGAAAATACAAAAGCTAAATATGTATGCGTGTTGATATATAGAAAATACTGTTGAAGAAGATTGTAATCCCGATTTTAATTCATTAAGTATTTATCATCTATGAATTCAGGGTGCGGGTAATGTATCCGTGACTAACGAGGACTACGCTTGCTTGGAGGTTGAGCAGTTCCTTAATGACGTTATCATAGACTTCTACCTCAAGTAAATATAATTTCAATCATTTACTCCATGGGGCATAATATAGTTTCTTTCAAAATATATCTCCCCTCTCTTATAAAGAAAAACATCCAGGGGTTGGTTTTTTTTGCGGAGCGGACATTTTTATTAAGGTTGTAATGGCTGAATTTTGGGAAAACAGTTTTAGAGGGAAATTAAAGAATTTTTGGGTAAAACGTGTTAAATTTGCGGGGGGATAGGAGTAATTCTTCAAAAAAAAAATCACCCTTGATTTTTTCTTTATCCGAATATTTTTGGCTATTTGCGAATTCTTTTTGCGAAAAGAATAATTTTCATCAGTTTTTTATTAGAGAATTAACGCAATCTCTCCCTCATTGCAACTATCCCCGGCCCAACGTACTTACTTGAAGCAGTTTTGCGGATTTTTCTGTTTTCATTCGATGAACTTTTCAGGGCCGTGATGATCTACGCTTAACGTTCGATGACGACTCTGACCGGGACGAGGCTGAGGCTAGCGAGGACGATATGGAGGATGAACCCGAGGACGAGGAGAAGAAGAAAGAGGACGAGGGGGCGGAGGATTCGGTTGAGGCGGAACCAACCAAAGTTCAAGTTCGCCAGCCTTGTATTCTAATATTTGACAGTTTAGCTGGTGGAAGTAAAGCTAGAACCTGTCAAACCTTGAGGTAATTGCTCGCTATGCAGGGACTAACACCTCCTTCTTTCAAAAATTCTTTTCCCATTAATCAAAATTCTTTTTTAGTTGGCTTAAAAGAAATTTTACTTGTGACGTTGTTAACTTATCATAACCTGACTTATCATAAGAGAATCATTTAAATATTCGTACATACACCCCTTAGAGGGAGTGTAAATTTAATTTTATGGTGCATATTCGATTCACAACGGTACCCTTAAAAGTTTTCTCCATGAAGTTTGAATTAGACATCCAACTTTTTTGTTTTTGAAAACTAAATGTTAGTGTTGTTTTCTACAAATGCAATGCCTGCTTTAGAAAAAATTGCGAAGTTAACGGAATATAATACTAATCAAGCTAGGAAATAGATTTTATTTTATTACATTAAGGTTACATAAGTACCGTTGTAAATCAGACATGCTCCTGTAGTTAACTGAATTGTTATTTAAAATTACAACTGCAATCATTTTAAAACTTATGTTTAGGGATTATTTAACGTGTGAATGGAAGGAAAGAATGTCTGGCCAGGAACCAAGGATATTTAATAAAACAAATATGCCCGGCTGTTCACCCAAGGTAAAATGTTTATCGAGTAGTAACTAATATGATAAATGTTAAACAATAAATGATTATTCCAGCTGTTGATGAAAATCCACAAGTTATCACGAAATGCGGGAATAAAAAATGACTAAAATATATATTTGTTGAACAGGTTCAGCAGCAACCAAACTTCAGTGACTGTGGTATCTACTTACTGCAGTATGTTGAAAGTTTCTTTAAGAGTCCCATACTAGACTACACACTTCCTATTACTTCCCTTAAATCTTGGTTCCCGGAAGAAGAGGTAAGATATTCAAATACCCCGGGACCGGATTTAATGAACTTGAGCTAGGTCGCTGAACTACCCACTACAGATTCAAATACAGTGTAGTGATAGGACATGGGCAAATCCTGAATCACCAATCCCATGTCCCAAAGATTTATACAACTGCACTTCAACACTAATTATTTGAATCGAGTAGATAGTTCAGCCGTCAGCGACCTAGCTAAATTCAAGAAATCCGGTTCCCGACCCGTCAGATATTTTTTCTATTTGAATATTATTATTGAAAAATTATTTACGATTATAAAATAATTTTAGTAGGAAACAGTTATTTCTCACTTATAATTCACACAATTTCCCCGAATTTTAAACTTCTTTTAAATTCAGTGCTTAGGATCCATTCAATTTTGATGCGGATCCGGATCCTGGATCCGCACTGGAAAAAATGGATCCGAATCTCGATCCAGATTATTTCATAATAATTTACTGAATATTTTTAACAACACCGAATTTTCAATTTTTTTTTGCCTCTTCTACGCTAATTAGGAACTATTTATAAATCAGGAAATTTTTATAATCTCTTTTTTCAATGGTTCACGGATCCGGATCCAGGAAGCCAAAATCTTGCGGATCCAACGGATCAATACCTTAAGCACTGCTTTAAATAGTCGGGTTTATGTACTTATATTACATTATGTTTATTGTGTAGGTCCGAGGGAAAAGAGCGTATATTGCAGAACTTATTCGAAACCTGGCTAGCTCTCAGAACCCCGGCAAACAATTCAGGTAATTTGCAATATCACTCCTACATACTTGTTTCAACTGTCCGGTAATGTCAGGTCTCAGTGACGCATATGGTGTCAATAGAGATTATACACACATTCAATACCTCATTATTTATCTTTCAAATCTAATTATCCAATCAGAGAAAAAAGTGCATTTAGTGCTATACGGTAAACGAAACCATCTAGTAGTATTGAAACCAGGATTAATTGATAAACATATTGTCAGAACAAAATTTGAATGTTTTTTATGATTTTCCTTCAAAATTCTTAAAGCCGTATTGCTTTTAATCTGGCTTTATTTTATTTAGTTTTAATACTTTTTTTGACGTAATTTTATCAAGGTTTTATACGAAAGATATGGGGGATAGGGTTTTTGTTCTCCTTTTTATGAACTCTAAACATTCAGGTATCCTGAGATAATGTTCCAAGGAGACCAGGAGGAGGATATGGACGATGAACAAGGGGAGACCAGCAACCAGGGTTCCGTTAAGGTTTGGTTCTCCTTCAGTAATTTATTATTCTTACACCATCCCCCCCCCCCCCNTTTTAACTTTTTATGGGGAATAAAAAAAATTGATCAAAAGTAACTTAAATAAAGAATAATTTTAAGGGGAATAAAAAATGATCAAAAGTAACATAAAAGAAGGGTAATTTTAAGGGGAATAAAAAAGTTGAGGAAAAGTATCATACATTATCAATTCTACCTCACAAATGTTTCAAGTTGTCAACCCAACTTAATATTTAGTTGACCGCTACTTCTGGAGCAACTATGGTCCGTCTAACCGGCGGCACTTACACTTCTATGATGACCCAGGATAAATTTAGGCTCATGGGGAAGAAAGGCAATCAGGTGAATAAATATTTTTATGAAGCGATTCTAAACGCGATTTTAAGTGTCGTGTCCGATTCACAACGGTAACCTTAGACGTGTTTTTTATGATAAGATTGAGAAGCGTTTCTTTTTTTGAAATATGATTATTTTTAATTCTGTTTTCTCAATGTAAAAGTAAAATGCTGAATTCTGCCAACAGAAAGGTTAAAATTAAACACTTGTCAGCCTATAAAAACGACGGTGTCTACATTATTGATCAGATTAAGGGTTTAAGATATCTATGTGAATCGGCATGCTCCACTTAAGTGGAAATTAAAAGACAGGCCCTTTTAATATGATTTGGCTTTAAAAAGGTACCAGGATTTGGTTAAGTTACTTTTTACAGCATTGGGTACAATTTTTACATGCCTTAGATACCACGAAGTCGTACAAATTGAAAAATTTCTGTAGTATAAACAGACCCTGGTCAGATTTAACGCTGACCAGGGTCCATGCTTTTGGGCTATAGAAGGCTCCAACATGCTTTTGGGGGTTTTTTTTGGAGAAGGCTCCGATGCAAACATTAAAAAAATCAACAACAAAAAATGATCTTTTTTAAATTCCCCTCTTACCCTNAACTTAAAATATTTCTTCAGGAAGGCGCACTCGTAAATTGTCCGTTAACAGGGTCATTACTTTTAATACATTGTTTCTCTATTTTATTAAGAAAATTATTTTTATTTAAAAATTTGAAAATATATTTTTTGTTCAGATGCGACCAACTCTGCCAGCTGGAGTTACAGTTACCCCCACCGGCGTTACCGTAACACCCGCCGGACCTTCTGGGGTTAAACTGGGACCGTCGGCGGTCAAGATTATCTCAAATGTTACCATTCCTAGCATTCAGGTGAAAAATATATATATATTATTTCGTTGCTTCATTAACAATATGCATTCGTCAATCATAATAGAAAATTTCCTTATGTGATGATACCACTGCTCTAGCCACATGTGCAAATATTAACCGGTTTACACCAAACCAAGATGTGAACGCTCTCGCGAATAAATCAAGCAGATTTTTGCCAATTATTCCTTTCACACTCGTGCTAAAAACTAACGCGTTGCTTTATAGAATGTATATGTATATGTACACAAAATTATAGTAAATCCAAAGACCAGGGCGTTGCGACACTTAAAAGTCGAGGCTGCCTAAAAAAATAGAATAAAAAACTTTCATAGTTGTCTAGATCTCAATGGATTTTATCAACTGTGGGTTGAGAACTAGCACACAAGCAATCAATTGCTTCAAAAACTATAATTATGATAGTCCGTCTTCAACAGGGTTTTCAATTTATTCCTGATCAATTTTGTTTCGTAAAAGCCTGATGGAACCCTTCCTGAAAATTGATCCACCATTAAAACTCGGTTAAGAATTTTCTCAACAATAGTTTCTTAACTATTCTTATTCTTATTCTTATCCCTTTGAAAACAATTCTAGAAGAGGATAATTCATCAATATATTAAACTGAGTTTATTAATCCCTAACAATATCTCCTTGGTTTACTCTTATTGCTCTAAATGTTTAACTAATATTGATGTTATTGTTGCAGTTGGTGAACAGAAAGGTTTCCATGGTTAGCTCTAGTTCTAGTTCTCCTCTAGATCCTTCATCAGCTCAGCAACAAGCAGATTGTCAGGGGGTTCAGACTAGTCCAGATTCTACTAGTCATGGTACAGAACAGGTTAGTCAGGGGGGTTCAGACAAGTCCAGATTCTACTAGTCATGGTACAGAACAGGTTAGTCAGGGGGTTCAGACAAGTCCAGATTCTACTAGTCATGATGTAGAACAGGTTGGTCAGGGGGTTCAGACTAGTCCAGATTCTACTAGTCATGATACAGAACAGGTTGGTCAGGGGGTTCAGACTAGTCCAGATTTTACTAGTCATGGTAAAGAATAGGTTAGTCGGGGGGTTTAGACAAGTCCAGATTCTACTAGGTATGATATAGAACAGGTTGATAAGTGGACTAAATTTTCAATGACTCTGTCCGATTCACAACGATATCCTTAAATCCTTGGTCGGTGCAAGAAAAATAGAGATATCCTTTTTCCTATCTGCAAAATCGATAATTTCAAATTGCAGGTTCCAAATATCAAACCTATTTATATATGAAACCTATTTATATAGAAATTTTCCATTGTGGGTTCGCTGAATGATTGAGACCTTTGAGGAGTTGTTTTTAATGATTATTATTTGTGTTCAGGGTGAAGGACTGGACATGGAAGTAGAAAACGGAGAAGTATGTGTTGAGGAGCATCCTGATTCTTCTCTCATCCAACCAAACCTAGCGGAGGATCAAGATAACAAACGGAGGCTGGAGGACGCCTCCAACCTTCAGAATAACAAGAGGATGAAACCAGAGGAAATCCGGCCTCAGGAATCCAATCCTTGAAGCCATCCTCCAATTAATCTACGAGCTGTGATTATCTCGAGGTCACCTGGAGGTCAGTGAAGTGACCTCTCCTGTCCTCCTGAGACTGATTTTGGTTAAAAATGTAAATTCATTCTGGTTTATTTGGACTCTTTGGCTAGAATTTATATTATTTTTCTTGTTTTAGTTCTAATGTGATCATTGTATTGTACATACGGCGTATCTTGTACATCAGGATATATTACGATTAGGAACCTTCAAGTGTACTGCAGCATTGTAATGCACTTTAATCTACATTTCATGAGGGAGAAATGAAAACAATTCAGTACACTTCAAGAAATGTTTCTGGTGTAAATCTTGGTTTTAACTTGTTTATACTTAATGGATGATATTTTGTTATAGTAGTATTATTATTATTATTTACTTCATACTGAATATAAACCAATTCTTCAATTCACTTTTGTTTTTGCTTTAATTTTGTCACAGACGGTAGTGCTTGTATTGAGAGGAAAAGTGGACTGCCGCAGAAGCGGAATAATGGAAGTAAAATCCGGTTTGCTTGGGCCGATCGTAAAAATGGTTTTTCGATCGCATCCGGTAAAACAAATTATCTGTTTGGAAAGGGTAAATTTAACTTTCTTCACTTTCTCCAAAAGCTTCGCAAGTTTTTTTCCTGGGGTGTTAATTTTGGAAAATATAAACCCCTTATTTTGTTTACGCTGTTCGGGTGAATAAAGTTCTTTTGGTTGAGAAAAAAGCTTCTCTCTCTTCTGTTAAATAGGTCACAGGACCTTTCCTTCTGACGACATCTTTAAAAAAAATAGATTTTTAAAAACATTTATTACACCCAGACTGGGCATGCTAGGAAGGTGTGTACTGATCTTTTCTAATGTCGTCTGTTTTGTACAACATGTTCTAACCTTAAACCCTGAAGTGCAACTCCCATTAACACACTGACTAACCCCGATTACTGAAGGCAACAAATTTAAAAAAAATCTAAATAGTCAGCTAACGGAAAACATATGCTTCATCATCATTTGCCTATGGGGTAATGTTACATCGTCTATACGCAACATCCCCCCTACTGAACTTCTGACCTACTAACTTTCCGACCTACTGCAATATCGGACCCACGCCAGCTGTTTATTTTAGTATTATTTGAGGGTTAGGTTAGGTTAAGACAATTTCTGGGCCGAGCGCTGCGGCTAGGACAGGCTAGGGGGCCGAGCGCCGCGGCTAGGGGGTCGGGCGCTGTGGCCACAATTCAATAAAGCAGCTGTAATACCACGTGCTAGTAGGTCGGATGTGTAGCATAGCGGATTTGGCGTAGGTCAGAAGTGGAGTATGGCGGATATGTGTAGGTCGTAAAATACACCACCGTTTGTAGGTCATACTTTATCAACTCAGCTAGCATTAGAAAACATTTGATCCAAAGTTTCAGGTCCCTGTGACCTCTGGTCACTGAGTTAAAGCATCCTAAAGTTCTGGCCTCGAGGCATTTTTAGACCTGACCTCACATGCTTTAATTGATTGGAACTTTTTTGTTAAATAAGATATCAAGCTATTTTGAAGACATTTTTACTGATAACTAAATTTATAAATTCTAATTAAATTTTAGTTTTATTTGACAATTGCCAAGAAATTGTATTTATATTTTTTGACATCGACTTTTTTTCGAGGTTATCCTCTGATTTTCGCAAATTCTATTTTGAGATTCATCAAAATGTATTTAATGATTTTTCAAAGCTTCATCTTAAGCATTTACTTGTTGTTGGAGCTCGAGCTTGTTAACCATAATTTTACGTTTTTACACGGAAGTTTGTAAAAAAAAAAAGTGTTGTGCAAGCAGATGCACAATATGCAATGCAAAAATTGGTAAAATTTGAAATAAAAACAATATTAATACGATTATTAATACTCTTATACCCCCCCCCTCTCAAGTTTCTACTCCATTAAATATATAAGGTTTGTACGTATCAGTTTGCAAAGATCAATGACCTCTGCAGAGTAAAACTATTAAAATATAAATATGTTTTGTTAAGATAGGTCTAAAAGGGTTTCGGTTAACAGTTGAGTATTTGTTAGTTTTTGGGACTGAAATGTGAAGGGTATTTTTTTAGACCAAGTAAAAAAGTTTTCATGTTAAAACAAGTTCTAAATTAAAATCATGGTTTCCACGTACTTTGCATTAACAATGAAATGGAATGCAGCAATAATTTCCTAGAGATTATCTAAATACATAATGCATATATTATTCGTATATTTCTGATTGTGTGTTCTAATTCAATCAAAGCCAGCACGAATGGGTCCAAATTTGTTTAATTCTCGATAAAAAAAAACAAGATATCAGCGATTTTTTTATCTTAGACATTTATTTTTAAATGTAATAACAATAGAGGCTAAATAAACAACATAAAAGCTGGTTACAATTAAAAGAGGCGAAGCACCCTGTAAGTAGTGTTGTCAATAGTTTTTAAAAACTATTGATTTTCGTTGTGACCCATCGTTTTGAACTTTCAAAAAACGAAAACCAAATCAACGCTACGACAGCTTTTTTCAAAAACTATCGTTTATGAAAAAATGAATCTGAGTTTTAAATTTTCTTCATGAAGTTTATGAATACTGTTTTAAATGTTTTTTAGCGAAAGCAGTAACCTGAATGTTTTCGGATCCAAGGGGTTTCCAACCAAAAAATGTATTTTGTCTATTAGGGTTGTTAACGAACGGTCGTCACTCGTCGTTAACAGTAATTAACGATTGATAACAATCATTAGAAATTAAATAGACCTGTCTAACGGATCGACGGAAAACTACTTATTCGTTTTTTCACTTAAAAAAATAATCGTAATAAACGACCGTTTCGTTTTTTGGTTGGTATTCGTCGCTATTAAAACGAAACGATCGTTTTGAAAAAACTGCAAACGATCCATCCCGGTACCTGTAAGTCCGATAGAGATATAGAACGATCAATATTAAATGTTTATTTTCTATTTTAAAATGATTTATCTGTTTTGACTGCAGAGTATTCAAACCGAGGGCAATGTACTCTGTACTAAAGAAAGCCTGGCCAGGGTTTGCGAAACCTATTTCGCAAGCTTTGCAATTTTTCTGCAGATTTCATACAAATTTTAAAGAATTACAAGCACTTTTGGTAGACATGTTTCTTGTTCGGTAAGTAGATACAATCCACAATTCTGTGGCAGTTGAAATTTTTAGGTTTTTGTTAAATGTTTTTTATTTATCAAAATTCATATTTTTAAGTGGCTTTAGGTTTCGCCTTGGTATTGCAAAAAGTCAGACTTTAGACTGCCCCCCCTCCATTTTTGGCCTTGGTGTTGTATAAAACCTAAAAGTGCATGGTTGGCCCCAATGCACTTTATCAGGGATTTCAAATGCATTCTGCATTCATTCTATGAAACTGCAGCTACACAACCTCATTACAAAGCTCTTTTGTTTTGGCTAAAAATCCAAACTGGTTTTAGAACCAAACAAGTGGAAACACAGTGTTACCCGAAAAACATGTGACGATATTTTAAAAATGTCACTTCTTGTCCGAAATGGTTAAAAAATGTCAATCATGTCAGAAAGTAGGTTTTAAGTTGTAAGGTGAACACGATATTAAAGGGAGAGTGAGCGTAATTTCAAGTGACCCTCCATGCAAGGACGGCAATGCCCGATTCACAATGATTCCCTTGAAACCTTTATCTAATCAATAATGAGGAAGATATTGTAATTTTTCTTGGTTTAAAAGTGTTTAATTCGAATAATTCTTTCCCTGAAATAGAAATGCGCAAGTCATGCACTATTGCAGAGAAACTACATTTTATAACAAACAGTTAAAAAATTGTTAACATTGATATCTTTTCATACTTTATTAGAAGAAGCTTTTAAGGGTAGCATTTGTGAATAGAACCTTTTATATTACTTTAATATTCATAAGTTAAGATTTAGCCTGACAAAAAAGTTGACAAATAATCAGCAGTTGCCAGTTAAGTGTTTTCGATATTAAATACTTGCTGACTTTTTAACAAGGAAATCTAAATCTCAGAACTCAGAAGAATAATTTCATATAGTTGGTTGGTAATTTCATTGATTAATTTCATTTCACAAAATAATTAAAGAATTCTATTGAAATAGATTTTTGTTGTTGATTTATTTAAAAAGATGTTTCTGAGCAAAAATTTGTGTTTTACGCTTTTGCTACGATTTCGTTAAAATGATGTTTTTGATGGTTCTTGAATTTAAAACAACAACAATATGAAAAATGTTTAGATATTCTAAACTGACGCGAATTTTGTTGAGGCATTTCAATTTTTTTAAAAAACTTTTAAACCAAATTTTTGAAATTTTGATTATTCATAAACCATCCGTACGGTCACGTGAGGTCCCATACCAAATTTGGGCCCGATCGGCTCAGCCGTATACAGTAACAGTATAAAAGATACAGTATACGATATACAATATACAATATACAGTATACAATTTACAATTTACAATATACAATATACAATATACAATATACAATATACAATATACGATATACAATATACAATATACAGTATACAGTATATTGCATAAAATATACAGTAAACAGTATACAGTATACAGTATACAATATACAATTTACAGAATACAGTATATAATATAAAATATACAATATGCAGTATACAGTGTACAATATTGAATATACAGTTTACAATATAGAATATACAGTATACAGTATACATATACATTGTACAATATGCATCATACAATATATAGTGTACAATATACAATATAAAAAATGCAATAAACATTGTACAAATATCTGAATTATTCTAGGCTCTAGGATCTATAAATGTTCTTGGTTCTAGGTGTTAGGTTCTAGTTTCTAAGTTCTAGGTTCTAGGTTCTAGGTTCTAGGTTCCTAGTTCTCTGTCCTAAGACAAGGTTCTAGGTTCCAGGTTTTAACTTTCAGGTTCTTTATGTTCTTAGTCCTGGTTGCTGAATTCTAGGCTCTAGGTTCTAGAATCTATGTTCTAGGTCCTAGGTTCTAAATTCTAGGTTTTAGGTTTTTGGCTCTAGGTTTTAATTGTTAAAGATTCTTTTAAATTCTTTAAATTCCTTTTTAAAAAAATTCTTCTTTCCAAGTCATAAATTCAAATTGTCTTAAAAGTTATGCTAAGTTTTCACCTTTTCACAATCTATTTCTTTTTAATAATTTTTTTTAAATAAAACAAAAATATTCTATTATAATAATTCTTGATAATAAACTTAAAATATTTCTTCAATTCCTCTATTCTTTCAACTTTTATCTATCTTCTACCTTCTATCTTCTATCTTCTATCTTCTATCTTCTATCTTCTATCTTCTATCTTCTATCTTCTATCTTCTATCTTCTATCTTCTATCTTCTATCTTCTATCTTCTATCTTCTATCTTCTATCTTCTATCTTCTATCTTCTATCTTCTATCTTCTATCTTCTATCTTCTATCTTCTATCTTCTATCTTCTATCTTCTATCTTCTATCTTCTATCTTCTATCTTCTATCTTCTATCTTCTATCTTCTATCTTCTATCTTCTATCTTCTATCTTCTATCTTCTATCTTCTATCTTCTATCTTCTATCTTCTATCTTCTATCTTCTATCTTCTATCTTCTATCTTCTATCTTCTATCTTCTATCTTCTATCTTCTATCTTCTATCTTCTATCTTCTATCTTCTATCTTCTATCTTCTATCTTCTATCTTCTATCTTCTATCTTCTATCTTCTATCTTCTATCTTCTATCTTCTATCTTCTATCTTCTATCTTCTATCTTCTATCTTCTATCTTCTATCTTCTATCTTCTATCTTCTATCTTCTATCTTCTATCTTCTATCTTCTATCTTCTATCTTCTATCTTCTATCTTCTATCTTCTATCTTCTATCTTCTATCTTCTATCTTCTATCTTCTATCTTCTATCTTCTATCTTCTATCTTCTATCTTCTATCTTCTATCTTCTATCTTCTATCTTCTATCTTCTATCTTCTATCTNAGGAAGAAGGGGGGGGGGGTGCGGGTTGAAAATATATAAATTAAGGAGAGAAATTAGGAGAGGTGGAGGGAGTGGAGTAAATAACAAAAAAAAGTTCAATTTTTTCAAGTTATTTTTTAATTTCTCTTGTCAATATTTATCATCTACGTTTTTATGTCATTTTTTTATTTTCTATTTTGTCCTATTATCATCTTTTTGTTTTACTTTTTTATTTGTTAATCTTTATGTCTGCTTAATAAATGCCACATTTCATGAGGTATTCAAGAATTTTTTAAATTGATATCTATCCCTTCACAAAATTCACGCACTCTCCCTTTTAAAACTCTAGATAATTGTTACCATTGAATGTTTAGAAGAGGTGAAAGTTAGTAAATAAAGTGAAAGTTTTTGTACAAAAAAGAGATGAAGAAATAGGAGCAAAAACCTGGTAGAATCTTAAGATAGAAAAACGTTACTTCAAGGGGGGAAAGTACATAGATGAATTTCTAGCCATCCTTAAAATATTCCTTTCAGGTTCTAACAGATCATGGTCTCACAGTCCTTATGGTTCTCCTAGTCCTCATGGTTCTCACAGTTCTCATGGTTCTCCTAGTCCTCATGGTTCTCCTAGTCCTCATGGTTCTCCTAGTCCTCATGGTTCTCACAGTTCTCATGGTTCTCCTAGTCCTCATGGTTCTCACAGTTCTCATGGTTCTCCTAGTCCTCATGGTTCTCACAGTCCTCATGGTTCTCACAGTCCTAATGGTTCTCACAGTCCTCATGGTTCTCACAGTCCTCATGGTTCTCACAGTCCTCATGTTTCTCACAGTCCTCATGGTTCTCACCGTCCTCATGGTTCTCACAGTTTTCATGGTTCCCCTAGTTCTCCTAGTTTTTATGGTTCTCATAGTTCTCATAGTTCTCATAGTTCTCCTGGTTCTCCTGATTCTTCAGGATGTCCTGGTTCTTTTAGTTCTCTTAGTTCTCCAGACTCTCCTGGTTCTCATAGTTCTCATGGTTCCCCTAGTTCTCGTGGTTCTCATTCTTCCCATGATTCTCTTTTTTATCCTGGTTCCCAGAAGACGACTGTTTGCATTAAGTTATAACTTTAAAGTTAGAAAGATAGAGAGTTAGAAATCTGCAACCAGACACACTGGAGACATCAGAATAAAAACATGTCTGTAAAATAACCATAAACAACAGATCCAACAACAATTAAACACAGAAAGGGGTTTTCCAGTTTCATTTATAATTTTCTAATCATATCTAATCATATCTCAACAAATACAAAATATTTTGTTCCGAAAGTATTTCAAAATTGCGAATTATGTCTAAAAAATGTTTGTTTATATATATAAATAACTAGCTGAAGTTGCGTTGCCTGGAGAATTTAAAAATCGAATTTAAAAGATATTTATTTTGAATTTTGAAAGGAAAAAAATTGCTCAGCCTATGTCACTTCCGGAGTACCTATGGGTTCCCTCAAAAAAATTCAGCCAATTTGGTCTAGCCGTTAATAAAAGCTTGATTTATACAACACACACAATGAATATATTATCCCTGAAGGTCCCATGGTATCTGACTGTTTTCTGTTAGACATTTATAACAGAATATGAAGGATATCACAAATTTTTGTTTCCATATCATTCTTTTCGTCATGTCAATTATAATGTTAGTAATTTTAATCAAAATTTCGTAATTTTTAACAAATTGTTCGTAAATTCGCAAGAGGGGAAGAGCTGATAATAATTTTTGTAGTTTATCAAGCTGATATGCTTTTAATAAGTTTGATATATCGAACGGGGTGTTATGATTCTTCTAGCAGATTATAATAGTTAGGAGTTAGGAGTTAGAACCTGGACCAAGGAAGAATTGGATTATATAACCAATTGAGTCGTACGGAAATTCCCCTTTTTATACGCATTGATATGAGTCTCTACAAAAAGTGACAACATTCTATACCTTAAGGACGAATTCAACTCTAAGTATTTGAGGCTATATTCAGAAAAGTCACGTAAACAGAAGAATTAGATAAACCGTTACTTGGCTGGGGCTTTGCGGCGGCTTTCTTGAGTTTGGTTTGGAAAAATATAATTTCGAAAAGTTCCATAAAAAGCTTTAAAATCTATGCAAAACTAACACCTGTTTGATAAGGCTTTGATACATTTGAAGAAGATTCTATAAAACAAATCATGAATTCAATATAACTACTAACTTAAATGAGCAAGAAAATCTTTTGTAGTCATGTGTCTGCAATCTATTTTCTTGGCATGTCTGATTTTGTTTTTTTTTTACTAAAAATAGGGGATATAGAATTTCAATAATCTATATAATAAAACAAGACATTTGTATATATATATGTTGCCTATAGCCGGCCAAACTGCTGAACCAATTGGGCTGAAATCTTTTGTAGACACATATTTTTTTCAAATTTTTTTTTCAATTTTTTTCAACTTTTTTTCCCACGGGCAACGGTTAGCTCTTTATCTAGTTAAAAATAATTGATAAAAAAGCAACAATTTTGGGAAGAAATTATTAAAAAGTTTTTAAGATCCAGCGACGCGCGCGTCTTACTTTGATAAACTTAATTGAATCAAAAATCCCTATAATAAAATAAAATCACGGAACCTTTCGTCAACATTTTTATTTTCATTCAACTACTTAGAATAGGTCACAGAGATACAAAAACATATGTTATATTTATTAATTTGAAGTAATTAACTCCATTTTATATGAAATTTTGATTAAAAAGTGAAGATTGGATTAGCGAGGTACAATTTAAAAAAGGCCATTTTCATCAGAAAAATATCTTTTTTATGGATTTTCATTTATTTCTAATCTCAATCAACGTATTTAAATTCCTTGTAAAAATTAGAAGAAAATAATTTAAACTAAAAAATTGTCGGTCCCTAAATCAAGCGAAATTGTTAACAAAAAAAAACTTTTTTTTCTGGAGCTTAAAAACTTTAATCAAAACGGATGAACCGATTAGACTTAACATGTTTAAGGACCTACGGATATGGTTATAGATGGCCTGAAATAAAAAATTCTGCCTAAATAATGTCTTGTACTTAATTTTTTGTTGAAAATCCGTCAATTAAACAGTACAATATTTTTTTAAATGTTCGAAAATGGAAAATTATACAGAAGATCCCATATAAACTAGATACAGTAATAAACAGAAAACTCTAAACTAGGAAGACGACTGTTTGCATTAAGTTATAACTTTAACAAGCCCCATGAGCATGAGAGACAGAAAATATGCAGTGTAAACAGACTCATTTCTCTAAATAAGTGATTTATTAAGTGTTTAGTAAAACTATTCAAACAACATCAAATACACATAAGTATTGCTTAATGTCTTCTTCCTATTCCATTGTTTTCTGGTTATCACTGTACAGTGTATACATCTAACAATTTTATTCTATATATTTGTTGTCGATCTTCTTCTAAGCCCCAAAACGGCTTTTATTTTAGAATATAGTTTGAAAAGGATCCCCAGTAGTACGCAGCGTCAAAGATTGCGTATAATAGGTTGAGTCTTTATGTGACGCAACTGGTTTAAAGGCCTGCTATAGCTCCCGACCCTTCAGATTACTTAATACTTCCGTGATGGCTGTCAGTGAGGTGGAGGGGGGGGGGGGAGCATTGTTGCCACTTTACATTGTCCATCTATTATAGGAACCATTAAAATTTGAAGAGGGGGATTATGGGTGATTTTATTTAACGATAAAAAAAGTTGTTTCCATCATTTTTAGATTTTTAATAAATTATAAAATAAATCCAAAGCTATATTATCAAATGTTTTTTTTTCTCTGACTTTTATAAATTATGAAAATATCAAAAAAAAATGTTTTTTTTTGTAACAATATATTTCTTTTTGAAATACAGAATATAATATAGAATATTTATATATATATTAGATTGAGCGTAATGTTAGGTTTTTAACTTACATTGCATTTGACACCTCCAGAGAACAAGTTTATTCCTGGTTTTAAAGCTTTTTTAAAATTTGCTATTGCTGGCCAATTTTCCTGTTTAACACTTATAATTTTTGGTTCTATGTTTTAGCCCCTATTCAGTGAACAGTGGTTCATTGAACTTTACCTTCAGCTGGTTTATAGTCACGTATATATATATACTACACTATACACTATACGCAACCTACCAGCATTATAAACTTCAATTCAAAATAATTCTGAGCTAACAAAAATCTCGCCCTTTGCCGGATAAAAAAATAACAGATACAAATGATAAAACTATTAGATAAACAGATTTGAGATTCTAAACTGGTCTTCTCATTAGTATCATCTTGGATTGGAAAAAAATTGCAAAAAATTGACTAAAATTGGCTAAAATATGGCTAAAAATGCAAAGTTTTAAAACTTTACTAATGAAAAGACCATGGAAGCACGAGGAGCTGACGAGCCACCGAGACTGATGAGCTGATAAAATAGGATGAGCTGAGCTGATAACAGGATGAGCTGAGCTGATAAAAGGATGAGCTGAGCTGAATAATTGTTGAGTTGAGTTGTTTTCTTAATGAGCTGATGAACTGATGAGCAGAGCTGACATTTTGAAGGGCGATAAGCTTCTCGCAGAGCTGATTTTTCGATGAGCTGATAAAAATCTGAGCAAAGCTGATGAATTGATTTGTTGAAAGACTGGTGAGCTGATGGTAAAGGAACTGATGGACTGATAAGCAGAACAGATATGAAGAGATTTAGTCTGTCATAACCAGTTGAAGAGATAAACGGGACAGGGGAAGAGCTGATAATAATTTTTATAATTTATCAAGTTTATCAAGCTGATCGAGCTGATCGAGCTGATCGAGCTGATGACATGATTCTTTGAGGAGCCTGTGTACTTCAGTGGTCGCCAGCCATTAAAACTAAAAGAGAAAATTAATTTAGATTTTTTGTGATTTTCGTATTATCTTATTTAAAATGTCTAAAAATAAACGTCTAACAAAATAAAAATGTCTTACCTAATCTAGTGAGAGGTGAGAGAGAGAGTTTAAGGTTGGCCCCCTCCCCCCTAGACAGCAAGGGAGGGGTCCAACATGAAAATGGAATTAAATAAATACTAAATATTTTCCCCTCTCTTTCCCCCGCCATCTCTCGCTTGTTCGTTGCTTTATGTTTCTGCTCGAGCCCATTGTGGGATATCTCCGTTGGGAACGGAGTTCAGATCTTTCCTGTGCCGTCGGTGGGAAGGACAAGGGTTGCTGGGTGTCCGGACATTCTGGAGGTTAGATTTGAGTTGGAGTTTAAAAGTAAGAGAGAGAGAGCGGAGAGTTCTATGTCTGCTCTGGACGAGTATCGGATCTGAACTGAATGTAATGACTGAAGGATGATAATTCTTATAGTGTGGAGGAGGGAGGAGGAGAAGGAGGAGGAGGAGGAGAACGCGCAGCTTTAGCGCTAACATTTTCTCTTCACTGTGTGTCCGCAGAGCCTGGTGTGTGTTTGATACAAGTCCTGGATATATTGTAAAGGATTGTAGGGAAATACATGGAAGAAAGAGTAACGGATGGATTGGATAATATAATGATAAACAGGTTCAACTATAGGATTAGGTTGTAGACCTTTGATATTCACTTCTATCAATGCACTTTAATCTGCAGCATGGAGATGATAAAAAATGAACCACTCAAGATGCAAATTTTTAAAAAAAAATATACCAAAAGTTTACCTAAAGTATATTAGAAATACCTTTTAAAAACCTTCAAAATCATTGTTTTTAATTAAATTATTATCCCAAAAACGTCATGGATCGTAAAATACATTTGCAGTTTTAAAATAAAAAACAAATTTGGCCTACCTTTACTTTGCTTTTAAAGTTACCTAATATATGGAGACTGTTGCTCAGATTTCGGAAATTGCGTAGAATTAAAAGACTTTTTTGAAAATGATTTAAGCTCCTTGATAATAAAGGCAGACCACATTTTAGAGTTGGCAGGACTTGGGCTATTTTGTGATTATCGTTTCATTTATCATATTTGTAAAATTAGATTGTAAAGTCATCTGATTAATTATAAATTAATTCCGGGTCTTTCTCATTATAACTGAATATAACTGATAAACTCTATAAAAGATTTTCAGGTCAAAATTAAGCAGAGGCCCAAAGGAGTTACGCGCAGGCAACGTTGAACTGCAAGACAGAGAGATAGCAGCGTAACTCCTTGGGCCTCTGCCTCAGGGTTATTGTGAACGGAAAACCCCTAAATCTTGAAAAGCTACAACATCTAGTGTTCTCTCTGTTATCGTTAACTAATTTATGGTTGTATGGCTGAAGTCTTTTATAAATGGGATCTCACATCTTTGTAGCTTAAACAATAAACATGTCATTAGATATTCAATATATTGAATATCTGTTAACAATTCTTTAATTATCTCTGTCCATTGAAATATTCAGAAATTCCTGATCCTTTTATTATCGATTCACGAAGGTAATTGGTAAACTCTAAATCCATCATTAAAGCCAAGGTTGTAATGCAAAGAAAGTTATTTCAGATGTGTACGCATCTTTTGTACTGCAGTGTACTGTCTCTGGGCGGTAACGTTAGCACTAGACGGATGTCGAAGCCTGACATGGGATACATCTTTTAAATAAAAAATCAATGAAATAGTCTGGTCATAGGAAACTATTATATGAATTATCAAAATTATCAAAATTAAATGCTTTTATCCTCCTCGGATACTAAACGAGCATTGATGCATCTATTTTTGTTTACAAATTCCGCCCAGAGAGAACTAGTTTCAACATGTACGCAGAGTATACGCAACTGCAATTAACTTTCCTTGCATTACAACCTTGTTACAAGCAAAGATATACGTTCTTTTTTTAACTGTTTTTTTCAACCGTGGCTTCTCTAGAAATGTGACTTTGCGGCTTAATCCAATCAAAGGCAGAGGGGGAAATTGTCTCAAATTAGTAATATTTCACCTTTTTCAAATTTTTAATTATTTCAACTTTTACCGATGGAAAAATAACATTGTCCTTCTCATTGTTGCTTGAATAAAGGCTACAGAAGTACAGTTGTGAATCGGACATGCACCTCTGTAAAGAAAGTGTCATTTAAAATTACGTATACAGTAGGTAGAAAATTCTGGAATAAATCCAATATATTTTGAAAGCCCTGTCTGTATCTATTTATATTATTATTTATGAATCTATTTTAATTCCTGATTTTGTTCTAAATCTAATCAACAGTTGTTACTTAACTGATACTAATCAGCATCCTTGACACCCACAGATTACATAATTGACAAAAAAACGGTTTTTCTCAAGCTTTCTAATTTAGCCTGCGGCACCCCCCCCCCCTTCCCCCCCCTCGGTACATTACTCCCAGATTTAAAGGGGTTAAATGACAATTTACGAGAACAGGGTAAATAATTTTCTACATCTTATTTCGTGTACTTTTGATATGAATTAATAATCCACTATATCGAATATATATATTTTTTAAATAATGTATATAGAAATATTTCAAATTTAATAGTTAGAAGGACGGCTGTATAAGAACTTGTTTACTAATTATTTATAGGTTTTTAGATAAAGTTAAATTTAGAGTTATTAAAATATATACAGGGATCCATGGAGATACAGGGATCCATAGAGATACAGGGATACATAGAGATACAGGGATCCATAGAGATACAGGGATCCATAGAGATACAGGGATCCATAAAAATACAGGGATCCATAGAGATACAGGGATCCATAGAGATACAATGATCCATGGAGATAAAGGGATCCATATAGATACAGGAAGCTATTCAGATATAAGAATGAATCCAAAGAGATACAGGGATCCATTGAGATACAGTGATCCATAGAGATACAGGGATCCATAGAGATACAGGGATCCATAGAGATACAGGGATACATAGAGATAAAGGAATCCATAGAGATACAGGCATCCAAAGAGATACAGGGATCCGTAGAGATACAAGGATCCATAGAGATACAGGGATGCATAGAGATACAGGAATGCATAGCGATAAAGGGATCCATGGAGATACAGGGATCCATAGAGATAAAGGGATCCAAAGAGATACGGGGATTCATAGAGATACAGAGATCCAAAGAGATACAGGGATCCTTAGAGATACAATGATCCATAGAGATACAATGATCCATAGAGATACAAAGATCATGTTTACAATGATAAGAGCAAAACAGTTTTGAGCCGTGGATTCGGGGATATTTGATATATCATGGATTCATGGCACACTTTCTCTTAGTTTCCTAGTTCATTCACCTCAGGATCCTATATATATTTGTGTATATACTAGTATATATATATATATGTATACTAGTAATACAAGGATACAAGAAGATAGATAGATTTATCCTGCCATTTTACATTTTTATATTTCTTCTAAGCTTTTAGTTTAATTTGAGACATTTTTTTGAATGCTTATATTTTAAATGTAAAATGATTTTAGCCACTTTTCTATTTCATGTTTTGGTGGATTTCAACATTTTTTTAAACACTCCAGATTCTTTTATTCAGTTGGCTCGCCTGAAATCGTATGCAATTTAAACATAAAGGAGTTGAATCTTTGCAACAAACTCATATTTTCTAAAACTTATATCTTTGAAACAATAAATTCTGGTAGATTTACCAAACTAAGTTCGAAATATCAAAGGTTTACACCATCAGGATGCAAAGATATAAGGATTAGAAAATTTGAGTTTGTGGCAAAGATTCAATTCTATTAGATATTAGAAAAGATTTCACTGCAAACCAAGGTTAGAAAAAATTGTAAGTGGGTGAGGTGAGGTTGCGACACTTTATAGTCTGAGTAAAAATTTGATGAATAACATAATCTAGTTGTCTAGATATGAGAGACTGGATGACCAAGTAAACCTATAATATGAGAAACTGAAGAATAAGCTTGAATCTGAGCCTAGATATTTCTAGACGGTGGGGTTTTATTTAAACTTTTATACTTGATCAGATAACCCTTGATCGTAGTCAATATCAAGTTTCAGAATGCACCCTTTTACTCAAGCTCTAATCCCCTACCCCATCTTATTCCTACTCTATCCTTTCCTGCTCTATCTTTTCCTACTCTATCCTTTCCTGCTCTATCCTTTCCTGCTCTATCCTTTCCAGCCCTATCCTTTCCTACTCTATCCTTTCCTACTCAATTAAATCCTGCTCTATCTTTTCCTTCTCTATTCTTTCTTCCTCTATCCTTTCCTACTCAATTCTTTCCTATTCTATCCTTTCCAGCCCTATCCTTTCCTTCTCTATCATTTACTGCTCTATCCTTTCCTACTCTATCCTTTTCCTGCTCTATCCTTTTTCTACTTTATCCTTTCCAACTCTATCCTTCCTACTCGACCTTTCCAGCTCTATCTTTTCCTTCTTTAGTCTTTCTTCCTCTATCTTTTCCTACTCTATCCTTTCCTGCTCTATCCTTTTCTACTCTATCCTTTCCGGCCCTATTCTTTCCTTCCCTATCCTTTCCTACTCTATCCTTTCCTGGTCTTTCCTTTTCTACTTTATCCTTCCCTACTCTATCCTTTCCTGTTCTATCCTTCCCCACTCTATCCTTTCCTACTCTATCTTTTCGTACTTTATTCTTTCCTGTTCTATCCTTCCATACTCTATCCTTCCTACTCTATCCTTTCCTGCTCTATCCTTTTCTACTCTATCCTTTCCAGCCCTATTCTTTCCTTCCCTGTCCTTTCCTACTCTGTCCTTTCCTGCTCTATCCTTTTCTACTTTATCCTTCCCTACTCTGTCCTTTCCTAGAGTACTATCTTATCCTAACCTACTCTATACTTTCCTACTCTATATCCTTTATTTAGTGCCATTACTATACCCTTTGGCCTTTTTCAAACTATCCTATTTTTTCTCACAACATTTTTTCCTTCCTTTTTTCTTTCCTTGTCTTCCTTAAATTTACCCCATCTTTCTCCCCAAAACAAGATTCCCCCCCTCGTCTCCCCCTCTCCCTCCGTTCTAAACCTTATACCCAATGGATTTAAAAGTTCAATGACCTAAAACGTCTGTCCTACTTCCCAACTGAATGCATGGCAAACTTTAAAACAGCTCTCAACCAAATTAAACAAACAATTTAGATAGGGTCAGGTCTATAAAAAAATAAAGAATTGTTGAATAATATCATCGAAAAATTAAACAATTTTGTATAACAAGCTTAAAACATTGTTAAATGGTATGTATTGTAAAATCATTATTAGAAACCACATTTATAAAGCATTAAAAAAATCGCCGCAATGTTTGTGTATTTTCTTCTAAATCCCTTAATAACATATATAGTTCTACAGGAATTTGTATGCAAATTTTTCAATTTTTCCTTAATGGA